TATCTGTTAATACATATTTCAATATTTTCTGCGAAATAACTTGTCTAGGCAGTATTATTTATGTGTGTACGGTATATTATAATTTTTGAGTTAAGTTCGTGAGTCATGGAAATCAATGGTTAATGGTCATGAATAGTCATGGAAAGTCAGGGAAATTGATGACAAAATTTCTGTGGACACCCTGCAATTTAATCAAACAGGGACTATTATGTAGGTTTGTGATCTACATCACTCCTTGCTGATCAGTGCAACGGGGCCAATCGACTGCTGAGTCGATTATTTGATAATTTTTATTTAGTATTTAATATTTATGAATTTAATGGGAGTCTATCCTTATGACCCTTTATCAACCCTAGCCTTCGACCGAGCACTCTGTTACCCCCATTTACGTTACACAATCAAACTCTCACTATTAAAAAATGTAATACTGTTCAAAAATTATTCTACACATGAAATACAAACGTTTTAAATAATAATACTGATGATGATAGAATCTGACTTTACATAGAATACAAAAATAATAATATCACAGATAAACATTGCTCTTTAAATTAATATACCATCTCAATTCAATTTAATAAATAATTTTCATTTGACTAGGTTCACTATTATAACTTAAATTCTTTGTATGACATGACCAAATTTAATAAAACATTTTATCCTGAATCGTGACCATGTGCTCTAAGTAGACCAAATGAAACATGAAAATCTCAGACCAAACAAAACATGATTCATAACTTGTAAAACGAGTGGTACATGTGAAAAAATGTGGCAGATTGGCAAGACTATTTTAATACTAAAACACAAATAACACAAACATTTACTTACGTACACATGTCGACACATTAACATTCATTCCGACGAAGATTCACGCGTACCGAACATTTAAAAACTGACTCGTGGTAATTTTGACTTTTTGTCTGACCGAGCGGAATATCACGACACGGTTTTTTCTGGTGTAGGACTTATTAATTCTTGGTTTTTCGAGCTGGCGTTTAATGATTCAATTGAAAATACCGTCACGACGACCCGCGATTCGCTAGAAACTGACATTTGCTATCGATATGATGCATGTACGAATTTTCATCACGAACGCGAACAATCAATCCGGCATCTCAACTTTCTCGACTTAATACTAATAAAACACACCCCCAAATGCAATTCGGCGAAATTTTGACAATTGCGATCGTTTGATGCACGTACAATTTCCGCCCGAACGCTAATTTCCGAGCTACGAATTGAGATATTAATAAATTCGTCCTACACCAGCGACAAAACGCGACTTCACATGTTGACTACGCGATTACTGAGCCACGAGTGACGACGAGACGTTTGCACGCGACACGGTTCGAGTGTAGTATTCCTCCGCGTTACGTCATGTTGGACTGACTTGTCCATTGCCTGGCGCGGATTTTAAATCTTTGAATTTAAAATCGGCACACATACTAATAATAACTCCGATGAAGTAGGCCTACGTATGGGGAATATTTTATTCATTGAATGATCAACTAAATGTGTCAACTAACGCAATTAAAATCATGATTGTTTTTACACTTATTACTCTTTAAACAATGCTAAATGCTCAAAATATTTATATTTCACCCAATTTATCGCAGTTAGATGATTTAGAAGCCTTGAAAGTAACCGTCGATTTCGACGGGTTTCACCTAGTTCACATTTAAAAGGAATTAAAGGATTTAGTCAGCTGTTTCAACTAAACAAGTTGGTTCTATGATATGCAATAGCATTAAAACGTTATAAGGTTTACCAACAGGGTACAACACGATTAGGCCATTTTTTGTTTGAATTTTTGACAATACCTAATTGAACTAAGCAGCAACAAAAGCTGTAATACGCAATGAGAACTATCAAAGTAGGATATTGTTTAAAGTTATTTTTAGGCTTATATGACCATTTAATGAATCATTTGTGATATTGTGCAAAGGTTTGATCATTTGTGTTGTTGTTTAGGTGCAGTAGTAGAGCATTATGGCTATGGTAAATGTGTTATACTATAGCATACAGTAAACTTCAAGAACCAAATTTTATCAAACTGTGTCGTCCCCCATTGCAAACACAAAGTTTGAGTATGTCTGCAATAAACATTTTACACTTATATGCCAACCCCGTACGAAGGACGGGTACTCTGCTAGTGTACTAATATAAGGGAGTATGTGTTATATGTGGGTCTCTTACTTAAATAGTAGCTTTTTGGTATGCAAAAAGATAAAAATGCACATTTAATTTGGATCTATTATACATGTTATGAAATATCTATTTTCGTAGTCCGCCATTTGTATCTTTTATTCGAATAAATACCATTTTGTGAACTTCTGCAAATAAAATTATTGAGTTCGCATTTTATATACTGGGCTTGTAACCTTGAATCATAAATCATAATTAAATTTACACGTTAAACGTCATTACAGAATTACATTGTAGTGGTAATGTATTTTTAAATAGAGCTATTGAATTTAAATAAATATTCATCAATACATTATAAAGTGGTAGGCTTAAAATATATTCATGGATTGCATTAAAAATGAGTCTATGCATAAATACAACTTGCAAATTTCTTTTATCATAGGCTATTATCGTGTAGAACCCGGGTCATCCTCTTAATTTTGTTGAATTAATATTAATTTTACGTCTTTCAGTAGACCTATTTTCTAAAAGTCTAGAGTTTTTCTCCAGGCTTGTTCTAAATGCACCCAGGCGTTCTTGTTTGTTACAATTCTTATGAATGGTGGCCATAGCTAAAATTACTTGATCTTATCCAAAAACAAAGCTATTGTCTATTGTGTAGCTCAGTACCGGTGAATGGTGAACCGAGCAATGGCTTGGTATAGTTTATATAGTTTGTGAAAGCAATATAAAGGAAACCCAACACTCAAATCAGGAAAATCAGTCAATTCGTTTATTAAGAATCGTGAATTAAAATAACCCTGTCACGTTTTATTATATCAATATTATATCTTCTCCTATTTTTTACTAGTGGTGCTTAGGTGTACAATCTAAAAACGGTTTTAAAACATGTAATATTATTGCTAAAAAATTCAACACATTTTAGAATTAGGCAACTATTTACTAGTAGACCTACAATGCTTTGGTTCAAACTATTAGGCCTAGATAAAAACTTAGTCTATGTCATCATATTTGTACACGTAAGTTGGACGGTTCAACGACGAACATTTGATTTTAAATCTATGAATTAGTTATGAAAGTTACGATAGTTGATGACTGTATTAATTAATGGTTTCGGTTTATTACGACATTACGATTAAATCTGTTTCCCGTGTTTGAGAACTTGCGTGTATTTTAGCTTAATTTCGTAGGGGTCTAATTATTTAGTACCAATTAAACTGAATTTTCAATATTTTTCATAGTCTATTATTTTCTTTTGTACTGATGGCATTTCTTTTTAAGATCTAAATCATAAACATTTAACTGGTCATTGTACAGTTAAATAAATAAACACTTTTTCGTGATTTTTCAATTGTCTTTGAATTACTTTGGGCTAGTTATCTGTTAAAAGTGGAATTGATAACAAAAAACTATAACATTTACTGTATCTTCATTGACACTGACATTTTGAAATACGGCAGTGTACGATTATTTTGTCGTACAAGGTTGGCAACGCTCCGTGCAGTGGGCGCGGCCGGGTTAGCGACTTCCAGAGTTAGCGAATTCCGCCGCGAGACAAAATCGAGTTAGCGGGTTCCGGAGTTAGCCAATTCCTTACTGAGACGGTTAGCCAGTTCCAGAGTTAGCCAGTTCCGACACACGACCGAGTTAGCGAGTTCCTGAGTTAGCCAATTCCTACGTCTCGCTCCTGCATATCCAAATCTTAAGGCGTGTTTACAACTAAAAAATTAGAGCAACTATTGGGAGATTTTTTTGGAAAACTAAAAGCTGCACTTCTCTAACTTGAAGCAACAACTGGAAACAACCGACATCGCGACCAGGGTGTGTGAAGGGGCGACAATTCTCCACTTGTTTTCAACAAGTTGCTTACACAAAGCGTGCCGCAACATGTCTTCCACTTTTAGAAGTCAACTTTCTAACTTTGATCTTACCGACACTCCACAGTAAACTAAAATTTTGTGCAAGACTTGTCTATCTAATAGTGGAAGACTGAAAAAGTTACTGTATTTTGTAGAAAAAGCAACTAAGGGAAAACTAGTGGAAGACTTTGGTGTAAACGCGGCTATAAATGTATATAGTGATGGATACAGTGTAAATGTAAGATTATAGACAAATAGAATAAATATAGACTGTCAAAGGAAGGTTACGGCGCCCACCGCTAGGGTTTGCCGTGTAGTTACGGCTCTCACCGCTGCAGGAGCCATATGCGACCAGCAGACGCTGCAGTGGTGTGCGCCGTAACTACACGGCAAACCTAGCGGTGGGCGCCAAAACTTATGCCAACCGCAGCACAGCTGACGGTCTATATTTATTCTTTTTGTCTATGGTAAGATACAGCTGTACTTTTTTATTGTATGCTCAATAGCTGCGATGCCCTGTCCCAAAGTATTCAATTTAGTTTATAGATTGTCATTTAATCATAGTTATATTGTATTCAAATGCCATCCAAGAGAAACAGAATCTAATTTTAAAACTTTGAATTAGGCCTACTTAAAAAAGTTCACTGATCTGTACTATGGATGGTACAATAATGTTGTAAAAATGTAAATATGTGGAATGTTTGATAAAATGTGTTTTAAACCTTATTTTCCTCTTTTATTTAGTACCTATAAACATATCTTATCCAAATAATAAACATTTTTAGCTAACTAACATTACTTACTCCTATTAGCCTGACATTAAAATTGAACATCCTGCTGTAGGGAAGCGGCAAGATCAACTAGGTTTTTACTTAGGTACAAACCAGCAACCTTCATATTTGAAGGCAAGCCCTTTAGCACCTCTTATAACCAGAATTACGGCACTCCTTTTTTCCCACACTACAGCTAGAAGTTTCAGGAGGAAATGATTTCGCCTTTGCTTAAACAATACATTTATTTACAAAATTACAGACAACTAACTACAAAACATATTAACTTAAAGGGTCCCTTCCTCCCTCATCTTGCGTATGTATTTCCCCCTCATGTGGAAGGGAAGAGGAACAGCTCCCGGACAGGGAATTTGTCCTGGAACTTCACAAATGCAGGCTTTTTCACACATATAGCCAAAGTTGGCAGGATTGTCCTTCTTTTCTCTCGCTTGAGCTTCTGCTTTCAGAACTTCCCTGAAATAAAATATGTTATTATTGTAAGAGCAAAAATCATGTCCCTAGAGTCAAATATTTTATTATTGTAATAAGCAATACCTGATCGCCAGAAGGACCCAAATTGAGAGAGTTGAAGCTCTGGGAGTCAGCAAGTATACTTTTGAAAGAGTACTCGAATTTAAATAGGCCTACCTAGGAGTCTCAATTAACTTGAATAACAAAAGAGGAATAGAAATAGGAGAAAGACTGATAGCAATAACCAAATGTTCTGGAGCTAATACAAAATGAGTTAGAAAAAACTATCTAAAAACACCAAATTAAAATGTTTAGGAAGATTTTTTGGCCTATAAATGAAGAAGGTACATGGCGAATAAGAAAATACTGAGAACTGTACAAAGAACCGGACATCGTAGCCATAGTTAAGGAGTAGGTGACTGAGAAAGGCAGGCCATGTAGAAAGAAGGAAAGTATACTGAAGAAGATCAGCAATGGACGACCAAGAGGCACTACTAGCCCGATATGAAGACCGAAGCCGGTGGAAAGACCAAATCCAGAAGGATCTACACAGAATGGGGGCAACTCTCGACCTAGCGGCAGACCGGCAGCAGCGGAGGCATCTTGTTGGCGAGGCCAAAAACTTTCTTAGGTGTGAGTGGCCAAGAAGGTAAGCTAAGGCAAAGCCATTATAAAAAGGTATTGAGAACCAACTTTTAACACACATAACTGTGGGGTTTTATTCAATCTGTCCATTATTAGTAAGCTAGTAATAAAAAGTTCTGCGGATTTTGAATTGATTGAAACCATTTGCCTATTTTTATATTGTTTACATTTTATAACCCCCTAATTTTTATAAATATAAAACTTCTGGAGAACATGCACACGAAAAAGATGGGTAATGTGTAGAAGTATGCCTAATCAGAAGTAAAGCAGGGCCGATTTACCGAATAGGCACGTGCCTAGGGCGCGAGGCAATTGGCTTTATTAGGGGGCGCCAAAAATTGGAAATAAAAATGGTTGCTGTATTTGCATGCGATCGCGGTAAACTGATAATCCATCTTAAATTCCATCTTATTGGTAGAGAGTTCCGGGACACACTGTATATCATATCATACTTAAAATATGAAACATGTAATGTAATGTTGCCAATTACAAAACTTACTCTGGTTTTCCCAGCACTTTTAAGACATGTGCTAAAATATCTTCTTTTTTCTTACCATCCACATCAATCAGCATGCTTTCATTATTATCTGAAACAAATTATCGAGGAATATTAAAAAGCATATGAAAGAGGCCCTTAAGTTATGTGTCTCACCTTAATTTTCTGAATTTTATGATATGTCAGGCGGCATAAGGTGAAAAAGAGTGTTTTTAACTTTTTATGTGGTGAACAGACAGAATACTGATAAGTATTCCATGTGACTAGTCTAATGAAAATACTTAATTTACATACCAAAATAGCAAGTGATGAAGGGTGAAGGAGTCAGGTTTCTAAGAGTGAGGATCTGAACACTTTGGTTCTTGTACTGTAGTTGAGGCAGATACCAAAACACAAATTTCCTGAAAATGCCATACAAATTTTAACACAAATGACAAAAGGCCCAAATCATATCAAATTAATCAATTTCTATTAGCACCATGGCTATTTGATGAGTTAGATAGACCATTAAAAAGTAGATACCTCCAAAGTAATATCGATATTCAATATTGAAGATATTGATATTTGGATCCGATATTATCGTGATATCGATATTAGAGGCTGGAATTGTTATCGATATCTAATATCGATAGTAGTGATGGGCGATACGGGTCAATGTATCGATACGCAGTATCGATACGTTTCGGAACGTGGTGTATCGTATCGTATCCTCATGTATCGATTTTTACCCGTATCGGATCAAATATCGTATCGTATTGTTTATAAAATTTAAAAAAAATTTAAATATCTCAAATATACAAGCTGCATAGACAAATACTATGTTACTTATAAGCTTGTAAAGAGGGTTAGTGCATGTAATCTTACCTCAGAAAAGCCGTTTCCTTTCTGTGTCTTTTTATTTGTATCAAACCACATACATTTAACCTTCAAATTCCGGTAAAACCTCTAAATTGGAAAACATTTTCTTATTGTTTTCCTTGTTTTTACACAGGGATAATTAATTGAACCAAAAGGTACTTATAATGATGGTGGGTATGCCACTTACACAATATGGATAATGAGTGACCCCAATTCCATTAACCCTTTCAGTGCTATGAAACGATATATCGTTGTTTTAAAAAATCTCTAAGGGATATAGAGAGGAAGGTTATTAAAAAAAAAAATAGCAAAAAAAAGTCTCTAAGGGATATAGAAAGGAAGGTTATTTAAAAAAAAATAGCAAAACGGCCATTGGTGACCTGCATGTTCATAGGATACACTAACAACCACTTAGCTAAAAGATTCGCCCAATCCGAGGATTTCGAGGTGTATGTCTAAACCAAGGATTATGAACACCTCACTATGCCCCAGTGGTTGTAGTATATCGCTACAAACACACAGGTCACCAATTATTTGCCACACAGGACGGGATTCGAACCCGAGCAGACGAATGCCACTGGCCAAGTGACACACGCCCTGGTCTTCTCGGCTATCTGTGCTTGAAGACTGGGGAGTCAAAAACCGGTATTTAAGCTGTCGCCACCGATTGCGAACAGATAGCGCTACAGATGGTTGTTCAATGCGTTACTAGGTAGCAGCACCAGTTAGTCACGGACTATTTAGATGAAATCTTTTAGTTTAAACACAAAAGTGATCATAAATGTGTTCCTGAGACTTTGGCTGCAAAACATTAGTTTCCCTAAAATGGCTATATTACGATAACCTCGTCCAACTAAATCAAGGTTAAATTCAATATTACATTGTAAACTATATGTCTTTTGATTTTATGAGATTTTGGTTTCAAATAATGCTATCAGAACATAAAAATTTATAGGAAACCCAGAAAAATTACAACAAAAACTAAGTTTTATTTAATGTTTATTACAAATACACGGATTTATCTTTCTTATATATTTTCTTATTGTGTTATTATTCAAAATTAGCCTAATTAATAAAATAGTTTTAGTTTTACTGTATAGATCCTTTGTAATGAAATACTTTTTATTATTTAGTTTATAATTTTTTCTTTATGTTAGTTTAATGACGCTATTTAAGACATATTGTCTAAACTTGAATAAAGAATATTTGATTGATTGATTGATAGTGACAACATGACAGTTAAAATTCAACAACAGGTACAGTAGACTCTTGATAATTCAAAATTGGTGGGCCAAGCATATAAATTTGAATTATCAAGAGTTTTGAATTATCAAGAGTTCGATTTATCGGGAGAAAAATGAACCATTCAAATTACAGAGAGTTCATTTGTTTAATACATACAAAGGTACAGCACGTTAAAATCAAACATCATACCGTATTTTAGTACACTTTTAAACAATCAACGGCTTATTTTTCAGTTACTGTGGTTGCAAAGAAATCTGTTATTTAGCGCTATATATTTCGCCAATAGATACACTATCAGCTGTCGACAACTACGTTTGTGCTCAAGCAGATATCGCGCAATCTAGAGATCGGATTGTCAACTTAGAAAAACAAGTCAGCGAACTAACTCAACTACTGCTCTAACTAAACAAACATCAAAACTTCCAACACTAGCCTACCATGGGAACGATGTACTGTACTGTATAGTTTCCTAACAGGAAGAGATCACTTTGAATTATAGAGTGTTTTGCCGACTAAACTTCGAATTACTGCGTGACTTTGATTTATAGAGAGTTTTTTCGACGAAACTTCGAATTACAGCATGACTTCGAATTATAGAGTGTTAACCGACGAAACTTCGAATTACTGAGTTACTTCGAATTATAGAGTGTTTTTCCGACGAAACTTCGAATTACTGCGTGTTACAAATTGACCTGCCCTCTATTTGGACTTTGAAATACCGAGTGTATCAAAATGCATGGTAAAAATTTGAAATATTGAGAGATTCTCTAGGGACTGAGCCTTCATTTTGAATTATCAAAAGTTTTGAATTATCAAGAGTTTGAATTACAAAGAGTGGACTGTAATGGAATTAAAAGGCAAACAAAAAAGTCTTAAAAAATATGAATTATTGGCCTAGCACTGAAAGGGTTAATGGTGGCCCTAGTTTTGAGGTTATTTGCAAAACATAGCTGGAAAAATACATATTTTATCAGTGTTTTTGAGGATGGTAGGGTAAAATATCAAATTTCTACTACTACTTTTGAGGGGAGGAAGATGAGAAAACACATTTCTTACCTTAAAAATAAGATTTATATTAATAAATAAACAATACGATATTCGATACGATATTGGCTATAGGTGTATCGATACGGGCATATCGATACACTCCCACGTATCGATACAAAATATGGATATTTTGCGGTCCTTGTATCGATATCTGTATCGATACGCACATCACTAATCGATAGATTGCTGATATCGCAACAACCCTAGTTCACTCATCTCCTTTTTTCGTATTAATAGTGATAGAAAAGTTAGAAAAAAACACAGCTACGTCAAATATTTTCAGAGGAATAAATTATAGTTGTAGGCAATAGTCAATAAAAATTATTATTTTAATAACCTTAGTACCTAATGTAATAAACGATGCTTTCCAAATCTATCATAATACTATGGAAAATTTTTTGTCGAAATTAAAGAAACTAGCAACCATTTTGTTACGGGACAGGATGTTTATTTATAGCCTATCACTGGAGGCTTGAGTCACAAAAACTATCTTGACCTTTGTAGTCGTTAGCCCCCTCCACTGCCCTCCCTACAAGTTGCATTGTTTGTTTACTCCAGCGATAAGATACTTCTAGTTTATGGTACAAAAATAGCATTATATTATACGATCGAGGGCGGATAGGCTAATCCGATTACGATTGCGAGATCCGTTAAGAAGGGGTCTACTGTAATAGTAATTTTAGGTTGTTAAATTATTATTAATGCAAATTTGTAAGAATCAATTTACACTGTGTAACTTCATTGGATATTGTTTCTGCTGCCATCATATTTGTAGCATTTTCGTATTTGTGTATTACTGTTTGTTGATAAATAAATGGGTACAGTTTCTTAACTGGGCTATCCTAATATCGATTGAAACTATCGAATTGAAAATATTGATTAATAATCAATATTTTTAAATATATCTATTATAAAATTAAACTATCATAACCTAACCTAAGCAACCAAAGTTGCTAATGGTGAAAAAATCGCATGAAGGTTTACTAATCGAATCGATAGTTTCAATCGATATTAGGGCCTAGCATAGCCCAGTTAAGAAACTGTACCCAAATAAATAAAACCCACAAGGGGTACAGTTTCTTAACTGGGCTACGCTGATATTGATTGAAACTAACTTATCTAATTGAAAATATTGTATAATAATCAATATTTTTAAATAGGCCTATTGGCTATCTATACTGTTATAAAAAAGAGGTGGTTGCTGTATATGTGTATGGTGTGTATGGGAAAAGTAAACTCGAAAAATACTGGTCGGATTGGGCTGAAATTTGGCATGATGATAGCTCACATTCCCGATTAACATATAGGCATATTCTTATTTCAAAAATCCTTTCGGGCTCCGCCCCAGTGGCTCTGGAGTTTCCCATGTTAACCTTATGAGAAATGGAATTATTGAATCTTAACAGCTGTTTCAATTAAATGGTTCTGTTCTATGATGTTCAATAGCATTAAAGTTACAAGGATTACCAACAGGGTGCAGCACTATTATTTCTTTTACATTTATGACAACAGCTAATTTGCAACCAAAAGGTGAGTGAGCGTAGCGAACAAACTTCAACCTGGAGGCGAGTTAGCGTAGCGAACGAGCTAACCTGAAGGCAAGTGAGCGCAGCGAACGAGCTCCAACCTAAAGGTGAGTGAGCGTAGCGAACGAGCTCCAACCTAAAGGTGAGTGAGCGTAGCGAACGAGCTCCAACCTAAAGGTGAGTGAGCGTAGCGAACAAACTTCAACCAGGACGTGATTGAGCCATGCGAACGAGATAATCTTGAAAATTAAGAAGTTAAACGGGACAAAGCCCGCGGGTTACAGCTAGTCTATTATAAAATTAAACTATCATAACCTAACCTAACCAACCAAACTTGCTGATGGTAAAAAATCGCTTGAAAGTTTACTAATCGTATCGATAGTTTTAATCGATATTACCATAGCCCAGTTAAGAAACTGTACCCTATTAAGTTAGCCTACTGTGCAATTATGAGAACATACTGTGCAATTATGAGAACATACTGTGCAATTATGAGAACAACTTTGTGCAGCAATCACAAACGTTTTTAAGAGGAAATAATACACTACGCTAAATTTTTGCAGTGCAGTTCCCATCCGGAACTACGACTAGCCTAAGGGAATTAGGCCTAACAACTTGTAGAAAAGCTATTTTAGATGTTAACAAAACTAACCTGGCACCGTCATGATGATCTCCTTTTGTATTGTAATTAATGCAAAATATTTGTAAGGAATCTTTAAATAGTACTTTGCCAGCCTCTAAATACTTTAATGTGTACCGAATCGGTTCAATACCTTTCATAAACGGCATGTTTAGTTAGTTTAATTACTCAACCTCAACAACTTATCAGTTATCAACAACAGAACTCTCGTAAACATAACCTAACCTAACAAAACTTTATAATCCAAATCCTTTTTTTCTTTTTTTTATATTTTGCAAAAAATGGCCGGCTTTGCTCGGTTAAAACAATGCAGCCTTCCTGTAGTAAAACTATAACTAGATAAAACATCGTCCTTGGGGAGTATGTTTTATCTATATAAATCATACTCCTCAAGGAGTATGTTTTATCTATGGTAAAACTAATTAAATTATATTGAAATTGACTTGATTAGATTAACTTCGGCATTGGGATTCCAATATTTGTTTTATTTTCTTTCAATTTTTCTTGGAACTGGAACCATTCAGTCATGCTATTCGTACTTTTACCACTGATTATTCAATTGGCCGTTTATTTTATTCACTAAGATGTGATGTTCCTCAAACTTGGGCACACTTCAAATTTTGTCACGAATTTTAGTATTCAGAAATTAGACTGAATACACTTAAGATAGAAAAAAAATGGTACCTAAATTAGAATTATATAGGCATAGCCTGCTTCAAAATATTAAAATTTAATTTGAACTTGACTTCGGAGTAAATTAAAACCTACCTTTAGGCATAGATAAAACATGTTCCCTGAGGGACTATGTTTTATCTATGCTTTAGGTCATTTTACAAATGAGTTTTATTCACATTTCAAGAACAAAGTATTAGTGTTATTTTTTGTGATCTTTTATTGTGCATCTATTAGCCCCTGATGTACTCTTATTTTTCTCAGGTAAGCTACAAACTGTATTCCTTACAAAAAATTCCTATAAATACTTTTCATAATAAAACACCCCACTGCAGCATACCTGCAGGCTAAGCGAATTTTCATTCAATATAGCTGATTGGATTTTCAATAAAATCTATTTAAATAACGTTATAATGTTCAACAAGTATCTAGGTATGCTGCTACTGGGAGGGTTGTAGTGTGTTTTTAGCAAAATATATAAAGCTTTGGTACAAAATAAATTAATTTGCCAAGTTTGATCAAAATATATCCATAAACAAGCAAACAACAACAGTTAACTTATTAGCCATAAGAATAACATGGGAATTTTAAATTTACAATTATTTGAATAGTCCCCGTGTAGCCAATAACCGTGCAAAAACACTCCAATATACTAAATTATTTGTTTTTTATGCTCTTTAAATTGGTTAAAAGAGAAATTAGGAAATTTTATGTTTTAAGGGTCAAAATGGAGAAAACCCAATTTTTACCCTATTAAATCCCCGTTCCCATGGTCTGATCATGCTGGTTTGCGAATTCAATAAGTTTATCGCACATTACACCTTCAAGGCAAATTTTATCAAAATCGGACAAAAATTACTCAAGTTATCGCGTTCACGGTATATATAACTTAGAGGGTAGCGTGGGGGTATTGGGACCCGGGGGTTATTGAGAGCTATTTTTTTTGTTAACTTTTTTTTAACAAAACTGTAAATACATTAAAGTTTAGGCATTCTTAAGGGGTTACATCAAAAACTGTTGGATAATTTTAATCTTGTGTTTTTATTAAATACATTAAAGTTTAGGCATTCTAAAGGGAATACATCACAAACGGTTGGATAATTTTAATCTTGTGTTTTATGTATAAAAAAAACAAAAAACTAAGCCATGTTTTTTTCCGATTGTTAAACATATGGCAAAACTTTAGCATGATAGTATTTCGAGTTATTTTATATATATTATATTAATTAATAGCCATGCCAAAATGTATTTTTCGACACATTTAAGGTTTAAGCAATAGTTTGTGATGGTTTTAAAAATAAAAAAAGTTAAAAAACTAATTAAAAAAAAAATTTACGGGTCCCGTTAACCTGGTGTGGGGAAATGGGAAATTTTTTTGTGTGTGTTTTATATGATTTTCACTATTTTTCTTCATTAAAATTAATAATTATATGTGGCTGCAGTGGTGATTATCATGTATTATGTGCAATAACATAATCTTGAAATAGGTCCCAATTACCCCAGCATGGGATTAATAGTAATAGGTCCCAACTACCCCAATACCAGTCTCATCGCGTGGTTACATCGGATTGGAATTACAGATGTACAGAAAAGTTATACATTTATTTTACAACTACTTGATAAGAGACAAGGGCCTAAAAGAGTGATGTAAGCCCATAATTGGCCTATTAACTTATTTTTGAACTGATAATTACCATTTATTTGAAATTCTTTTGGCCGAAAAAGCGAAATTTCAGAAAGTTTTTGTATGACCAGAAAAAATTTTGACATAAAATATACTTGTAGTTTTTTTATTTAACAGTTTAAATCTATATTTTCTGGCTGTTATCTGTACTGGTTAATTTCTCCTATTTTATTTTAAAAAAGTGTAATCTTTTGGAAAAAAGTTTAAACTGTTGTATAGTCCAAAAAATTGTTTTTCAATAAAAGTATGTTGCATAATGTTTATTATGTTTTCATTTTTAGAACCCAATTACCCCTACAAATTAATATTAGGTGCAATTTGGGTCTTCAATGGGGTAATTGGGACCCAAATTGAATTTTTTTCATAGCAAAATTTAATTTAAAAAATTACAAACAATGTGATAAGAAGACAAATTACAGTTGAAACCGTGTGCATGCTCATATTTAGATTTTTTCTTACAATAAACAAATAATTGAAAAAAAATTAAAACATGGATCCCAATTCCCCTACTCTACTCTATATAAATCAATATATACTTATATAAAAATTTGTATAAAAAAACTATTAGCGTTTTAAGGACATCAAAATGAAAAAGTATATTGGTCTCGGACCACCTACGTTAATAGCTATTTCCTTATAGGGAAATTCGCTACAAACCAGCATCAATAAATTCTTTTACATAGCAACACACACATGGGTGTGTATTTTAAACTAAACATGAGTACAAGGTGAGTGTAGTATGGAGTTAGATGAACTTTGTTACTGACGAAGATCAGTTGTGTGGATTTAAACTAAAACCTCCAATAATCATGAATAGCTTAGCCCAGTTTTGTACCACCAAGAATTTACTGTCTTTTCTCAGGATTGAGCCGGAGACCTTCTCATTACTGGGCAAGCATTATAATCTATTTTACTCTACAACACACACTTTACTTTTTGGCAAGTTCATAAAAAAATAGGTATCCTACTCATTTTTTCTGGAAAAAGAATACTAAACAGGATTTTTTTAAATTCAAATCTTTATTGTTTGTCATGCATATAAAATTAAGGCTATACACATAAAAGTGTAAATGTTAGTACAGTAATACATTATTTCTAGACATTATTCACAGTGCAAAGCTATATGTCATAATTCATAAGGAATACATTGTAAGGCACTATAAAATACTTCTGAGATTATGTCAACATGGCAAGATAATATGACACTTCAAACAGTCTTTCAGTATATCATTCCCCAAGTAATTCTTAAGGAGAGACAAGGTACTTTGTAATGTGATGTTAATTAAACCCCCAAGATTATTATAGCAGACTAACATGGTTGAAACAGCAGGGTTTCTACGAGTTCACTTAAAGTAAAATCGGAGACTTTTGATGACCAAATTAAATAAAAATAGGTGACCTTGGAATGCACAACGAATATAATATAGCCTGCCAGTATCTAAACATATAATAAATCCTTAAACATAAATTTATCTTTTAAAACTGACAAGTGATTTAAACTGACGATCTTTGATCTATATTGTGTCAAGATAATCATAACTAATTTTGTTAAATGATATTAACATTAACTAACAAATTTGAATATAAAGAGACAGAACAAGGTTGGGGGAGCTGAAACCTCCCAGCTAGTACGCCCACTGTGCCCATCCAGATATACATTTTTTGGTGACTTCCGTGACCAGTAGACACCCTGAATAGATATTGCTTTAGATAGTGTCATATTTGGAAGAATTTTCAGCAAGCAGTAAAATAACTTACAATATGCACCCAAAAAATTCCAAATTATTTAAATCATCGAGTACAAAAGATCAAGCTTACAATGAATACTTTTTTACGTTTCCAGTGCTCGATTTGCGGGAAAACGTGGCGGATGTAGAGGAGGTTCCGGTGCTAACTACAACTAGAGTCACACCTGTTAAACTCCTTCTAGACCCAGACCCTAGCGAGGGTCTTATACAGGCTTATGCGGCTTATACAGGCTTATGCAGGTTATACGAAGACAAAAAAATAAGGGGACACAGCCCTCATTGTAATTTTTTTGTCTTAGTCTTTATGTTTCACAAAACAGTAATTATTTAATGCATTTTTCTTATATTTACCTCAAATTTTGGTGTTTCTGCTATATAGTAAATAAATAACTCAGTAAAACGAACAGCACTAACCTTCCAAATTAAACAAAATTCAACCATAAAGTTTTTTTCTAAAATAGCTATCAACTACATGGAAATAAAAGTTATATAACTTAGTAATATATAACTTAAGTAATAAGTTTTATATTTTAACAGCCACGTCAATATTATATAATAACTATAAAAAAATATATTTAAATAAAAGTTAAGCCTAGTTACAATATAACATGTAATGTATCAACATTAAGTAAAATATCATAAAACACAAAGAATATGCAAGCAATGAGTATTAAATTATGATGCTTGGTTTTATTTAGATCTGACAAAGTAAAACTGGTCTTAATCCTTCTTGTTTGATCACATCATACAATTAATTAGCATATTAGAATTGAGATTCTAAATGTATATAAGAGATTCCATACAAGTCCTAGTTTTATAACTATATTTTTGCATTCTACACCAGTGGTAACTTGTTTATATTTTATCATGAGAGAAATAACAAAGTTTCAGTAAGGTTTGAACAATCTAAAACCGGCAAGGGCGCCTGCAGAGAATTATTTCAGGGGGTGGGGCGTAAACCGATATCTGGTTGTGAGGAGAAGAAGCCGTTTTAATCTAAAACACTAAAAAACATATTTTTAAGCTTACTATAACACTCAATTATACATTAAAAAATATACTTATTTAACGCTACAGTTGTTAACGAATCGAATAACAAACAGAATTGATACTAAAGTAAAAATGAAAAGAATAGTAGTTTTCATCATTAGGAGATGAAGTGGCTCTTTTTGGTGCGCAATAGAAATATGATTAAGTAAGCTACCAAAAAGACATTTTCCCTCCTTGTGATGAACAACTATTTTCATCATACTGTGGAAATAACCTTCTAATCGTTACAAAATTATACCACATAATTTCAAGTTATACGAAGTCATTATTAATATTTACATTTCTGTTGTTTACACACATAGCTTTAAATATCGTTTGGTTAACAGCGTTTTGATAATGCACAGATAAAATGTTGAGGTTAGCAAACCAAAAATTTACCATACATTTTTTCTGTTCCCTATTTAAAGTTACCCGAAAACGACAAATTTGCTGACAATTTAAAGAACTAAAAACGGCTGCTTTCCGGGACAGTATGACGAAAACATATTTTTAATGATACATGATGTAGGAGGAAAACTATTTGAGCTCTATTTAAAAATATTTATTGACATGAAAACTTAATACTGGTCACTTTTCCTAGGCTAATCAAACGCAATAATGTTTTTTTCCAAAAGTTCTTCTTTTTGTTTTTTATGCTGTGTTTCTATGTAGCCTGTAATAGACACAGGCAATATTTCTTACAACACCTGATATTTTATATTGGTGTTCCTGTTTAGTTAAACTCTTTTTTTCATTGGTTTATTACCTTAATGATCACAAGTCATAGCCTACAAGGATTTATTTTGGATGCAATGTGCTGTCTATAACTGTACAGAAGTTAATGAATTTCTAAATGTTGTCCTCTCTAACCCCCCACCCTCTTCACTGCAGGCGGCCTTGAAAACAGTTCAAATACTACAAGATAACAGTATAAAAATACTAAATATACCTACAGTGGACATAAATGCAACAATATCTATATTCTAAAACACAGTCAAAAATACTTTTTGATTCTACATAATACCTGAAGACTTAGGAACCAGCTCAATGACAACCGCAGCTCTTCACCACCATGTTCTTGTACTTTTTCAATATGACATTTGAATCATCAAGGAAGTATAAGACGGATATTGGAGTCAGCTTGGTGGGTGCACAGTACGGCTTGGGTACATCGTAGGGATACATGAGGTGTACTAACGTCTGGACGATCGCGTGGTTAGTAGCGTTCATGTGGGCGTTTAGTGGGAAGTTACATTCCCCACTGCAGTAAAATGCACCGTATCCATCCGGAGCAATTATCCAGTCCTGCAAACCGTTATTGAAGATCAGTTCAAATGTAGTGAATCAACTAACAAATTGAGTAAGTTGATAAATTGTCAAAAATCAAAACGTGATAAGTAAGTAATACATTGCTCAGAGAGATCTTAAATTGTAATAAGTACAATGAATCAAATTTACAAATTCAGTCAATAGTTATTTGTGTAACTAGTGGGTGAAGTGGCACTTTGCACACGAGAGCATGGAAAGTTTCTCGAGTGCAGTAAAGGCTGTTTGCACTCGTGTTACACATTACATTATTCCTACAGTTACTATAAATCATATAAGGTTATGTTTTTAGGAAAAAGCATTTAGCTTGGATTAAATAAATATATAGGATGGAGAGGACACAGCTAACTCACCTGATGAAAGGTTGCAGACAAGTCAAAGAACACATAAAATCACACACATAATAATACTTAATATTTCGCCTCTGAAAGAGGCGGTACTAAATCATATAAATAATTAGTCTTTCAAACACTGTACAACACGTTTTTAGGTTAGGTTAAATGCAAACATTGAACGAAATGGGAAACGCTGTTCCAGCTGATTGTAGCCGTAGTTTCTTAAAGTGTTGCCAACATATTTCCAAGCATACACGGACTACGTGCATAGTAAAAGCACAATGTTTGGTGTTGTTTGGTTGGAATACTGGTGTGCGAAAAAGTTAAAAGTGTGTGGTTAAGTAAGTAAATGCAGCTTTCTGTGCAGGGAAGCCCACTTTGTCGGGTGACTGTAGGAAAAAATATTTTTTGGGAGAGAAGGTTAGCTTGAATAGAGAAGAGTCTATTTTGGCACAAGGAACACATAAACACCAATCCAATGGTGAAGGTCACAATCAACATGAAACAACAAATAAGTTTTGGAAATTGCAATAATTATTACCTCACATAAAACATCAGGCATATGGTTTTGGCTGGTGAATTTGAGGGATGCTTAGTACTTATTGACTAATGGTACTTAAAGGTAATGGAGTAAGGTTTTTACATAATTTTAATTTAGAAAATTAAACTGTTTGTGTGATCTCTGTTTGTTGTACAAGTTAAATGTGAAAAGGACCAAGTGATCGTAACGTTTACTGATGGAATAAAGAATTTTTGCAATACTTTACCTGCCATCCTAAGTCCCGAAAGCTGACATAAAGCGTTTGAATCTGGCAACTTCTAGTAGACCAGAAAGGTGATGGATCTGAAATTTTATAAAATTTAAATCATTCAGTAGAACTTTATGTACATATCTCATGATGATGAATTACATTTAAACGTTTGTAAGTAGTCTAACAAATAACTTTTCTTTTTTTTAGTGAAAATTAATTCTCGAGGCAATACACGACATTCAACTCATTGGTCAGGGATCATTCATTGATTTAATTGTATCTTGTTATATGTTTTTATTTTCTTTATCTAATTAAGTTTAGATGTATTTTTATTTGGTAACACTCTTAGTTTGAGTAAAAAACAAATAAAAAAAATGTATTCATAACTTAAACCCAATGATTTTTTGCAAAACAGAAACAGTTTTTTATGTACGAGGGCTAACCAGAAAGTAGCAGACGTTTTGAACATATACAAAATTGTAAACATTTTTATTATATACATTTTGAAGCTAACCTTTAAGCCTTTTTTGCTACATAACCCCCATTTAAATAAAGGCATTTATCATAGCGTGGTACAAGCTTTTCAATGCCCTCTTCAAATAAATCTGCCGCCTGTGAGTTCAACCTGGGACCATGGCATCATCCTGTATCCAGCTACTTGGAGGTCAAGAACTGTGGATATTTATAGGCATGCACTTTGAGGATGTGATACTCCCTGGTGTGGATTCACGTCCACACTAGTGAGTAAACTCTTGTGAAATTTGAGGAAAATGTTTTGATGGTTCCATGATCGTAAAACGACAAATTTCATGGATTTTATCATCGATTTTTGCCACCAATTCATAAGTAACAAGACTAGGCCTACTGCTGTGATCCTCGTCATGAGGTACATTGATTCGGTCATTTTTAAAATCAATGCACCACTGCCTCACCTGGCTTTCACTCATTATTCCTTGGCCATATTACACATCACAAATCTGGCAATAAATTTCAATTAGTTTGTAATTCTTTGCCAACAAAAACCTTATCACACCACGCACTTCACAACTGGCGGGATTTACAATTGCAGCGCTCATTTCGAAACTCCACTGCGTACAGAAGACACGATGCTCTAGCTACCACAGCTGTTGCAGACTGAGTGTAGGAACACTCTGATGGCTCAAGATGGCAATCCTAGCCCCGCCCAATGCCACACCAGGCCAAAATGTCCGTCAGTTTCTGGATAGCCCTCGTATAAGTTTCAACAGGGAGATCAAACGATTACTTAGTATTCAAGGATTCCCACAGTTATCTTAAGTAAGCCGGCATTGTTAAGATCAAAAGGGCACAGAATGTGACTGGTACTCTACAATGGTCTTAACAAATCTGATAAATACAGTCAATAAATTACCTACTTTAATAAATCCAATCGGAGATACACCTAGGGTAATATAACCTATTAATAAAATAAAATAAAAAAAAAAAATCTTAGAGGCTATGCCACAATGAGATCTGATAAATTAACCTGACACTGTATTGCATCCAGTATAGTGATTGAGAGACTCCACCACAATGAAATCTGAGAAATTGAACTACAGTATGTATGGTCATTATTTCATTGAACAGTATTACCAGTATTAACCAACTACCTACTGTAAAGAGATTAAGATAAATAAAAATAAATCAACACACCCAAGGGGTTGCGTGAATAAGGAGATTCAGAGTTTTCTGCTTTCTTTCTTCGACGAATCTCTCTGGTTCTGCGAGCACGTTTTTGACTAGTTGCTTTCATGAACGCTACCATGAACGGTTGTTTTTCTTCCTCTCCTTCCAAACTAGCAGAAACCACACCGATGTCTTCAGGTCTCATTTCGTGAACTTAAAAACAAAGTTTGCATTTAGACAACGAGAAACTGTTCTACATGAGAACACAGATAGGCCTAATGTTTTTCTGTCTGTAAAAACCTATCTAAAGTTAACAGCAGATCAATTTTGTATTTATGATGTACTAGCAGAGTACTCGTCCTTCGTACGGGGTTGGCATATAAGTTTAAAATGCTTATTGCAGTTATACTCAAGCTTTGCGTTTGCAATGGGGGAGGACACAGATTGGTAAAATTTGCTTCTTTAAATTTACAGCATACTATAATATTACACATCTACCATAGCCATAATGTTCTTATACTTCACATCAACAACAACAACAAAAATAAATGATTAAAAATTTGGAAAAAATCACAAACTATTCATGTGATGATGTTTTGTACTTAAGTAAATAGTAGGCCTCAATAAGTTTGAAAATTTGTTAAATAACTGCAAATTGTTTTACTTTTGATTTTTGTAATTTTTGAGATAAAACTCCAATCTAAGTACAATTGGCTCAAACCGATGTAATGAGTTAATCAAGAAATAAACCCTTCCCGGAGAGGTGAAAGATTCTGTAGACTTGGTTGGTCATTTGGAGTACTAATGTAAAAGGGCAAGAAATTAAAATTATTTCTGTCTGCAGAGGGTTAAGATTGAAACCACTCACCGGCACCTTGTGGCTGAACAGACAGGTAGAGGCCCCGATTGGTCCGGGGGAAGGCCACCCAGGAGGTCAAGGGCCCGGTCATGTTGAATATGAGCCACCCATCATGGTTGCGACTTGTATTCACAGCATCGATAAACTCCAGCTCCTTCTCTCTGTAACATTGAACATTTTCAGATTCTGAACATTTTTTTACTGAATAATACCCCCACTGTAGCAAACCTGCAGATTGAGCGAATTTCAATTTGTCTCATTAGATTTTTACTAAAACATTTCCATTAACAAGCTATTCCCTATTTCAATAGCATTAGATTTAACAAGTACCTACTTAAGTTTGCTGCAACGGGGGAAGGAAAGAGTATTTTTGATCAACTGCTAATGGTAGGCCTATAGGACGAAATAAATCAATTTGCAAAATTTAATCAAAATACCACCAAAACAAGCAAATTACAAGTTTTTTTTTCTCCATGAACAATAGGAATTCTAAATGGTTTTGTTTTTAATTCTCTGCGTAACCATTAATCCTCCAACAACGCTTCCATCATAGGCTATACACAATTTTTAGTTTTCTTAAGCTTTACACAATGGTTTACACTGCACTACACCAGCTGGTAGGAAATCTTGTTGGGCAAATTGATGGGATTAAGGATTCGAACAAAACATTGACTAACAAGTTGGAGAAATTAACCAATAAATATGATTTACTTAACATTAATTTTATTAAATTATTGGAGGTTAAGGCTAACGAAACTGAACAGGAAAAACTGGTTCACGAAACCGATTTCCCTATCGAATCACTCGATGTGACCATTGATTCGATGAATGATATATCGAACGCCAAAATATCGAATGCTGAAATCGATATTAACGAAAGTGAAATGGCGGGTCTCCCTAAATCAACCCTATCTCAGCCCAAAACTTCAACAAATGACGTGGCAGGACCATGGGTGAAAGCAAAAAGTAGGAACAGAAGTTATGCTTCAGCTGTAAAAATAACCAATGGAAATACACGAAGACCTACGGATCTGAAAAACGGTGTCAACAAATCTCCCGTTAGACGAAGTGTTGGCAACACTGAAACCAAGAAGAAAACAAAAACAAATTCCAATGTCGTCATCGGAACTTCTGATGAAAATGGATTAATAACTGCTGGTCAGAAGAAAGCCTGGATTTTTGTAGGGCGACTAAAAGGTGACACGACAACTGAAGCTGTTAGTGACTTTGTTAAAAACACATTCCAAAACATTGAAGTGACAACAGAAAAGTTGGAAACCAGAGGAACAAATGCAAGTTTCCGTCTCTCAGTCGACTTCGACCGAAAGGATGAGTTGATGAACCCTGCTGTTTGGCCTAAGAACACCCTACTCAAGCGTTTTTTATTCCGACGAGTGACAAACAAACCTCCTACGTAGTAAGAAAAGACAACCCACCATCAAATCCAAAGCCTACAGATGAAAATATTGTCCACACAGATCCAAAGCGCAAAGACATTACTATTTGTGCTTTAAATGTTCAGTGTTTGAGGAACAAAAGTGAACTTGTGTCTATCTTCGCTGAAGAAGCTAAATGCGATATTCTTTGTATATCAGAGCACTGGCTGGCAAATGGTGAGGAATGTTATTACTCTAACCTAGCTAACCTCAAACTTGCAAATATCTTTTGTAGAAGTGAAAGACTTCATGGTGGTGTTGCTATTTATAGCACCTGTAATATAAATTTTAAACAAATAGACACTTTGAGATTTTGTGTTGAACTCCAATTTGAGGTTACCGCCATCCTGTTGTCAGACTTCTCGGTTGTTGTGTTATCTGTGTACAGATCTCCAGATGGCAAAGTGGATATTTTCCTTGATCTGCTTGACTCCTGCCTTAATTATCTGCTAAATGCTCTCAAACCCCAGAAAATAGTCCTATGTGGAGATTTTAATATTCACCTCGAGTGTCACTCCAGAGACGAGGAACTCTTCTCTAACCTGCTTCGTAGCTATGGACTATATTTCACCACCAGACAACCAACTCGTGAGCAAGCGTGCCTCGATTCCATTGCTACCAACGTTGACTCCTGGGACTGGGAAGTGTACATAAGGGAACCCGTTGTGGCTGACCACAGTGCAGTTCTGGTTACAATAAACTCTAACAAGGTAAGCCCCTGCTCAAATAAACCTGCTTGGTATGCAAAGTATGTTGCTGCTAAAAGATCTATAAATGATAATGATATGCCTCTATTGTGTCACAAATTGCTACATGCTTTTAGGGCCATCCCAAATGCAGATAATTGTCCTGAGCCTGAGGTAGCTTTTAACATCTTTTTTGATAATTTCATGGACAATTTCAACCAAATCTTCCCTCTCAAAGTCATGAAGGCCAAGCCCCGTTCCAGTAACAAAACTCATACCGATAAATCCTGGTATACCCAGGAACTGGTCAAACTACGTTCTTACATATGTATTCTTCATGATTTTTATAAGACGTCTACTGTCCCTGAACGGAAAGAAAGACTCCATGCTTTATATCTTCAAACCAAAAGACTCTATCGTTGTAAAGTAAACGAAGCAAAAAAAGGTTCTAATGTGTTAAAGATAAAAGAGGCGTCCAACACTTGTAAAGCAGCATGGGACATTATAAATTCTCACAGGTCTCCTAAACCTAAAACCGTAACAGCAGGTTCCCCTGATGATTTTAACAATTTTTTCTCAGAAATAGCTGACAAAGTTGTGGCTGATTTACCTATTTTGCAGACTGACCCAGCGGACTCTCTACTGGATGTATCATCATTTTGCAGCCTAAATCATTGGAATCAGGTGAGCCCTAGTTTCATTATTAAACTAGTTAAAGGTTTCAAAACTCAATAGCCAGGATGTTTTCGGTGTCTCCTGCTCTGTTTTGAAGGCTGTCATCCACACCATCGTGGACCCACTCACGACTGTTGTAAACCCTCTGCCTGAGAAGCGGCTGCTTCCATGACGCGCTCAAGACTGCACGAGCCATCCCAGTATTCAAGAAAGGTGACCCCTCACTGCTGTCCAACTACAGGCCTATTGCCATACTGCCTGCCCTCTCTAAAGTCATAGAGTCTGTAATGAAGATACAATTAATAAAGTACTTTGAATCTAATCACCTACTTGCAGATGCTCAACATGGCTTTCGGAAAGGACGATCTACCACAACGGCCCTCTCTAGCTTGGTCGAACAGATTGCAGACGCTTTGAAGCTAAGGACTCAGTTCTGCTAAATATGTGTGACCTGAGTAAAGCGTTCGATGTAGTATCGCATAAAATTATTATCTCTAAGCTTAAGAAGTATGGGGTAACTGGCGTGGTCCTGCAAACCATCATCTCCTATCTAGAAGGTAGAAAGCAGGTTGTCTCTCTCGGTGGTGCGACTTCTGGGGTGAAGCTTTTGAGACATGGAGTTCCCAAGGCTCGGTTCTTGGCCCCCTCCTCTTCACTATCGTCATTAATGATCTGGCATTAAACAACAAAACATTGCTTTTTGCAGACGACACCACACTGGTCACCAGAGGCCAGTGATCTAAACCAGCTAGTGCTGACGCAGAATGCCTTCTGTTTTATGCAAAGGAGTGGTTCAGCCAGAATCTACTCAAAATAAACGACGACAAAACACAAACACTGCTATGCACACTCAAGCCAAACTACTTGGGCGAGGAAGCCGTCAAACTCTTGGGATTCTGGATTGACTCAAGTTAAGTTGGAAACAACACATTAGCCAGGTATGTGTTAAGCTTGCTAGAGTAGTATTTCTTCTGAGGAAACTGACATTGGTAATATCTAAGCCTTACTTAGTGACGGTATACCATGCTCTTTTTTCAAAGCCACGTGAGCTATGGCATTGCACTCTGGGGTCATACAGCTGCAGCACATGACATCTTGCTCCTTCAGAAGATGGCTCTGAGGGTGATAACGTCCGCCGGATACCGTGACCACTGTAGGCCTATCTTTAGGGATTTAAAGATTCTGACCGTCTACAGTCAATACATCCTCAATAGCCTGGTATTACTTAAGGAAAACTCAGCAACACTTGTTCGACGTGAGGACCAACACTCATACCAGACACGGCATGCCCATTTACTTGACCTGCCAAGATGCCGTCTTGCCTGACCCAAAAGGGCTACCCTTACTATACCAGCAAGCTCTACAACACACTCCCATCTGAAGTGCGTGAGTTAGACGTGAAAGCTTTTAGAGACAAACTGAAGGACTATTTGGTGCGCAGACCTCTCTATTCGTTGACTGAGCTAGAGGACACACCACTTTTTGGCAACCCGCTGCCATCATAAGTTTTATTACCTATTCTTTTTTAGTTATAAGTTTGACGCAATCTATTCCGACATTGTCGGTCACCGATGCAGTGCTCAAGTATCAAGTATCAAAGTATCAAGTTTCAATGAGAGTTGAGATTTTTTTGTTTTAAGTGTAAAAATAAATAAACTAGCCTAATTTAAAAAAAAATGTGTTTAAACATAGGCCTAACTTAAATGTTGATCAATGGTCAGGGGGTCAATGAAATGCACTTATTACAATGAAATTCCCTACTGTATATTTTAGTGTGGCTTTTAAATTACCAACTAAATTAAATAGGCTAATTTACAATCAAAGAAAAGTGTACCTACCGAAAGAAATAAACCATTTGGGAAAAAGCGGTAGCACTTCCAATCTGTATTCCAATATTCTAAAATCAGCTAACACCCGTGTTTCAGTTGGTAGAGTCTCCAAGAGTGACATACATCGCAATAAAAATAGTGTTGTAGAAGTGATTGGGAAAAATAGTAAATGTTCTTGCTTAAAAACTGCGGGAAAGTACGAATGGCTGTTTGTCTCCCGACTCCTACCCTTAACAACAACAGATAACGTGCTTAACTTCATGAAGAAAAGTGAAATCCAAAATAGCATCCAACCTACAAGTCTTTCAAAGTGGGAATTGACGAAAGTTCGCTGGATAAAGTCCTAACTCCCGAGTTTTGGCCTGAGGGAATTTAAGTGAGGAAATACATACCAACCAGACACCGGCAGGAGAGACAGCAAGGTAGGCCTACCATTGACTCGAATGCTTTTTTAGAGAGGTAACCCCAAAACACGAGGCAAGGAAGATGCAATCGGTAAGTGTTTGTAGACCTAGGCTATACAAGACGTAGATAAATCCTATCTGATAATGAAATTGACTTAAGGTCCAGTACCTCTGATGTAAAGTTGACAATAGGACATTTAAATGTCCAATGCTTGCGAAATAAATTTGACTCTGTGATTATACTTTGTAGATGAGGATATTGACATTTTGAGTGTTTCTGAACACTGGTTAGCAAACAGTGAGGTACAATTCTACAGTAAACTGGTAATAAAGTTAAGAATAATAGTGTCAGGTCTATTATAACAAAGTGCTGAAAAGGATATGTAGGCTAACGTACTGTACTTGAGCATGATACAGCTCTAGCTATTTAAGGCAAAGATAGATTTTAAGTAATTGTAGATTATTAGCTCACCCATCCTCCATAAGAAGTTGATAGATAGTGATTGTGAAGTTCTCTCCGGGGTCCATAGAGTAGTTTGAGTTTTGATACAGCCTTAACTCGGCATCAACCACAGTTTCTCCAATAGGAATCTCAGAAACATCGAACCACAGTCGCTTACCTCGCTCATGCCTGACACTGCTGACATGTTTATCTGGGGAAGAAGATAGCCTAGATTTAGATGCGATTGTACTAAGTTATACAAAGTTAGTTTACTATTATTTAAGTTAGGCTAATTTGATTCCTTGTAAGTCCTACTGTAATTCCTCATTTTTTTTTAAACAACAAAATTGGGATAAAGTTCTGCAGAGAACCTGCATCATACTAACTTATCAGTTTAAATATTGAAGCTAGCGATTATAATTCAATTCGATATACCTACACCTATCGCTTCAAAAGAAATTTTCACAATGCAGGCCTAAGCATAAAAAAATTGAGTTATGATCAGTTCTGTTCAACTTAAGTTAAATGTTTTTGTTATAGGTAACGTAACTTACTTTCCTGTTAAAGGGAACATTCATTATTACCTAATTGATGATTTTTTTATAGGTATATTTACCTAAGTTTATTGATATTTTATTTTAAATTCAATGTAAAACTTAGTCCTATTGATATTAGAACTTTTACCGAAACCCCGGGTCTGACAGGCCCACGGTAATTTTCACAAACGCATGTTGTCAACAATGTTTACTTGGGGGATTCCATTCACCCAATACCTTCCCCCCTTTTCCTCCTCTACCCGTTGGATATACCTATTGTTTGTTCATTTTGGTGGGTGTCATGAGCTTGTTGTCTGTTCATAACATGCCCGTCTCAGAAGCCCAGCATTAGTGTATTTAAAAAAAAAAACGGGGTCTCGCATGCCCATGGTTTTGTTTTGAGCGTTTCTAAGCGGGGTTCATTGTTTTCAAATGGGGTCCAACAGACCCAGGGTTTCGGTTGATGTTACTAAGTTAAGTACATAAATTATAAAATTAAACTGTTACCGGTATGTAGCCCAGTTAAGAAACTGTACCCCATATGATATTTCAAAAATAAATATGAGACCAGGCTAGGCCGAAGTTAAGTTATATTGCCCAAGTTAAGCTTGAATTTAAAAAAATTCAAATTTGTAACTTACTGTTGCTTGTAAATGTCATAATCACATCACTCTCGTCAATTGCATGTAAATCTCTCCCACTAAGAAAGAATTCACTCCTAGTTGTTCTGCTAAGCGAACTGCCTGAGTTTTCTAGTACAGACTTGTAGACATCAAGAAGAAATTTTGGTGCAGAACTTCCTAAAGTTTTTGAATTTGCAACTGGCCTTGGTCTATTTTCTAAACCTAAGAGGTTAAGGATTTCATGCTCCACTTCTCTTTTTTCTTGTTTAGTCATAAATCGTTGGACAATAGTCTGATCAACTCCATTGTCTATGTACAATCCTGACTTTCTACAGCTACATAATAGTAAAAGATAATGAAAGCATAGTTGAAAAACAATAACTCGCAGCATGATGTTGTCGAACATGTAACAACCTGTTGCAACCACTTATTTACGATAAAAATTAAAATTTTAAGATTAGTTTCGTAGCTGAGTAACACCTTCTTGATTTTTAGATCACTATGCCTACTCTTCTTGTAATGTTGATCACAAATTGCAACTTCAAACTAGGCGTTTTGTTTATGCTGTGCCCGAGGCAAGATAAATAAACTGTAACTAACTACGTAACCACTAACCAGACAAGCACAAGCAGTAAGCAAAGCATCACAAACAAACTAAACTTGTTTATTTTTTTATTTTCCATCTTCTTCCAGTCCCAGTCCGGACCCAGTCAGTCTGAACATAATAGACTAGACAGGCAAGGAAGAAATTTTACCGGTACAGTAACACTGTACTGTACTCACTGTAACACTTTTAAATCGACTGGGTCCGTGGATCGCATTCCGGACAGGCTCACGGGATGCATCCACAAGGTCGATTCACACACATCAGTCCAGTCACAGTTCCGTTACAGTCCAGTTACAGTCCAGTCACAGTTGTATCCGCAATTTCTCAGTCAATTGTCCGTCAGTTGGTTTCAGTCAGTCTTCCGTCTCTAATATTTACAGTAATTTACAGTCAAAAATTTTAAATTTAAAAACTATATTCTATTAAATTATCATTGTCCATCTTGTTGATTGTTACAAACAGTACTCAAAATACAAACGCAACCATTTAAATAACAATAACACTATTTTCTAACCTCAAACAGTTCCGTCAGGCGTCCGAACAATCAAAAAGTATCGTTGGAAAGAAATCTGAAATTGACTGACGGATGCCAGCAGAGTGACTGACGGGACTGCAACCGATGAGTGTAGATAGCGCAATAGAAAATCCATCAAAGAATATTTTTGTTAACTGTGACGTGCCTGAAGTGACTTCACTGTGACGTGCCGTAACTGATGTGTGTGAATCGACCTTTATTGATGGTCCGTAGATCCTTGACGTCATAAGTATACTTAATTATAAAATGAATTTTATAATTTTGTATTATAAAATTAAACTGTCGTAACCCATAGGCCGCGGCCTTCGAAGTGGCAACGTCGCAAGTAGGGTTGGGTTGTAACAGCTGTTTTTTTTTAAGAAGCTAATGGTATTTACCAAGACTGATACTGACGACTGATGCGTCCCGTGAGCCTTGCGTAAACTGGACCCAGCTATGGCGAGCCTTTCAAGACCGGAAAATGCCGCGCGTCTGCGCATGCGCAAGTAAGCGTTATTCGTAGCACTTGTAGCAGCTGCAGCTGTTTCAGAAAATCACACTAGTATCTTCACTGCAACTCTTGCAACAATCTACTTGAAACTGGAACGGTTCTCCCGCGCTTAACTCCAAACCATTTAATTACTGTAACTGAATGAAGAATTTTACAGATTATGTTTATGTATGTGTTACTTTACTTACTGTAACCTCTGGCACCTCCTTTATTTTATAAAATAAATTTTAAGTAACTTGGGTGGGCTACGTTACCGTTATCATCTATTCATCTATCTTCAATTGTACCCAAACATGTTTTCCAAAAGAGAAGATCCCAATTCTCATTTCATTTTTAATGGTCTAAGCTTTTTGAGAATTATTGGCATCTTGCTTACAATGAAATATGAAATGTATAACAAAATGTACCCAGACAGCACACTTTCTCCTCAGGACATCCCACGGATATTGCGACAGGATATGCAAGATATCCCATAGTGGTCCTATGGGCAACTTGGGATATCACAGGATATCCACAGGAATGCCTAATGTCCCCGCCCGGGGATGGATAAGCTCACACGCATATCCGTGGGACATCCGAGGTCATCCCAGGGTAGTCCTCAGGACATTCTCAGGACATATGGGACTACTATGGGATGTCCCTGGGATAAAGTGTGGTCTGGGCCTGAACATAAAAAACACAAAATAATATAGATTTAGTATGAAAAGCTTAATTATAAGTTTAGTAAATTGATTAAATAGTTAATAAACACAAATTTTGAAGAAAAAAACGAGAAAAAAGTTTTTGGCCCAGACGGGTTTCGAACCTGGTACCTTCGCCTTGTGAGCCTCTTACCTTACCTCCTGAGCTATCTGCGCTTGTTGATAAGGGTGTTTTCAAGTGGTTAAAGAGTAGCCGACAGTTGCAATGGTCGCAATACTTAAAATATTTTTGATACTACAGTATAGGCTATATACAGTATATGATTCTGTTAATCTGTTTAGGCCTCAAGTAGTTGAATTGTTTTTCTGGTAGTTGGAGAGGATACTGGTATTTGAATATAGATTATTTAATCACCATTAGATTAGCACTGTAATAATTGATTGTTATATGATTAAAATTAGTTTTTCGTTGTTTTATTAATTTAAAGTTAGAATTAAATTCACATTCCACACAACTATGATAGAACTCTAGTTTTCCTGAACTCAGTGGTAGTAATATGTCAGTAAAGTAAAGTCAACCCTTGCTAGCCATAGTATTAACAAGACATATTTTCAATCTGGGAAACCTTAAACTTTTAAAATAAATTATAAAACCTCAACATCTTAATGCGTGGGAATCTTATTTTTAGAAAAAAACAGACCAAAATTATTTGTTAAATAATGAAGACGGCCCAATTATAAATTCGGAATTACTGAAAATAATTACATCAAGAACAACACTGTAACATATCCAAAATTCAAAAGATTAATTTTTCTAATATTATTTTTTATTTTTCCAATATCCTTTAAATCATCTGTTTTAACTTTGTTTAAAATTAATTTATTAATTAAATATTTACTTTTTGTACTAGTGCCCAGACAGCACACTTTCTCCTCAGGACATCCCACGGATATTGCGACAGGATATACAAGATATCCCATAGTGGTCCTATGGTCAACTTGGGATATCACAGGATATCCACAGGAATGCCTAATGTCCCCGCCCGGGGATGTCCTACGGATAAGCTCACACGCATATCCGTGGGACATCCGAGGTCATCCCAGGGTAGTCCTCAGGACATTCTCAGGACATATGGGACTACTATGGGATGTCCCTGGGATAAAGTGTGGTCTGGGCCTGAACATAAAAAACACAAAATAATATAGATTTAGTATGAAAAGCTTAATTATAAGTTTAGTAAATTGATTAAATAGTTAATAAACACAAATTTTTAAGAAAGAAACGAGAAAAAAGTTTTTGGCCCAGACGGGTTTCGAACCTGGTACCTTCGCCTTGTGAGCCTCTTACCTTACCTCCTGAGCTATTTGCGCTTGTTGATTATGGGTGTTTTCAAGTGGTTAAAGAGTAGCCGACAGTTGCAATGGTCGCAATACTTAAAATATTTTTGATACTACAGTATAGGCTATATATGATTCTGTCTGTTTAGGCCTCAAGTAGTTGAATTGTTCTTCTGGTAGTTGGAGAGGATACTGGTATTTGAATATAGATTATTTAATCACCATTAGATTAGCATGTAATAATTGATTGTTATATGATTAAAATTAGTTTTTTGTTGTTTTATTAATTTAAAGTTAGAATTAAATTCACATTTCACACAACTATGATAGAACTCTAGTTTTCCTGAACTCAGTGGTAGTAATATGTCAGTAAAGTAAAGTCAACCCTTGCTAGCCATAGTATTAACAAGACATATTTTCAATCTGGGAAACCTTAAACTTTTAAAATAAATTATAAAACCTCAACATCTTAATGCGTGGGAATCTTATTTTTAGAAAAAAAAACAGACCAAAATTATTTGTTAAATAGTGCATGAAGACGGCTCAATTATAAACTCGGAATTACTGAAAATAATTACATCAAGAACAACACTGTAATATATCTAAAATTGAAAAGATTAATTTTTCTAATATTATTTTTATTTTTCCAATATCCTTTAAATCATCTGTTTTAACTTGGTTTAAAATTAATTTATTAAGTAAATATTTACTTTTTGAACTAGTGTAAACACAGCCTGAAGATGGAAACCTAGTTTCTGAAAGCGCTAGTGAATAAAACAAATTATTATATATAGGCCTTGGTGAACATTTAAATTTAGATATACATTTCATCAGTGGTAGTAGTTTTTTTCTTCAGTTTGTTACCTGGACATTACGGGACATTACAGGATATCCAGTGGATTTTGTACATGTCCCGGGATGTAATGGGACATTCTGGGATATCCTATGGCATTCGTACATATCCCGGGACTTTACAGGATATCCTGAGGTTAACTTACAAATCCCGGGACATTACGGTATATTGTAGGATATCCTGTGGATTTCGTACTCGTCCCGGGATTTTGCGGGATATCCTGAGGATAGCGTACATATCCCGAGACATTCTCAGGACATAGGGGAATACTATGGGATGTCCCTGGGATAAAGTGTGCTGTCTGGGTGTAAACACAGCCTGAAGATGGAAACCAAGTTTCTAAAAGCACTAGTGAAAAAAACAAATTATTAAATATTGGCCTTGTTGAACATTTAAATTTAGATATACTGTACATTTCATCAGTGGTAGTATTTTTTTTCTTCAGTTTGTTACCGGGACATTACGGGACATTACAGGATATCCAGTGGATTTTGTACATGTCCCGGGATGTCATGGGACATTCTGGGATATCCTATGGCATTCGTACATATCCCGGGACTTTACAGGATATCCTGAGGTTAACTTACAAATCCCGGGACATTACGGTATATTGTAGGATATCCTGTGGATTTCGTACTCGTCCCGGGATTTTGCGGGATATCCTGAGGATAGCGCACATATCCCGAGACATTCTCAGGACATATGGGACTACTATGGGATGTCCCTGGGATAAAGTGTGCTGTCTGGGTAAATGTTCAACAACGCTAATACATAATAATTTATTTTATTCACTAGCGCTTTCAGAAACAAGTTTTCCATTCAAAAGCGCTAGTGAATAAAACAAATTATTTTATTGGCTTTGCCTTGTTGAACATAGCTGGCTTATTAATTGGAATCCTTCTGTACTTCTCTCGTCCATAAACTAAAAATAAAATTTTCCACATAAACTACAAAGTACTCCAGTGTTATTGATGTCTTCCATATTACTCGTATTTCTCAGAATCTTCGCATTGAAGAAGGAGCACATCATCGATAATAAATGACCTCCGCAACACAGCAGCAATAAAAATCTATCAATAACATTAACCCCAACTTCAACTCAGACATAACTCGATCATAACATAAAGAATAATAAACTATATGAATAATAATTATGAGGAACTAGTTGCAGTTGCAGTGCAGTCAAGATAAATATTACGACAACGACGCTAGTTAGTGGTTAGTGACCGTGACTTTCTGAAATAGCTGCTGCTACGCCACCAGTTACTAGCGCATGCGCAGAAGCGCGGCATTTTCCGGTCTTGAAAGGCTCGCCAGCTATGGGTCAACTAACTGAGGAGAGAAGTTCAGAGTTCAGTTCAGTTCAGAGACAGACGTCAGACCATTGATTATAGCTCAAGCTCAGTGCGCCAGACTTCAGACAGACTGAGACAGACTGTCAAGTCAAATGCTGTCAGTCAGACTCAGACAGAAGGCAGAACGAGAACGACAGAACAGTCGTTATCAAACCGAACTTCCTCACCCTCACCGGTCACCGCAGCACCGTCGTACGGCAACGGCAGCAGAAGCAGTGAAGCAGTCGAGTCAAAGATAAGATTATTAAGTTAGTCAGTCAGAACAGAACAGAATCATTGAATCAACCGTTTCTTTTGCCTTTTTCTCCAGACGTTGCTGTAATTTGAAAGATAAAATAATATTAGGGTGGATGTAGAGTTTATGAGAAAACTAAGGTAAGATGAACTGTAACAGTGACTTAGCCTAGTTTGTATATGACTTAGGCCTTTTATATTAGGGTAACTTAATTATATTTGGTCCAATCTAGCTCGACTTCTCCAATCATTCACTTTTACCAAAGACTACCATCACTAAGGCCTAAGTACTTGTTCATAAAAATCATTATTCCCAAACAGGCTAGGGCCTCTGCCTAAAAGGGTAACTTTAGACCCAAGCTGAATACAGTAGACTCCCTCTTATCCGGACACCTCTTAACCGGACTACACTCGTCAGAAATGGCATCTCTTTAACCGGACAATTTTTATCAGCACATCGGTTTAACCGGACTAGATCGGCAGGAAGTGGGTGGTACAGTACTGAAACGACTGCTCTTGTGAGAAAGATTTGAGACCAGTGATCACGTGTCTAAATACAATGCTCTCCTAAATTTAAGTCAAATCCTTTCTACAGTAGGCCTATGCATTTAAACGGTCCGTTTTAACTAGTTTTCGGGGACGTCGGTTTAACCCTCCAAGTGTCCATAGTTTAGGCCTTAATGTCCACCTATTTTTGGCGCATTTGCAAGGTTTTATTAAAACGGATCTGAGAAGCTTAAAACAATGTTAATTCTAATGTTCTATATACCATTTTGTTTGGAAAATCATGGGCTTCAATATTACATATAAAACATGAGGAACATTTAAAAAAAAAAAAAATTTAGGTAAAAAAAATATAATTTTGAAAATTAAAAAAAAAAAAATAAGTTCGCGCTCAATGAAATTGTATAAATTATAGGCCTATAAATATTTGAAAATAGCCACTTTGTTCTAAATTTTATGAGGATTACAAATATATAATAAAATAAGGAAGTATATTTGCAAATAAATAAGTTATGGGCAAAAAACTGATTTCAGTACATAGCGTTTAGCTAAGAATGCATAGCCTAACCATAGCTAGGAATCTGGCTGATAATGTACATCAATATCACTACCTACTTCTTCAGGATCATCAACCAGCACTTCAAAACCACTTAAATCTTCTTATAATGCACCACGTATATCACTACTTTTGATTTTTAACACTAAAACAATGATAAACGTAATAAAACACATCAGTCATCGGTCCGGGGGAACCTAGCTGTTTACAAATACACGCACGTCAGCTGTCTACTACAATATTTTCGGAACTAAAATGAATAGCGCTTAGAGACAGACCTCTGGAGAAAGCTTAGAATATAACGGAAAGAATGATACCTAACTCGATCCAGTTCAATCCGATTCAGTCAGTCATAGAGCCTTCGCCGTAAACGATGTCTGCGTGTCGAAAAATCGACAAGTAACACTACACAAAGTGTGCTGCTTGTCGAATTTTCGTCAAGTAACACTGGGAGGGTTAACCGGAAAAATCGTTATCCGGACTGACCTTGGTCCCGAGGAGTCCGGATAAGAGGGAGTCTACTGTAGTTTTATTCAAAACTTTGAAAAACTATGAATGCAATTTGTTGCCTACTAAGGCTGGTTTGTGGTAGGCCTATATAAGTTATCTGTATCAAGAGCAAACCTATCTTCCTTATTTACCATGACAGCATTAAACTTTTGAGCTTTTCATTTAAGTAGGCTGGGCCTAGTGAATCCAGTACTTGCAAACTCCCCATCAATGTAGGCAAAGAAAAAAATGTTATTTGGCCTTTAAGTTTTTCACTACAGTAGACTCCCTCTTATCCCGACGCCTTTTAACCGGATTACACTTGACGAAAATGACATCTCTTTAACCGGACAATTTTTATCAGCACATTGGTTTAATCGGACTAGATCGGCAGGAAGTGGGCGGTAGTGAAACAACTGTTCTCGTGGGAAAGATTTGAGACCAGTGATCACATGTCTTATATACAATGCTCTCCTAAATTGAAGTCAAATATCACCGTAAACGATCCATTTTAACGAGTATTTTGGGATGTCGGCTTAACCAGAAAAACCGTCATCCGGACTGGCCTCGGTCCCGAGGAGTCCGGATAAGAAGGAGTCTACTGTAGCCTATAGACATAGACTGACTTATGTCACATTTACAAACACAATCAAACTAAAAGACCTTAAAGCCTAAAAACTAAAAGACCTTAACATAACCTAATTTCGGTAGACAAGTTAAAAAAATACAATATCCAATAAATAATAATAATAATAAATAGTAAATACAAGTTCTTAACCTTCCATCGGGTGCATCACGGAAGTTACCTCTGGGTAGGTACTTTTTTTGTTATAAAAGCCATAGTATATGTTCGGCAGGGCTGTCGCTTGATTTACCACACGCACCTCTTTTGCAGAATTGGTTTTGTCTACTCTTACTCCTTTCCCAGTTGTCAGTCGACCTTGGGATGGCTTTTTAGTCACTACTGGAAGTAACTTCCGTGTGCTCCTTGTGATGTAACGGGTTTCCTGGAGCCTAGTTCCTTGTGCGCCCTTGTGTTTGACCTTATTTAGAGATTATAAAATGTATGAAGAAGAACGAACTGCGAGATTGTTTGCTAGAGTTGAAAGGGAGGACAGGGAACAACATTTAGTGGAAAGACCTAATGGTGCGTTTGTCCAGGAACATTTTTTATCAAGAAAAAGAGCTTTGACAAAATGACTCCTAACAGATGATTTTTTTCACTAGACAATAGGCGTTTTTATTTCAAACACTAATTGCAATTTTTTCTAAAAGCTTTGACAAAGTAAGTTGTCCTTATGAAATGATCTTTTTTTGTAATACCATAAGTTAAGTGTTTTGACGTCATACACTGATGCAATTTTTGTCTAAGAGTTTTGATCGAACGTAAAAGTAAATTGATACCAGGCCTAGGTCTTTCCATGAATACTACATTAATTAGCTTATTTCCTATAATGGGAAATTTGCTAATATTCCCTACAGGTTCTATGGGAAATTTGTTAATATTCTCTAGAAATTCTCCAATAAAAACAAATTTAAGTTACAGTATAGTTGTTAATTTTATTGACTATATTTATACTAAAACGTTTTTAACGTTGGGTAACATCAGTGCTCCCTTGAGGCCTACCCACAGTAACTTGGGGTGAGATGTAGCTCAGGAATTAGTCGGGATTTTAATTTATTATTAGCCCATAAAACATGAAAAAGAATGCAACTGACTGTTTACAAATGAAAAGGAAGAGTTGACTGGAACAGAGTTAATATTTAAGTTTGATAGAAATCCAACTTTTAAAAAAGACAACTTGTTTGAGGAAGGAGAAAAAACAGCTGATAGGCTATTTCATATTGATTTAACATGTTCCAACGAGTTTTTCTCCCTACATTTAAAGTGTTTTTCTAACTGATGGTGCACAATGCAGCGATCCTAGTTTTAGTTTTCTATAACACATGTTGAATTGTTGTGAAACCTATATCAACAGCTGTTTAATCTTCTCATTGCCTTCCTACCCTTCAAGTACCGGTAGAAGTTGCTGTAACAAATTGGACCTGTCTAAACCTTCATTGGCACAACTCAATTGTGCTCTAAGGTGAACAACAGAGACTTTGATTTCAATTTTGTCACTTAAGTTAAGGGGTTTTTGACAAAACATGCGCTTTTTGGGGTCAGCGTACAAAGTACTTACTATTAAGCTATTTACTGGCTTTAACTTGCTAAATACAAAACAAAATTAAGGTTTAGCTGGCTGGACCAAAAATCACTTATTTTAAAATTAAATCTTGTATTGTATTAGCTTCTGTTCTAACCAACACAATATGTCAGAATTGTGTCCAAGCTCATCAAGCAATTTCGTAAAAAGCTTAATCAATCACTGATACCTCCATGACATTGTAGAAATAAGTGATTGTTAATATACTTTATGTGTTTTGTGTAATTTGTTACAGATTGTTTAAATTGTGGTGAAACGTAAATATGAAGGTTTGAATAAGTCGTCACACCTTTGAAGCCACTCAGTAATTAGGTAAGTCTTCATCGAGCATTTACATACAACTAGGCCGTACTCCTTGAAATCCCTTTCACCTCACAACTATAAAAATGCATCAAGAATAACAGAAAAAAGTAATGATGATAGACATTGGAGTTGAATAGTTAATTTGTTATTTACATGAATCAGTGCACACAGAAATATTTTCTACACTAACATATTAATAAAATACCTACCTTTGTATGGTCACCATTTCAGTTAAATGCATGAAAGTATTAGGTATCATCCCCAATACTTTGTTGATTTATGTTTTTAAAATATTCTTTTGTTTGAAGTAGGTACCTAGGTTGTTTTTTTCAGTCTAGCTAATTTCAAATAGTCAGTGAATACATAAGTCAGTAATTAACAGCAGCACTCAGTGGGAGGCTTAGCTCAGTTTACGGTAATGTTAACTGGTTACTGTAACAACCTTAACAAGGGAATGGGAAATAGGCTACTGGTTTGTTAACAGTTTTTATTAAAGAAAAGGCGTCATGTCCACAAAATAGTTTGTCCAGAAGTTTTGGTGGACCCAGTTTCAAGAACAGTATTGATAGCTTATCCATTGATAAAAGCACTTTGCATGCTTCCAGTCCATTTGTAGATATGAAATCAAATGTGAATAGATTTTTACGGAAGTAAAAAAATCTCATCCTGCAAATGAAAAAGCAGTTCACTCAAACGCCTTGCTCTGGAATACTACTGCTACATACTTGTGTTTGTGTAATTGTTATGGCTCGTTTCACTAGCTTTGGTGATTGGGTGTGTCATCCATTAATTGTGTTATTATTACCGTAATGAAAATCAAAAACTACTTTGTTTGAAGTTCATTGTTGGTGAAGGAGGGGTCGAGGTGTTTGATGGATTATTGGTGACATTTTCCATCACAATTAGTATTAAATAAAGTTTTCACAACATTCTATGTGATTTTCCTTCTTTAGCTAGGTTTGTTTATTTATTATGTTATGTTTTAGTTGGGTCTATTATCTCACCTTAGGATTAAATCAGATTCCTGATCCTGAAACGTTGGGAAAACTTGTTTTATACTGATTATGATGGAAAGTGTTTATGTGTTATGTGTTTATGTGCTCCCAGTTTCAAGAAAAAACGATTAATTTTTTGGTTTACCTTATGATTGCCATGGTTCTTGATTATTGTGTTTATTTTCTTTAGTATTTCATTAATCATGTTTTCAATAATTTGAGGATCGTACCCATTGTTGATGGCTATCAATTTTATTATTTGTTTTTCTTTGCAGTATTCTGCTTGGCTCAGGTTGTCGTTTAGTAATCTATACACTAGAGATCTGAAAGCTGCTATTTTTTTTGTTGTAAGGGTGGTTTGAGTTAGCAGGAATCACAAGATCGGTTTGGGTTGGTTTTCTGTATATTCCTATTTCTACTGTACTGGTATTGTTTTTTGTTACTGTTACGTCCAGGAAATGTATAGAGCTGTTGGTTTCGTGGTCGATTTTGAATTTAATACTATTTGAGGTTGTCTGTTTTGGCCATTTAGGACAACGAAAGCATCATCAACGTATCTAGTGTAGAAAATGATTTTATTGTTTCATTGATTGTCATCATTAACCATTTTCTATACTAGATACGTCAATGATGCTTTCATCGTCCTGAATAGTTGAATGTTAAATGACACACTCGTGTTGATGTTAAGAAAGTGATGGGGATCTTCTGCAAAAAACCCCTTTACTCATACTTTAAAATCAACTGATACTCCTGTCAAGACATTGAGTGCGAAATGTGTGTCACACCCCTCAAACTTACTCAGGTTTTGGCAGTTGAAAATCTTTCACAATATTAACCCTGTTGAATTTTTAACTTTTGTAGTTTGTATGACTTTCACTATGATGATAATCTCTTTTGGTCTCTTAAAACTAAGTTTCATACTATAGTAATGGAATTTTATTACATTATTCTAGACACTCCATGTCTAGCGCTGTTTACTTCTCCACTGTTGGTGTACATAATATCAGTCGAGTTAAATAAATAAACAAATATGACAGGCTCTCATGCTTCTTTGTCTTTCACTCTACTTCATCTGGACAACCCATGAAGGTTTTCCATAGATAATGACATTTTACCTCTGTATTTGGGAATAAAATATTCATAAAATTATGTATGATAAAGCATATTGATAATATTTGGTGATGGCTGTGGTAGGTGAGTTACTCACACAACACCAGCTACTGCAGTGTAGTGTAGCAGAGTAGTGACTGCAGCGTACCGTGTTTCAGCTGAAGATGGCTGTGTTCAACAGAGAGGATGGCAAGCTGGCGATGGGAAGCAAAACCCCTGTCTCAATCCTGCAGGAATTGCTACATAAAAAGGGAATGACTCCACACTACGAACTCATTTACAATGGCACAGGAACTAAAGACCCTCTTTACAAGTTCAAAGTGTCAGCAATGAATATGATAGCCATTGGTGACGGGAAGACAAAAAAAGAGGCAAAACATGATGCTGCTGCGACGTTGTTAAATAGGCTGCTGGGGAATAGAGAATTTGAGATGAATGGTATGGACTTTGTCGATAGAAATCACAAGGAAGATGTAGATATAGCCTCACCGTATACTGGTTCGATAAAGATGAACTTTGTTGGCAAGTTGGATGAAATCTGTGTCCTCAACAAGATTCCCATCGCCAATTACAGTCTAGCCTCAGAAGAAGGTCCGCCTCATGCGAGAATCTTTGCGATGAAATGCACTTTGGGCAAGTTCTCTGAAGTCGCTGTTGCTCGCACAAAGAAGCAAGCTAAACATTTAGTGGCTCAGAAAATGATCGCCAAGATGGAGAAACTTCTAAAAGAACGTTTTATACCCGCCCAGGAAAATGAGGAGCCTGCAGAAGAAATAGTGAGGGATCAAGAAAAGATTAAAAACGGGAATTTCATTCATGACTGGTCGTACGAGGTGAAACATCTTCATAATATTTTTCACGTGCGAAAAGACGAGGTCCAACTTCCCTCCATTTTTGTGAGTCTGCCTGATAAACCAGAGGAGTTTTACAAGTTGATGGAGGACCCAATGACATTTCTGGAGGAAGTTGTTGATGCCCTGGAAGGAGTTGTAACAAGGACTTCTATCTCTCCAGATAAGATTGGGTCTGCTTTGGAAGAGCTGTCTGAATTGTTGTTTGAAGATGATTTTCCCGACTCGTATAAAGAATTGAAGGAAATTGAGGCAAGAGAAAAAGGAAGTGAAAGTGACAGCATTATCAATGTATTACCTGAATTCCTCTCATCAGACCCAAAAGAAGATGAAAAGCCAACTAACTCCTCATTTGTTGGAAGTAAAATTGATGAATGTGTTGATCAATTTGAGAATATTGAAATCGTCGAAGATCACACTTTAGTTTTTTGTAATGTAAAAGTAGAAATCCCTTTGGGCCTGTGGAATTTTATTGGCAGAGGAAGAAATGAAGAAGAAGCTTCTGTAAATGCTGCTAGGCAAGCTTTACAATTCCTTAGAACTATGGCCATTCCTCCTCCTGGGGAATTTTCGTGATAAGTTACATTTCAAATTTCAAACACCGGCCTTGACATCAAAGATCTTTTTTCCAATCAGGCAAGGTTCTATATTATAGAGAAAACCCCACTTGTAGCAAATTATCAACTGAATCATTAAAATTTCTGTTTTCTGTTTAGATTTTACTAGGAAATTACAATCAAAGTTTAAGACACCCGATTTTTAATGTAAAAAAAAAAAAAATTTAACCCTACGACACATGTAGTAAAATTGGCTGTATGTTGTGCGGTATGACCAAAACATGTTTTAACATTCTAGTAGCAATTTTACAAACAAATTAATGTTTTCCAAGTAAAAAGTTATAAAACTTATTTCCACTTTGAGGTAAAAAAATCCTTCTGCAGAGACCAAACTGATTGTAATGTTGTTTCAAAAAAACAAAATTTCACTGAGGACATGTTTTAAAAAGCTATAATGTACTCAGGCACATTTAAAGTACACTAAAGAAACAGGTTAATATTTTGTTGTGAGTAATAAATAGAATGATGGGACACTTCCGCCAATTGCACAGTTTAATATGGTTCAAACTTGTCTCCGAGGCCGAACAATGCATTGCCCTTTTACCTTTCAAAGACTACATATGGGATAAATTTAGCAGTTAAAAACCTTACATGGACAAAAAAAAAATATGGATTTTCATCCATTGGAATGAAAATCAATGGATTTATGCTCTAGTGAATATGCTATTTTCAGCGGAGAAGTGTTTTGTTTGGAAAACAATCAATTTTCTTTATTTGTCTGGATAGTACAGCACACTATCTCAGAGTACCCATCTTAAGACTGGTAGATTTTGGATTATTTATATTTAGTCATTGTTTGTTTTTTAAGCTACAAGTGTTAAGAATTAAGTGTTAACGGTGCGAGCATTATAGTTCCCACAAAAGGTAAGACGAGGAATGTTATTACCTTCCTTAACAACCTTCCTTGACAAATCATTCACAATACCTTTTACATCACCACACTACCAGCAACAAATATACATGATCTATGGTAGCTTTGTAGAGGCTTGAGAACCTACTAAAGAAATGTTATATTCTTTTTATATATTATTATACGAGTATATAAATATATATATATTATATTATTATATTGTTTTATTTGTGAAAAAAAGCATCGTAAGAGTACTCAGCAAATTTATTGAGCTCCAACTGATTTTATTGAGTGCCTTTTGCAAACAAATTTCAAATCAGATCAAAATAAACTTTATTAGCCTATATGCACTTGCATTACATTGAACACAGTCAATCATTCTGAACTACAATAATAAATAATATACTGAGATATTAATAAACAAAAATAATATTTTCAAGAGCCTTTGCAATTTTTCAAAATTTTCAAAAGGGTAGTTTTTTTAGTTTTATTTTAAATGACCTTCTTTGCCACAACTAGACCAGACATCAACTGCTTACCGTGTAGGCAAAAAATATATTACATAAACATATATACAAATATATAAATAATAATATATTAATAATAATAATATATTAATAATTAATTAATAATTAATGTTATGTAAAAACATAATTAATAATAATATATTAATAATTAATGTTATGTAAATATATTACATAAACAATCTTGTTTTGGAACTTTCAACTTTTATTAGCTCGCATCGTATATTAAAACTAAATATAAGAATCAATAATGCTCAAACTGTTATGGATTTTTAAAACTACTAGATCCCTGCCTCATAAGGTTCTTAAATTTTCTATTTGTAAATACTGTATAAAACACAGGTACTTTACAAAAAGAACTATAGGGTGAGTGCACCAGTGAATTACTGTTTTGTATAAAAAATTGAATAGAAACTTTGGTGCCCACTTGGAATCCAACATGTTCCTGGTTCAAAAAGAAAGTTTTAATCATACTTTAGTAAGCTAATACAAACAAAATTAAGTGTTCCAACCAGTTTTTCAAGATTTCCACTATTGTGTCTTATACAAACAAGGTTGGTTGTATTCATTTGCCACGATTATTGATTATTACTGATTATTGATTATTATTACTGATTATTATTATTGATTATCATTATTATTGATTATAATTATTGATTATTGATTTTATTTGATTATTGATGGAAACTGCAATATATTATTTATGTAATTCATAGTAAACGTGTTAAGGTTAAAAACCAATAATTATCTGATCAATTGGTCATTGGAACACATGGGGTGAAAAGGTGGGAGGCAACAATTTAAATAACATGCGGTCATTTGCTGACGATTCACCAAAGATTTATGTGTGATAAACTGTATTTTCGGCACAATTTTTCAAGTTATATAATTAGGAATTACAGGAGAATCTAAGAATACGTTGAAACTATTCTGTACATTGTAGCTTAATTGCCTACTTTCTCACTTCGGATACAAGTGTAAACTCGAGCTTAAAGATCATTCACTGGTGCCCTCACCCTACCATATAACCATTACATTCCCAAAGATTGTATTTGTTCTTTTAGTTTGTTTGAATAAATTGATACAAAAATGTTTTTCTGGTTTGTTTATTTCATCTCCTTGTCATAAAAAGAGCGTAGTTCAATAGAGCAACTAACTAGAATGATGTGAGTGTTATTCAGAGTGGGTTGTCGTAAACAATATTTCTATCCTCAGAACCAATCAAAGCCCTTGGAATCAAGGTATTTTGTGTCAGGTCCTCATATTTGAGAACTTTTCTGTACCTATTGTTAAAATAAAAAATGAATTGATGTCCTAAAATGACAATACAAAAATAGAATCTGAATGTAGAGCAGTAAGGCTACCTTATATTTGAATTTTACTTATTAAGGCTTGTGTCAAAATCCCTGCCATTGAATTATTGTGGACTTAATACTTACAATGAAATAATAAGGATGTATTATTTCCGAAAGTCATCACAGATTCACAATTAAATTTACAATTAATTTTTATGTTTTGGGTCAACATGAATAAAGGATTTTACAAATTGATCTAGATCTTAGTGTAACATTGTTAGTTGCTAAAACCTTTTGACTATTGATGAAACTAGACATTCCATCCCCATGTTGAAGTTGTCAGTTTTTTAATCAAAATCAGCGTAGTTAATGTAAGCCACCAACAGTTTGTGCAGTTTGTGCTCTAAATTAGTAATTTCTGTTGAAAAAGCAAACTTTTTTCCTACCATAGTCAAAATGAGCTAAAGCAACCGTTGTAAACTATTTCAGCAACACAAAATAAGGTAGAAAATATAATTTTGACACGAGCACATTCTGTGACTGGCTCACACAACTATGTTAAATTCTAATTTAAAAAATTGCGATAGTTGGTCCATACAGATGGGATGTCTACTTCAGTATCCAATAGTCAAACCCAGTTGATTCCTTGACCAAGTTTCCAATAATACCTAGTAGGGTCCAGTTTTTAACTTCCAACTATGAACAAAACCAAACACAACTTTAATAATTACTGACTTACAAAATAAGCTCCACGCTCCAAGAGGTAATTACTGGTTGAAAGATTTAGCTAACCAATCTTGCTCTAACAGACTATCTATTACATGTGCTGCACCCTAGAAGTTAAGATTACAACCACAATACTTGGGCTTTGGCCAGTATTGTATAGTGCTATAAATAGTTTGGTCTGACCAATGGCAGAGCAGTCTAATGCCCCTGGCCAGGAGACAGTGCAGGTTAATAAATAAACTGTTGACATCTTAGGTAAAGTCAGCGGAGTGGATTATTTGTAAGCTGCACCTCGAATCAGGCATTGTGCTACAACTTTTGACCTATCCTTACTTGTTGCGTTTCCACCAAAAACTTGTTTTCAAACAATCAGCGTTTTCCATCAAAAATGAAGGAAAAGAACTATAAAATTTGCCCAATTAAATTACAGAATGGTTCTTGTAGTTCCAAAGGGTTGCAGAGCTTAACACTCAGTTCCAAGAAAACTTATGATGAGCAAGGGGATCCATCCAAAAGTTTGAAAACACTTAAAATAAGTATCTAAGATATGATACATAACGTATAGGATTTACATAAAAATAATCTTAGTATTGATCCTTCTTAGTTGCTGCTATTATGGATCAAAATCTAATTCGGAATTTGCAAAGCTGCTAGTAGTATTTAAGTAAAAGTTGTGTATCCCCCAAAAGCAATAATAATTTCATGTAATAACCTAAAAACCTGTAATATTGTCACGGTCATGCTACAAGGATTATAAACAATATAAAAGGATAAAATTTAAAGTTTCCAATCCTCATGTTAATTACAAATTGACACTTCTGCTGGAATACAGAAAAAAGAAATTCAGTGACTTAATAATAAGCATTTTGGAAAATCATTAAATTACTACGCTTGACCGTCCTTGTGAGAATGGTATAAATTCCCTTAACAGTGACAGAGAACTTTTCCTCTTGCAGTAATCCTCGACTGGTATCAAGATGGCTGAGAACATTTTCCTCTTTGTGCCAAACCTGATCGGCTACGCCAGAGTAATATTGGCAATCATTTCGTTCTACTATATGGCCACCGATTGGTCGGTCGCCGTAGTCTGCTATGTTATCTCTGGGCTGTTGGATGCTCTTGACGGACATGCTGCCCGTTACCTCGACCAAGCCACCAAATTTGGCGCCATCTTGGATCAATTGACTGATCGCTGTGGCACCATGTGTCTGTTGGTGACGCTGAGCAACTTTTATCCGAGGTGAGATGTTGCGTTGGTAGCTGTCCTATAAAATGCAACCTTTCTTTTAAAGGGTATTTGCTTTTTTTTTAAATACACCTCTTGCTTAAAGATTATTTTTATAAGAAGATAGAAATCAGCAAGCTTAGAGAGAAATTACAGTTAAAGTTAAAAACTCGAGTCTCTTTCTATTAAAGAGTGTTAGCTTTATTGTATCTAAAAGGTCAAGTAGCATCTTCCTCTGTATCATGTACTGATATTCTCGCTCCTTCCCCAGGTACATGTTTTGGTTCCAGTTGTCCATGACCATCGACGTCGCCTGTCACTGGATCTACCTTCACTCATCCCTTCTGCAAGGCAAGACCAGTCACAAACTCATCGACCTTGGTGCCAACCCCATTATGAAGATATACTACACCAGCCGACCTGTTCTGTTCTTCATGTGTCTCGGAAACGAAGCATTTTTTGCCTCCCTTTACGCAATGCATTTTGCGGAAGGCCCAGTTATCGCTGGGATCGGGTTGTTCCGTCTGATTTGTTACGCGTCCGCTCCTGTGATGGCGGTAAAGACGGCCATCTCACTTGTGCACGGCTACGTTGCGTGCTGCAACATTGGCTCTATGGACGTTCAGGAAAGAGAGAACAGGAAGAAGTAAAGGATTCAATTACAAACCTGGCTTTGGGTTTTGGGATGCGTGTTTGGGGATCGCAGATTACAATGGTTTGAGGCCGTTCCATTCTAGTAGTTTTGTAGAGTTCCTGAGAGAGTACATGCTAATTTTGATTTATCAATGAGTCACCAAGTGGCTGTAAATAAAATGGTACTTCTACATTATATAACAGAACTGTCAAAGTATGGAACAACAAAATTTAAATCTGTTCTTGAATTCACATTACCTTTTGTTGTGCCATTCTTAGACCAAAGCTTCTTAAATATACATTCTTTATTACGTTATTCATGGACCAAAGAGAGCATTTAGTTTTTATCAGTTTTTCTACCCTTGTAAAACTTCTTTTGATACTTTTAATGAGTAATTTATATTCATATTATGATGAAGATAGTTTATGTTTTAAATTATTATTATAATGTTGTTTAATTTATACTTTTATTGCCTATAAATCTGTTGTATCATAAATGGCAAATTATGTAGTATAGTACAGTACCGTACTGATATTGTTGAATGTTCTGAAGTATAGATTACATCTACAACATAGTTTTTATTTAGCAAGTTAAAACTGTCTATGCAAATAAATTCTTAATTTTCTAGTGAAAAATATTTGTTTAATTATTAGGCTGCTATGATTATGTAAGTTGATCTTTCAAATTGTTCCAAATAAATTAATGAAAAACTATACACCATACTCAACAATAGATTTAAATAATGAGGTGTGTCATTAAGTTAGAACAAAGTCTTTAAAAATATGTTAAAATAAAAACAAAATCTAAATATTATAAAACAGTAAAAAATGTTAGATACTTTTAAAAAAGAGAAATTCTTATGATCAGGAATTATTTTTGTTACAAATAATTGGAAAGGGAGTACTTTAAGAGTGATAGAAAAAGAGCCACTTTAGGCCCTGAGTGATGAAATATACTATTTTAGTATATTTACACTACTTTTACAGTATTGAAAACAGCCGCTATTGCAGGATTGTTGTGGAAATATATTTTTGTCCCCCCTCAAGTTGTATAGCAATTCAAAGTTCAATACTGTGGATAAACTAGACTGAGACTCTATATCCATAATACAAATTCTCCCTTTTTCCTTTATTTTTTTGTTTGTTCATTTATATACAAGGAAAAAAATGAAAAAACAAACTGTGAAAAAATCACATTTGTGGAGCTTTGCCTATTCTCCATTCGTGCAAAAGTAACATTAGCTACAATGTTTTTAGGGTAATTATGGAGCTCTTTGTGAATTGTCAAGGTGTAGCAGAAAATTAGTGTTTGTTTTCGTCTTAGTGTTAAAAGTATTTAAGTGTTAACCATACTCATATAAAGTTTAATCCAAGTATGCACTTCATCGTGAAAATAAGAGTAACCATAACTCGATGTTACACTGAATCATTCTTCTTGTAACTGTACTTAGTTGTTTTAAATGTTATTTCTATATTATTGTCACTATCATTCCTGTGGTATTTTTTACAGGTTGTTGTGTCTTTAGTTGTATTTTTCTACTGCTTGAGTTACCATGTTTATTTAGTGTTATATTTTATCTAAGGATCAAACACTGGTGGAAAATAAATTATTCTAAAGACATCATGGTTCTGAGATAAAAACTGAAATAGATTAATACAAGATTTTGATTGATTGCAACTAACCAAAATCATTTTGGTCCATGAGTGTTTCTCAGATTTTTGCAGGTACCGAAATCTCAGAAGTTTTTAGAAAATATATTTCCGATCATTGACATTGGATTAAATTTGATTAAAAGTTTACTTGGAATGGGATTTGTTCTTATCTTGCTGGCCGGATTACGAACGACAATGAATGTTTACGTTTTAGTGGTAAATCTATATCCAAAGTTAATACCAGTATCTTAATAAGTACAATAACAATCAACAAATAGTTTCCACCAGTGATAGAAATATATTTGTGATACTGATAGTGTAGTTTAGTCCAATTGGACCTCCAGAATGTCACAATTCCAGTAGATATTAATTCCAAAGAGTGTTAATTGTGTTACAAAAGCCTTTATAGGGATCTCTTCCAGTGTCAAATAAATATTTAAGTGTGAAACCAAAGTTTTTTTTTATTTTCAGTCAAACTTTTCCCCATGACAACCTTTTTATATTCTACTGCTTATCGGCAACAAAATCCTGGACATCTCCTACGATTGTTTACACATCATCCTGCGATTACAAAATAACGTTACCTACGCCATCTGCGCTTGAATTTTTTGATTGCGCAAACTTTGCAGATGTGTTTTAGGATCAGAATTGTAAAAGCTCGACTCAAGCTTGATTTTCTGAATTTTTGCTCGATCTCTCAAGCTTTAAGGCCAGGCTCGGCTCGAAAATCGACTGATTGAAGGTATGCCATCAAAGACTGAGAAATCAACTATAACAATTAAAAATGCTATATGAAAATAAAACTTACAAAATTATTTTGTAAAGATAAGTAATTATTGTATCTAAAAGTAAGTAAATCAATATCATTTTCAAAAGTATATTTCCTGAGTATAGCAATGTACAATTTCAGGTACAAAAAAGTGATTAATGGTATGCACTGAAACCGGTAGAACGAACAAATAACAAAATAACTTAACAAAAGGATATCTAGAAAATCCACAAAATTACACACACAGAAAAAACTAACACAATAGGTTAAATGCAGTAATTACCTTAATAAAACAAATCTGTGAGAAACTAGACCAAAATGTAAACAAATAAGAATTAATAATGAGAAAAATCATTGGAATGTCTCCAAAATTTAAGAAAGAACACCTTTGAAATCACACAAAAAATGAATCCAATGTATTTAACTTATTACAAAAAACAATTCTTATTGTTTGCAAAGATTATGGTGCATCTGGATAATGCAAGATTATTGGTTTTCAGCACTTGAAGGTAACACGTGTTGTAGCATCAAGTATAAATATAATAACCTAAGAAAAATAGTAGTCAAAAATGAAAATTTTTTACCAGCTTACTGCAAATGTAACACTGAATATACACAAAAAAATGGTAGGTGTCACACTGGATTGTTGCTCCTTCATTCATTATAAAAAGATGTTCGTATAAAATACACAATTTCCCAACTTTCAGTGAACTGCATTTCAGGAACTCCAACTGGGATTGAAACCGCAGAACTCATTCAGCGCTTCAAAACTTGTAGTCAAACTTCATCCTAAACAAGTATCTCGCCTTTACCTGTCCAATGTCGTAAACAATATACCTGGGGAACTGGTTAAGGAAGTAACGATTAAAACATCATGAAATAGTTTAAAAAAAACAACTAGCCCCGAAAAATGCAATTTATACAAATAAATGGGATCCGTTAGCAAATAAATGTATAACACCTGTTAGCAGTTTCTGTTGGAAGACATTAATATGCTGCTTGTTTTGGACTATCAGACATGATACGTTTATTTATTTATTCAGTACAAAACATGATGGCCTCGAGCAGGAACAAACTAACTGAAGTTTCAGTTATCAGCATTCTTAGTGATCAGCTGATGCCAATAGTTTGTTAGGGTTGAAAAAGGCGTAGAATATTTTACTTAATTGGAGCTTGTCGTAAAATTTACCAGTCACAAAATTCACATTGGTTTATCGACTTTCCTTCAATTGTTATTGTGCAACTATATTTCATGCCTGCAATATTAAAAAATTAATATACCCCCGCCGCAGCAAACCTGCAGACTAAGCGAATTTCCATTTGCCTGATTTGATTTTCAATTAAATCTATTTCAATAATCATTAGGTTTAACAGTCATTACACTATTACAAGGAGGGTAACAAAATGTGTTTTTTTAACAAAACATGAATAGCTTAGTATAAAATAAATAGATTTGCCAAGTTTGATCAAAATATATCCATAAACAAGCAAACTACAACAGTTTAATTATTCCCCATAAGAATAATATGAAAATTTAAAATTTTAAACTTTTTAAAATTTTCTCCGTAACCAATAACCAAACAAAAACACTTCAATACACTAATTTTTTTAAGCCCTTCAAAATGGTCTAGTGAGAAATTGGGAATTTTTTTTTGAAGGTCAAAAACAAGAAAAACCCATTTTTACTCCATGAATCCCCGGGGGGTAAATAAAACCCGTAAATGGTCCGATCAGGCTTACCATAAGACCTACGATAATAGCTTTTTCCCTATTTGGGAAATTTGCTAATAAAAGGCATACTTCTAAACCTAGATTACATTTAAATCTTAGTCCTGTGAAAATACAAACTCAAAGGCATAAAAATTTGCTGTTATACTCCTACTACAAGCAAGAAGATGACGCCGTCAACCTCTAGCGCTTAAACACGAGGAAGTAAGTCAATAAACTTCCCCTCTTTGTCCATAGAGTTGTGTTATCTTTCTGAATAAGAATACTTTATTGTCATTAGACATGGAAGTGCAATGGATATTGTCAAAGCTATAGGTACTGTGAGGTAAACCTGCTGTTAAATTGTTGATCTATTTGTAGATTCACACTAATAGAGCACAAAGAATTGCACTGGTATTTTATCCTAATGTAGGGTTTCTTCAGATAGTAGGTTGATGAAAAATTGACTCTTTCAAAACTGTCTCTTCAACCTGTCTAAAGAAACCCTACTTCAGGATGAAATATCATTTCTATGCTTTTGTTCATGTTTTCTATTATTGTGTATCCATCCACTAGATTCTTAATTTTCTCAGGTAGTTTAACTATATTCCTTAAAAAATCTTAACTAACCAACCACAGAAAGTGAAATAAAAAGCAACAAGTGTGATGGAAGGATACTCGTTGTACAACAGTGATGTTTCCTTGTGTGTTGCTTGCTGAGTAGGTTTTCCATGGGGGACCTCTGCTCCGTCCAGTTCGGTTTTTTCCGACGGGTCTGGACATGTCGCACCCACTCCCTTACAGCTGTGTTTGCCGGACGGTAAGTTCTCTATGTATTCAGCGTGGGTTCTCTCGTACCTGCAAACGCATTGAGTTTGATAACTTGTATGCCTTTATCACGTAACAGTAAAACCCATTTTTATGACAAAACATTTAACTTTACAAGGCAATATTTCGATAAATTGAAAGTCTAGATCTTCTATGACCTTATACTTAACCAAAGGAATAGCTACAGCAACTTATTGTACCTATAAATTATGATAGAGACATAGAGGTTACTGTCGCATCCGAACCTGGATGCGAACGAAGGATCAGGTGCTCAAAATAATAAACACTTTTACATTTAAGAAAAAACCGCATTGGCGTGCGGCAGTCGGTGGGGTAGGACGATGACTGTAGGTACAGGGAGTGTCAGGTGTACGAGGTAGCAGTGGGAACGGAAGGTGGTGTGATGGAAACAACCAATGGGGTTAGTTTATTCGATCAGGCCATATGACGTCACATCGTACGATATCCTAACGGTACATGGATCGAGCTAGCAAATTTAATACTTGTAACTATCTGAATCTGAGTTATAAATATACAATTCATTTTATATTTAAATTAATACACTACAGTTACAAATAAATTGAGCAACTTGGATACAATAAATAAAGGAGGCAGTGACAGCATCGCTTAATACTCTAAAACCCGACTAAAAAACAATTCTAACCGTTGTTCTAGCTCCAGTAGTTTTTCAGTTACAGGCTTCCAAAGTTTGTATGTTGTTAAAGCCATTTTAGACGCAATTTCGAATTTCATAGGTAAATCCCAGATCGAACCTGGCTCACACAGGATAATAGGTACCATATTTCATTTACTTAATTGTCATTCCACACGAATTAGAGATTTTACACCGTCTTAATAACAGTTTTTCCATTATATATACTTGTAGCTAAAGACTGTGATAAAAGCTTTAAAAAAGTTTAAAAGTTCTAGGTTTGTTACTTATACTTATGTTCCTATACAGTCTTATGCAGGTGTAGAAAATATGTACCTATAAATTTGTTTCAATAGCTTAAGTTCACACAGGCATAGCCCAACAAGCTTCTAACTGGACCGCTGTGAAGCTTGTGAATGGTTTGGGAAGGATACACTGAACACTTACATATTTCCCAGCGCCACCTCACACAGCAGCATCAACCCTGTGTTGTTGACGGGACTGGTCATACAGTAGTTGGCACTCTTGGACACCATATCAGCGAAGTAGATACCTTTGCCGAACATGTATCCAGTGCTCGGAGCCTCCGGCGGGGCAATGCGCAGACCCTACAACATGATACAGCAAGGCATAAATGACACCATTACTGAAGTGTCACCTAAAGAAAAAACACACACCATACTTTGACAAAATACATAGTCTGGAAGAGTAAGAGACATTTAAAGACACGTTGCTAACTTCTGCTAAGATCTAATTAGATAATCAAGGAGTTCCTGCGATAGCATAAGATGATGTTTCTGTGGCCAATGGGAGATATTCATAATTTTTAACTCTGAAAAATATCGAAGAAAATAGAGAGTAAGTTAAAATGAATAAATAAACAGGGTGTACCCAAACTGTTAAAGTACACTCCTGGACCAAAGGCTAAATAAAAAAATAAATGAAAATTTTCCAAAACTCAAATCACCCGAACAGCCGCCATTTTGTCTTTCTCGCAAAACAAAATTTGTATTGGCTTTGTGTAGGAAATTGATATTTGGTACATAGATTAATAGACTAATAATGCAAAGACCTATTTAGAGATAAAGATATGTTTTTAAAAATATTTTTATTTTGAAAATAGCGGCAATTTAAAATGTAAAAAAAATTAACATAAAAACAGGTAATAAACTACCGTGGCAATGTTTCATTTAGCCGATTAATAACAATTCTAATGATATCAAATGTAAAAAATCGGATCATAAACAAGGTAGAAAACTAATTTTAAGTTACTAAGTATCAATCAATGTTGTTTCATGTAAGTTAACAAATTATGAATGGCCGCCATTATGAAACAAAAAACATTACAAAAATATTATATATGCCCTCAAAGTAGGGCTTGGCCGTTACTAATCTAAATAACAAATTAAAATTTACTAGAAAAATTAGTTTAAAATAAAAATAGTGTGGAAAAACAAATTTGTGGCTGTAAGGGTAACATTTAAAAACAATATTTTAGTGTGACTTTGATTTTGGAATGATACTTTAAAAGGTAGGTAGAAAGTTTGGGGAAAGCATATTGGATTTCCATCTTGTTATTACGAAATGTACTGAACCATATACAATATAGATACTGTACTGTAATGGCAGAGAGGAAAATGTCACATCTTACCTGTGAAAGTATCCCAGCAAAGTTGGTCAGTCTGGATCCATGCCACAATAGTTTTCTGTTCGGCAACTTTTTGAACGGTTTAAACCGTCTTTCCTCAACATGCCTTTTTACTTTGAAAATCTGAAACAAATCATAAAAACTTAAAACTTGTGAAATACTCAAAAAACAAACAGACAATTAGGTTGTAAAGTTATAGTCGGTATGATGAGACCTGTCTCCTGATTGGGTCCTCAGGTTCTACGATACAAACAATTTTGTTGCCCGACATTGGCAAACAGTACTTTTACCTACATTTACCAACCGCTGATTTGAACCAATTTGTCCTTATAAACGATCTATAATTGCAGTCTTTCCTCCATTGTAACGTGTTTCCACCTTTTTCCTATCTTGGGGAAAACATTTTCTATTACTGCCAATATACAGCCAAACAGGTATACATTCAAAACTAATATTCTCATACTAAGTAAGCCATCTACCAATGTATCCTCACCTCCTCAATCACTAGGCTATACTGAGTGTGGGTCGCTGCGTGCGTGTTCTTTACATATTTCTCCAGGATGACAAACTCTTCCGAGTCTCTCGGCAGCGGCTCTATATCTGCCTTCAGCTTGTGGTAGTGCAGGTCTATCGGGTGATGTTCTCCCTCCTCCTACAACCAAACAGTGCAACTTTACATCCTAGACTCTATCCCAGAACCAATTTCTTATTACTTCAAGCTAGGCCTGAAAGGTCACGGGCATTAAGGGTCACAGCATTATTATTTAGGTAAAGTCCATTGATGATTGAGAGGATTTGAACCGGGAACCTTGCGGACCAAAGTAGATCAGTTTGTTCTCAAACTGAAACAATGATCGAACGAGTGTAACACCAGGATAGGGAAAAAGTGAATGCATTATACTCGGTGCAGTATGGTGTGTATTTCAAAAGGCAGTTTTGCCAAACTTCTTGATTGTTAGGTGAGCTCAGTACCAACTCAGCTACACAGCTAATAATACAGAGCTGTGTCAATATGAAATCTGGTTGGCAACTGGGTAAACATAAACTTGCATATTGTGTGATAAAAAACAGTCCAAACACAACTACTAAAATACAAATCGACAAATCAGTTATATTTTGGACATTTCTCTTTCTTTATCAAGAAAAATTAAAATTAATATTCATGATCTTTGTAGTTTAACCAACAAGATTAAATAAAGATTAACCTGTATAAAAGATTTGAAATAACTACCTGAGATCAAGATACACCATAATGCTTTGTAACTTATACAGCTCAAACTTTGCCCTCATGTTTGCAAAGTCCTTTAATTTACCGTTGAAAAATTTTAAGGCTCAAACTAAATGACGAATTGGGGGTTTTCACAATTAATACATGATATCCTCACAAATAACTTCAAACATCCTAATTCAACAATATATGTCAAGCAAAGCTTAGTATTGTGTTGATACACAAAAACTCACCTTTTTATCAGGATCGCTCTTGAGCATGCTATAGGCAACCTCCATTTCCAGCAAACTTTCAAGCATTTCCATTTTATTCTGAAATACAAAACATTAAATGAAATTAAATAGTAGTGAGGTTTGCTGCAACTATGAAACAAGGTAACATTTTTTTTTGTTTTATACACACATACATATTACTGCCATCACACGGTAACTCAGTGGTAAGCCTGATATTGCTGGTTTGAAACTGTATTATATAACCACTGTGGTCGGGTTTGATTTAATGACTTATACCATAATGGTACCTACTTAACAGGCTTTAGACATGCAAGTCCATGGTGAAAGGCAGTTTACCTGCAAACCCATTCTCCATAAGGTAAACACAAAGGTTTTGGGTTTACATATTTATTTTTGTACTTCTATTGGGAACCAGTTGGTCTAAATTAATGGTCAAGATGGTTTATAGTTGTGGTTATTTACGTTATAAGCTGAATTGTATTGCAAAGTCTAAGAAATAATTCAAAATATTCTTAGTAAAACAAAATACTATACAATAGAAGAGTAGTTGTATACATTATTTTAAAGTGACTGTTTAAATTTATAAGCTTGTTATCTAAGAAATGACAATGTCACCTGTTACGTGATGATTCCCTCACCTTGATGATCTCCAGATTGTCCAGTGGCGGGGGTTGTTTGATGCCGAAGTCGTGTGGCACCAGTGTATAGAACCTGTTGGTGCCATCTGTGATGATCAACTTGTTGTCTTCATTCTGTAGAGCGCGCTGTAGCTCAGACAACACCGTGTACGCTTGCTGTATCTGCCGTTTGCTGATCTTACCTAGCGGCATCTTTTCCAGATCCAACTGCGGGATAAACAGGACGAGTAGTACAAAAGTTTATCCTCACAAAAAGTAAAAACCAACCCACATTTAAAATGAATACTCCGATCCCAGCAAACTTGCCGACTAAGAGAGTTTCTTTTATAAAATAACATTTTTAATCAAATATTTCCTTCATCCAGTCAGATGTATTTCCTATTTAAATAACAAAGTGTTTGACATGTACTAAGGTTTGCTCCTACAGGAAAAAAATAAAAGCACCAATCAAGATTAAACTATGTATTTAAGAATGTATTTGACTATTAAAATCCAAACAAATTGTAAATCAAAATTAATGTTCAAAACAAAACCCAGTTTGGCATGTTATTGAACACATTTTCTCTTGATTTTCGCTCTATACCTTGTCTTCAAATACCAACTATCAGTTTAGAAAATAAATGACCAATGTACAGCATTCTAAACGAGACAATACATTTAAAAAACCGGACGACCAAACGCTGATTGAGCATGAGACGCGGTGCCACTGGAATGTAATTTTGACTTACCTGACCAAACTTCCACCTTAAATGTATTGTCTTGTGTGTGAATCAATTAATGTATTTTCTGTTTTATTTTAATTTCCTGATGAATTCCACATCATTAACAAGACATTCGGACCTGAATATGAGCTCCATTTTTGGCAGCACGAAAAAGTTGTAGTTGAAAACTACCAAGGACAGGAACAAGGTAATCTAAACTTAGTTATTAGTTAATTCAGACGATTCAGAGGCAATTCCATTATAAAACTGTTATTACATTACACACAAACATACCTCAAACTCCAGCATAACTTTCTTCATTGTATCAACGTTGAAAATCATCGAAATCAAGTCTTGAACTGGTTTTGGAAGTTTGGATTCAATGGAACTCTCTGTGTTCAGTCTAACACTGTCACTTTCATCCTGAAAATATATTGATTGTATTCCAAAACATTCAAGTGATTAGTGACCATTGTTAAAAACACTTACATATTTTTAAGATAGATCATTTTTCACAAGTAAAACAGTGAAACTACTATCTAGTTGCTTAGATGATTCCATCGATGTTTTTGTTTTACCTGAAGATGGACTTTGAAGTCTGAAACTATAGTAGTACACTACTGAAAAATGATCACTTGACGAAGCCAGGTAACATAAACCATTTGGCTATCCATCTTTACAGTTAGTTCAGTTTATAAACATTTACAAATAATGTTTAAAATACAACCCTGAGAAGAAAACGAGAAAATCAATCGCATGTGCATAGCATACCAATTTTACCGATTACCACAAACAGAGGCACAAAATAATGTCCCATACTGATATACTGATATGTTTCTGTACCGCAGAAATAAAATAAAATACTCTTTATTAATAGAAAGAGTTTAAAAGTACAATACATTGAAGAGTGTTAAAAATACAACATTTACCTACTAATGACTTATAACAAAGTTCATAATATCTTGGGCTTCTCCATCAGATCAAAATTATTATATCTACTTACTGTGCCCAAGTCGATATCCATCGGCACCATTTTATGGGGCACTTTGACGAAGTTGTGCCGGTTCTCCCACCGATTGCCAGTACTGTCTTCAAATTTTTCCTTAAACATATTGATTGCTTCCTGAAGTGAGCCCATCGTATCGAGTTTTGTTCCTCCGATACTTGTACCGATACGACCCCATGCTCGGAATACCCAATACCTGGGCAGAAACAGAAACAAGATGAGCTTACTTTAAGTTGACTTTTTGCAGTATACTACAATTTTGTATCCCTGCTATATGTCATTAACTATTTCTTGTTTCTCAATGTAGTCAGGCTTAATATATAATCAAGTGTCCTACAATTTATTTTTTTTATTTCTTCATTGTTTGTCAATATCACCTGTGATTGTAACGTCAAGCACTTAAACTAACTTGTATCTAGTCAAAATTGTTGATATTTATTATTGTTACTACGTACAAATTTCTTTATGCTTTTGTTATTGTTATATTATTTGTTATTTATTGTTAGAGTAGTTACTGTTGCTTTAATATTTTGTGGCCTATTAGAAACAACATGTTAACATATCATGTATTTGCTGTAAAATGGTGTAACCGTTGAGAGGAAATAAATAAATAAATGTTAGACACGTTTGAACCCATAAACACCCCAACATGGTTTCATTATTTGTTTTGACAATTGACAAGTATATTTTTTTCCAATTGCTGACATTAAAATTTTAATTTTTTTCACAGTAAAACTATTAGATTAAGAAATATCAGATTGTGTAATAAATTAGGCTGGATGCATTGCACGACGTCCAAGTGCCACGACGTCCAATAATATTTATTCAGTGCCACGACGTCCAAAACATAATTTTTGAGTTGTTGCACGACGTCCAAGTGCCACGACGTCCAAAAGTACAGTAACTGCCAAAAATATAGTCTTTCTACAAGCTTTGGACGTCGTGGCACTTGGACGTCGTGAAACAGTGCACTATATAATTGTAAAAAAGTAACATTTGCGGGAGTGTTGCACGACGTCCAAAGTCGCTGCCAGTTGCACGACGTCCAAGTGCCACGACGTCCAATAAATATTTGAATGTTGCACGACGTCCAATATAGCTCAGCGCTGTTGCACGACGTCCAAGCTCCTTCATGATGACCGGCTACTTGCCGAATAGTGTTCTCTCGTGTAAAATGCTTATGGAACGTTTATTAGTTATATATACATGGGTATATGTTCTTGTTCAGAAATATATATACTATGAATATTTGAACCATTAATTAAAACATGATAAAGTAAAAAAAAAACATAAAAATAAAAAAATAAACAAGGCAACAGTTGGAAAACTATAAGGTTTACATGGTTTGAAAAATGATGACATTTTGTTAACAACCGATCAACTTCATTATGTTTGGAGTCTGCTTTTAAATAGCCTACTTATTTTTTCAAGACTAGATACATTGATAGGTACATTGATCAACATGATCTTTGAAAACTATTTTTTATCCCCTCATTTTAATTTTTACTAGTATAAAGAATAGAATGCCTTTTCGAACGGTTTTTTAGGCTTCAATTAAATGTCTTTATGTCGTAAATATGTTTATTAATAGTATTCACTTAACATTGACTTAATTTCATTTCAATAAATTTTGTGTTTGTGTTTTGCTACACCACTTATTAAATTGCAACCAATGAGAATCTATATAAATAAAATTAGAGTTTTGTCTGTACATTGCTCATAATCATTCATTTGTAGGTTATTTTTACGTTTTATACTCAAAGAAGCCGAAACAAGTCTCATCTAAATTTCTGTCCGTCTGTCTGTCTTTCTGTCTTTCTGTAACACTCAAGATGGCATTTTACACAATCTTCTCCAGGAAAACGAGAGTACCTATCAAGATCCAAGTCATTTTAATGTATTCACTGGATTGGCGAGAGTGTCTTTAGCCATTAAAATATGGCCTCAATAATTAGTAAATAACATTACGGACGTTCAAAAATGCAGTTTTGTGCGATTTTTGTCAAGTTTTCTTCCAATTTTTATCACATAATGATCTATGAAATAACGAACAGCTGTTCGGATCAAGATATTTTTTCTCGCTGTCACTGATATGTTTACAAATACCACAACCATTTTCGATCACGTTTTCAAGGCAAAGCCCATCCAAGTGAGATTAAAATCGTTGTCTTACATAACGGATTTAATTAATCGCAAGTGGAATAATATAGTGTAACCGTAAATGAAATTTAATAACATCATCCAGGTTAGGAACCAGAGATTCTTTGTGTATAAAATTGTTCTTGAGTTTTGATAACCTTGAATCAGTGTTGTATAGGGCTGGGAAACTTGAATTTATTAATGATCGTCGCCAATAGCTTACTAACTCATTGACGGCGCTTCAATGGTGGTTGTGTAAAGTGTAAAGCAAAAAATCACAACTACAGTGGGTGATTGTAACAGAGGTTTACGGTTTATGGATGATGCTAAACTCGCTTTTCCAATGTTTTACTTTCTGTTCCTATTCACCGTATGATGCAATCGCTGGACGATACAGCCAATAGGCCCATAGCCCATCTCTTGGGTACTTACGCCTACCCAATTATTCATAACAACCTTTTCGACGACGATCCTTGATACCGGTACTTTTCCCTAGAATACACGGCCTCCCTACTTAAGAAATAAAATTACAAACGTCCAAAAACCCAGCATTGCGCGATTGGTCACAGCATTGGTCACATTTCATTCTAATGTTAAAAGATATACCAATCATTGTTTAGAGAATAGGCCTGCGTAATCTAATAAATAACAAACAGTTGTTTTTTTTTCAAACTGACACCAATAAGTTTACATTAAAAGTTGTTTACGAATAAAGCAATTAATGGGAAATAATTTTGATTGCCGATAACTTTTCACGAAAAAAATCCAAAACCAAGAAATCAATAACCTTGGGACTTGATTAACGCATTTTATTTGTCGGACGTAATTCTTAACTGTAAACGTTGGTTTTTGGTACTGGTTTTTTCCCTTAGAACCGTTGGTAGCAGCAAGAATCATTTTTACGTACCAACACATCACTGTAATTTACAAATTAGTTATCGTTGGTGTTGCACCTTATTTATACAGTGGTATTACAGCCTTATTCAATTTAATTGATGTCTTAACTGTATAAGTTTTGCTTTTTCTGTCTGGATTCCAAAATGTTAGTTTATGCTAAGAAAATGATAACTCATCTAAGTAAAACGTTTTTTTAGCAAACCATTATGAATTGTTTACGATTTACGTTGTTTATGTATCAATAGTTCATGGCCTATTTTGGTAATTTTTATTATAGGTTAAATTACCAATCTAAATTGTCTATAGTACTTCATTTTATAAAGTAATCCGTCATTTCGTCAGCATTTCGCGTCATCTTCGGTCCAAGCAAATATAAATTGTTATGATAAAATTTGATGACATTGACAAAGATTTCAAATTCTAATTTTATATGTACTTTGTTATGCTTAAAACGTAGCAAATTCCCTAATTAAGTTCTGTATTTTTGTGTGTATGTCTGTTGGTAACGCATTTATGTACTTATTTCTCAGTGTCACGAAAAGGACAAGAGCACCTTGATAATGAAAATGTCAACCCGAATAAAGTGTTAAATGGTGAGGTTGAGGTAGTACTTTAAATAAATACCTTTAACCATTGTGGGAAGTAACTTTCAACTATAGGCCTATAGGGCTATGCCTCATAGATCTAGGCCTATAAAGCTTTTTTTAGTTTAATCATTGGATTTAACATATGGACCAACACGATCCGGGTGACATTTAATTGCGAAGCATTTGTTTTGGCTTGAAACTGTCAGAATAGATACTGTATTTGCAAAGGTTTATATATAATAGTTTTGCCAGCATATCTGAAAATATGCAAACCAACTGCTTTTCTTAATATAAGAAAGTTTCAACTGACTACTTTAAGATCCCCGTGCGTAGAACGGGCACACAGCTAGTATCATATAAATAAGTTGTACACAGGGTTCTTTTGTTTCCCCAACTCTAAAATACAACGCACATGAATTGAAAATGTTATAGGTTTAATAGTACTGTAGTGAATCGAATATCAATAAAGTTAACGTATAACAATAAATTTACATATTCCAAGATTATAATTGAATGTGTTTACGAAGGAACACCACAACCTCAACATTTAACATTACAATATATTTACTCAAGATTTATTGTTTTCATATTGCACAGTTGATGTTGCCAACTAGCGTGGGAGCGGAAGTCCTGATAAAGGCTGGTTCTCGGAAAAGTAATAAACTTGTAGTTTGAATGAAACATTTTTTAAATTTTGTACAGGATTCATGTGATCCTCAGCATCAAGTACAAACTGCAAAATGTGTGTCGAAGGTCTGATTAGACCTTCCGAGATTTAGACCTTCAGCAACTAATCCGTTTTTTACCTTCCTTTAATTTATTCTTTTTCATGTTGTGCTTCATGTAACGTACATAGACCAGAGGGCCGCTCATGCCCTTGACAAATAAATTAACATTTTCGCACTAATACAAATCAATATCGTCATTAGACAAGAATTAAAAAATAAAATTTATAAACAAAACCTACCACGACATATTCTTGAACAAGTATGCCTACAAACCTACGATAAGCATGTTTGTTATTATTATACTTAACCTACAAATGCTATGACTTAGGGCATACCTGCTTTCCTAGATAAAACATGCGAACCAATTGCGAGTGCGACGTGAACTTAGAAAAAGACTAGTAAGAATTTACAACTGTGAATTTCTCAGAATTGATTGACAGTTCAGATGAACCTATGGCCACAGACTACGGAAACCTACAGTATTATTGTATTAGTATACTGTATTTGTATTATTGTGTTACTAGCAGAGTACCCGTCCTTCGTACGGGGTTGACATATAAGTATAAATGCTTATTGCAGTTATGGGAGAGGACACGATAAAAAAAAAAAAAAACTGGTCTTTTAATTTTACGGGATCCTATTGAGTAGCACACATCTACCAAAGTCCTGATGTTCTACCACTGCACCTAGACCATGGAAAAAAAAAAGTTCTCATTGTGTACCACAACTTTTTTTTGCTAGTTGGTTCAAATTAGCTGTGGTCGTTAATGCAAACGAACAACATAATAGTGCTGCACCCTGTTTGGCAAGCCTTATAACTTTTAATGCTGTTTTAATATCATAGAACCAACTTGTACAGTTGAAACGGCTGACAATATTCTTTAATTTCTTTAAAATGAATTCTCATAAGGTTAACTAGAGAAAGTCCAGAGCCAGAGCCACCGGGGCGGAGACTGAAAGAATTTTTGATGTAAGAATATTTTAATCGGGGATGTCATCTATCATCATACCAAATTTCAACCTTGTCGGTTTAGTATTTTTCGCGTTTGCTTGTCACAAACATCCATCCGTCCATCCATACATCCATGGTTTGCACTGTAAACAAAAAGCTATCACAATAGTTTCAAACCGACAAATAGGAAAAATAGGAAAATATAAATAAATATGGAAAATAGGGTAATTTTCTAACATATTTTAGTGAAATTATATAATCAGGCAAATGGAAATTCAGTCTACAGATTTGCTGTGGTAGGGGGATTATATTACGGTTTACACAAAAATAAATCAAAACATAAACCTCATAACACTCAGGAAAAGGGCCTAGGTTGATAGGGCAATGATTATAGAATCTTAATTATTTCCTATATCCATGATGAATGATTTCTTTTAAAACGAATTATTCCCACTGTTTCACAGGAAACATTTTTAACCATTGTAGTAACATCATTAAAGCTTAAAAAGTTGATAGTTTACATAATATTTAGCACATTTTACGGATAAAACTTTTTTGAATTCATCATATTATAAGTGTATGAAAATTCATATATCTGTGTATCAATATCTACTTATCTCATTTCTGTTCAATGGAAGTTATACAATTTCAATGATACCGGTACTTAAATGGGAAGTCTTACAGCTGTTATAAAACTGTGCATACATTTTATCTTACGAGTAAATTTGCTACCAATTGATATAGTATGACAATTCTATTCTACTACAGTACTTAGAATTCTACCACTACTCACATTAAACCAACCATATTTACTTTTGGGCTAGTGATTAATTTATTGTATTAATCATACAATATAGTGAATAGTGTAGTCATTTATTTATTTCGTTTCTATGACATAGCTCTATTTTGTAGAAATCAATTATGCAATCATAACAACAGAAATACTGCATCATTACATTTTACAGTGACATAGTATTTATTTTACATAAAAAAAATTTAAGCTAACGCAATAATTAGTTCAATTAGAACCATTGAATATTGAATAATTTAAACATTAATCGAAGACGAAGCGGTTGACAACTTTCAAACAGTTGACTAGGACTAGTTGCCTTCAATAATTGCAATGCGAACTGTATGCACTGAGGTCGGCAAACAGTGTTCACAGTGTGCAGGCACTTTGGACGTCGTGGCACTTGGACGTCGTGCAACAGTGAAATATTGATTGGACGTCGTGGCACTTGGACGTCGTGCAACTGGCAGAGGCTTTGGACGTGGTGCAAATGATACTTCTTTACAATTCTACAGTGCGCTGTTTCACAACGTCCAAGTGCCACGATGTCCAAAGCTTGTAGAAAGACTATATTTTTGGCAGTTACTGTACTTTTGGACGTCGTGGCACTTGGACGTCGTGCAACAACTCAAAAATTATGTTTTGGACGTCGTGGCACTGGAAAAATATTATTGGACGTCGTGGCACTTGGACGTCGTGCAACACTCCCATTAGGCTTAGTGTGGATATTTGAACCGTGGTGAAACATATCATTTACACAAAAGATCACATTTCTGACATGTACTGAAACATACCATATCATTACTCAGTATAAATAATAAGCACACAGCACAGTGGTGTTGATGTTTTAATTTTTTTTCCTACGAGTTACTCTCCTGCCATTTTGATTTAATTTCTTTTGTCACCCACATTCAGCTACAGTTAAAGAATTTTAAGTGGTGGTTTAGTATGTGTATGGATCAAATCGTTTAGAATTCTTTTTATTTTATTTATAAAATTTAAATCCTTTAACAGTACATTTATTCAACAAGAGTTTATTTTTATTACAGTACAGTACTTATGTGCACTTACCCAGTCTCAATTGTAATACTTTAGGGCTAAAATCAAATTATATGGTTATATGGCTAGCAATCAGTTGTGAATATCGATGCTTCACTGTTGTACTATGGATAGATCTAATCATTCCATTCGCATGTTAAAGTTGTATCCTGTTTATTGAGTCACCGATAGACAAGGGTCTACGGGTTAGGTTAGGTTAGACCGATAGACAAAGGTCAACAGGTTAGGTTAGGTTTGGTTAGGTTAGACCGATAGACAAAGGTCTACAGGTTTGGTTAGGTTAGACCGATAGACAAAGGTCTACAGGTTAGGTTAGGTTTGGTTAGGTTAGACCGATAGACAAGGGTCTACAGGTTAGGTTAGACCGATAGGCAAAGGTCTACAGGTTAGGTTAGGTTTGGTTAGGTTAGACCGATAGACAAGGGTCTACAGGTTAGGTTAGGTTTGGTTAGGTAAGACCGATAGACAAAGGTCAATTTCAATTTATCAATTATTTAAGATGGGGACGCCACTATGTGCGTATTTTAACACAAATATGAGTGAAAGATGAGTGTAGGATGAGTGGCGCGATCTTGTAGAGTTAGTGACTAAGGCCGACATGTTCCTTAGACACAGCTGTTAATTAATAGCCCATACAGCTAATGGCAACTAAGGGACCTACAGTTTATAGTGGAATCCGAACCACATTTTTTCCTTGTAATTTAAGAATTGGTCTAGTTATCGGGGTAGTACTGCGGAGAGTCGTAGTACTCACTAGTGCGGACGTTAATCCACACCAGGGAGCATCACATCCACAGTGTATCCCTATAAATATCTACAGGTTACCACTCACTTGGTCTTTTTGTCAGACTCGAGCACTTGAATTCTGTAATATTTGTTGACACCACTTTGCATGTCAGTCAGACTGAGTACAGCCGAGTAGATGTCTTTGCCATTGTTGTATACGTGGGCCACATCCTCCATACCAGACTCTGGGTCAACAGCGGATCCTCCTTTTACCTTCAGAGTCACCTTCGATGACTTGTTGCTTTTGGAGAACGCACCTACGTAGCAAACAAAACCCTTCATAAATATAAAAAATGTACGGTAAATAGGTCCAGACTCTTGCTGCATGACCACTAGTGATAATCGAATAAAGAAATATCTGATCCCAAAACAAAATCTTGAATCTCTTGAAACTTTAGCCAACAATTACGCTCATTAGCTCATTGAATCAGTTACGTCCTCAGATGTTGCCACTGAGCTACCACCATGTTCAGTAAGGAAAGTAAGGGCGGATACTTTCTTCCTTACTTTATTTACTCATAGTTTCTTCCTTCTTCCTTAAGCTAAATTACAATGTTGTTATTATACTTTTTGGTGAAGGTGCACAGCTTTGGGCATGCTACTAGACTAGTTAAGGATTAAGGGTCTTAATTCCATATATGAAGGACTCGTCTAGTTTTAGATGTTTTTGTGATTCCAAACTTGGCTCCTAATTTGCAGTACATGTCAGATATAGCCTTAGTCTGCCTTTGTTAAGTTAAACATGCAAGGATATTAAGTGGAAGTTTGGGTATACGTCACTCTTTTTTCATTTGGATTGTGTCTGATTTATTGGAATCTGGCTAAACTGCCCTTTTTTATCAATTGGTCCAAAACAAAAACAAAACAAAAATTCAAACGAAGCTGAAAACACTCAAACGAGATGCATAAATTAAAGAGAAAAATCCAGACCTACAATATTTAAAAATAAATCGTTCTCTACCAGTAAACATAAGAATGAAGTACTTACTTTTGGAAATACTTTTTGATTTAAGACTTTCAATTCCCTCCAAGCGCTTTTTGGCCTAAAAAAAATATTGTTAATTTAAACATGTGTTGAAAATATACTTTCTGTTACTCCTGTATAGGCTACTTACTACAAATAATGTGATATAGTTACACTACACTATTATTACTTTGCAAATGGAACAAGTTTTATTTGAATTATGATAATACAGAAGGGAAAAAACATAAAATAACAAAAATAAATTTTAGTTCATGAAAAAATTGTAACATTTTTACTTTTTGTATATTAAAAAAATAAAATAATTGCAAAGGAATTTAATTGATGAATAAATTGAACGGTAAAATAATGTATTTTTTATGAGAAAAAAAGAAGAACCCCAATTATCCAAATTATTTGGGACCGGTCCCCATTTGGATGGTCAAAAATTCGCATGATTGGATTATTACTGAAATTTAGAGTCTTTTAAAGAAAATAGGCCAATCCTGCCGAGCTTTTACTATTGCGATCGCAAAACGTGCTGCCAATATTCTGTATAGACAGGTACCTGCCACAAACTGCCATGGAATTAGTAGGGCTATAAACATTTTTTTGTTAAAAAGAAAAAGAAAAAATATAAACTTTGTTTGTTAATTTTTGTGTATCAATTTGGACCCCGCCGACAAGTTTTGTAAACAAGGCGAGGCCAAGATAAATAAATAAATATATTCGAATTTGAATGATTATTATTTTTCGTGACTGCGGGGAAACAATGATGGTGTCCACATGACCATGGGATATATATATAATTTTACCGCGAGGGCGAAAAACGATGATGATGTTTCCGTGACCGCGGGAGAGGATGATCCACAAACACGACCATGGGATATGTTTATCAGTTTGCTGCCATCGCAAAACACGATGACGATATTTCCGTAACCGCGGAAGACAATAATGGTGACAACATGATCGTGAGACAGGATTTGGAACGCGATCATAGCTTCTGCCTTTTTTAATAACAACTCTAATTTTTGTGGTTATAAATTTTAAAATTATTTCTGTAAACAATTCGGATAATCAGCCATTTGAGTAGTTGGAGTTCGGATTGGAGTTCGGATTGGAGTTCTACTGTAATGATAATTTACTTCGGATTGGTCGAATGCAATCACACCTTTGTAGAACAAACATCTATTAAATGTACAAAAACGTTACAAATTGAATTTATACTCACGTCAGACCCCCAACTGGCCATGTTCAATCTGGATATATTCTCGATTGCTCCACCTTTTAAAGACTCTTGGATGAATGATTCCGGAACCACCTGAATATTGGCTTCTTCCACTTCCTCCATTCGTTTGTTCTTCTTTTCTACTTCCTCTGTAAATTTGCAACAGTTGTAAATTGGAGTTTGGAACAAAACAATCACACTACCTACACAAAATAAACAGTTTGACAAAACAATGAATCCCTATAGGTCTAATTCTCTCAACCATACATTGTATTTATTCATTTTACACAGTGGCTTTAGAGTTTTTTTTCTTTTAATGATCTGTATGAACCCAGAACTTGGAACTATATGTCGGTAAATTTTGTCAACAGGCACTATTTCCTAGGTCTTGGAAGAGGGTTTAGACTAGCTTTAGACAGGAGGAAGTTCAATTCTCATACTAAATTCTGGTTAGAAAAAATCTAACTCAGTTGAGTTGAAACTAGCATTTTTGAATAACAGCAATAATCAAGGAATACAGAAATGTGTTACAAAAACACTAATGTGTTAACAAACAAAAGCTACTAGGTCAAGATTTTTAGATCGGCTCAAGTCGGGTCAGATCGTGGAGGTATGGGAGTGGCTTCATATTAACGTAATCACAAAAAGCACCAATGAAGATTATCCGATCATAGATATACAATTTTGGTGTGATTGTGAGAGATGTTAAACAACACCATCAAGATTATAGGAGACGTTCATAACAATGAGCAAATATTGGAAAAATACCATACAGAACTTTGAAAATAATGGTTAAATCAACACACAGAAAAATGTCTAGTAAAACAGTTTACTTACAACCATTTATACTTAGTATCAATAGGAACAGACTAAAAGCTACACACCTTGAGTCGATATGACTGCAGCCAACTTGCTATGTACTTTGGTCACCACTTTTCCTCCAAGTTTAGTGATTTCCTTCTTCAACTCGTCTCTTTTGAGTGACTTTCCAATTATGACAAACTCCATGTTTTTCAGCGGCAAGATGCGGTCACTTTTGATTTTGGGTCTGGAGAAAAATAGAATTTGTTTATAGGTAGACATGAATAATTTACAAACAATTACCTGAATTTAAAATCTTTTTTAAATATTAAAAATTGAACTAAAGTAATTTGTTACTGCTTTCAGTCTTTTTTAAGTTCATGGAATGTACTTGTTTTCAACGGTATGACAGGTTGACGTGTACCATGGGTGGTACGTGGTTTAATTAGCATAATTATTATCTTATTGTGTTACTGAATCTGTGCAAGTAGTGTACAAGATTATAAATAATTAATTCTATCTAATTATACCTATGAACACACTTTTGTGTTTTTTGAAAGTCTATGGTAATTTGTACACAAATTTACTTTTGACTGAAATTTTATTTGTGCGCCACCAGTGGCCACGTCAGAGCGGACAAGGTACCAGCGGCCACTCCAGTAAGTAAGTTAACTTAGTAACAAAATAAGTTCCTTGCTAAGTGTGATTGCTTAAAACTGATTAGGTACCTATTTAAAATTTAATTACCCTTGTTACATGTATTATATAGAATGTTTATGTAATATTTTCTGTAGGCCTAGTCATAGTTTTGAGTTGATTTATGGAGATAATCATAATTCTGGAAAATATTTTATTTCATGATCAATAAAGATTTGACTTGATTTAAAGAAAGTAAATCTGCATAAACATGTAACTGTGTCAGATACACACAAATAAAGTTAACAACACCATTATGATTTTGAACACTGCAATATTTTCAGTAATATATATTATCAACTTACCCTTGCTCAGAAGTAGACGGACCAAAATTCACATTCACAGTACGTTCCTCAACTCTGATGATTCGTTTTCTTAATTTTGGCTTGTATCTCCTAAAAAGATTAATACTTTCAATCTAAAGAGTAATCACTTAACAATATCACATCTTGTAAGTTATTTTATTTTAACATTACAATTAATATCAACCCATTCAAATATTTGAGGGACGACAATTCCATGATCTTATTACTGCCAAATAAAGTAAATAAACACCTAAATATTCTCTGACAGATTATGACGAAATCTATCACGAAAAGCTATAGAGAAAAAATAATAAAGATATACAAGTTCACATAAACAAGGAGAAAAAAAAGGCATTTTTACCATATGTATACCCCTAAACAACAGATATTTGGGAAAGGCAAAATAAAACAATGAGCAAGCAATTTTTATTCAAAATTAAAAGTGTTTCAACATGAAAGAAACTATAGGAGGTTTTTGCAGCCCCATAATAATCTTTTCATGTTAGCGCTTTGTTTGGTCGCTTAACCCTTACTACATTCTGATGTCAAACATTTTTGTAAAATCCATGTCCGCTCATCATACTTACAATTCAGCAAATTTTTCCGCCAGCTGATTGTTGGAAGGGATCTCGAAGGGTTTTCTCTTTGGCTCAGTAGTAACGTTGTCACAAGCCACCCACGCTGTGAGATTACCCTTGCATCTATAGCCTCCGTCAGCCATGCGGTAAATCTGAGGGCCGTTCTTGCACTTTTCACACTCAACTGGCCAGCCAAACGCCATCGCGTCTGCTATTCTCTCAATGTTCTAAATAGGCAAAGTAACATAGTAGAGACCAGGGTTTAAGCTGCGGTAGCATTGTTAGCATTCAGCTATTCACAACTAAAAAAATGCTTCCTTTGTTTTGCAGGCTATAATATTTCAAACATGTAATATTACTGAAATTTTTTTTTTAATGCTTAAAGAATAATATTTTTGCTTAGATGTGAGAATTTGTAGCGATTTGCTAAAAACAAATTTCATCCTAGCCTATATCCTGGTAGTGGCAATTATTTGACATTTTTGTGATAAAAAAGAATTTCAAACTTGAAAAGCCAACTAGGTAACAATGCTATCCAAGTGCTAATCTGTTGTTAAGAAGGATATCAATTGTTAATATTGGCCTTAAATTCTCACAATATGTATTTACTTTCAATAAATCCTAGTAGAGGGTGGAAAGATGAGGTGATGAGGGATGTTAATCAGAAAGGGGTGATAGGGTATGGAAGATAATAGAGGAAGGAAAACTGTGGAAGTACAAGAGAAGATGATAAGGCTTCACCAAGGCAAAAGATAAACCTAACTTAGCAGAGTGCAATTTCCATATCTGTATACCTCCAGGTACTTAATGTAGTTTTTATTTTATACATAACCTATGCTAAACAAAACATCTTTTATTTACTTAGCTGTTTTTATGTAAAAATTTTTTTTCAGACTTAGATATGTAAGTATTTCCTATCCTGGTCTCTGCCGCAAACATTTTATTAGTACAGTTCGCCTTCGTACTGTACCGGCTCACCCCTTGCTTTGCTGGATACGTTCCATGCACAAATCTTTAGACTATGTCGACGGGCAAATGCAAGGTTAAAAGAGGCTGCCAACCTCTTATTGAAAAAATAAATAAATAAAAAAACTCACCGTATGCTGATCCTCTGGTTCCTCATCATTATGGTTCATTATCGCAACAAGTTCTGATCTCGTTAAGGACTTCAAGAACTTGGTGTATCTAGATACCAAAGAATCATTAATTGGAGACAAACTGGTGCGGTTATTTGTGTTTAATACAGAATTCAACATTTTATTTTTTTTATTTTTTTTTTTTATTTTTTTTTTTTTATTTACACAATACGTTCTTTATAAAGTACATTTCATACATAAGAACAGGTGTTTCGTCATAGTGATGTATTATATAGTAAAATTAATAGTTAAAATAATTAAAATAAACTCATGTAGGATATCAGAGAATTTTTATCTACATTATAGGGTTCTCCAAAAATTCGTCAAGTGAATAGTACGCTTTCTCAATTATTTTATCTTTTATTTTATCTTTGAATTGAAAGGCATTTAAATTTTTAAGATACAGGGGTAATTCATTGTACAATCTAAGTCCCATATATTGAGGGCTGTTCCTAAAAGTGGTCAATTTGTGATGTGGTAATCTGAAATTATATTTATTCCTTGTATTATAATTATGTGTAAATTTGACTGCATCTGACAAATTTTCCTTAGTGTTATGTATCCAATTTAGAATTTCATTTATGTATAATCCAAAAATGGTGTGAATTCTAAGATTTTTAAACAGGTTTTTACATGATTTTCTCCTTCTTGATTTGGTTAAGATTCTAATAATTTTTTTCTGTAAAATTAGTAGGGATTTGACTTCTGTTGACACTCCCCACAGTATGATTCCATACCTCAAGATGGATTCAACGTATCCATAGTAAACTGTGATACATGTATCCTGAGGTACACAGTTTATCAGGTGAAAGAAAGCAAAAGAAATAGATCTTAGTTTGCCTTTCATCTTATCTATGTGAATCTTCCAATTAATATGAGTATCAAGCAATACACCCAAAAATCTATGAGATTCTACTAAATTTGGAATTTTATCAAGAATTACATTGTTTTTTAAAGAAAATTTAATTATATGAGTTTTGTCAATATTCAGCTTTAAACCATTATCTGTAAACCAATTTTTCATACAATCCAAAGTGTTTTCTATTGATACAATTAAGTTATTTACTGAATCCTCTCTTATGATTGCTGTTGTATCATCAGCAAATAAGATTAAATCTCTGCCAATAGCTTTTGGAAGGTCATTAATAAAGATCAGGAAAAACAGAGGGCCCAATATTGACCCTTGAGGTACACCATAATTAGATAAATTCCAGTTTGACATATGTTTCACACCGTTTTTGGTCACTATTGTTCTATACTTTCTGTTCTGTAAATAAGAGTCTAATAAAGAAAAACTTTTACCCTTTATACCGTAGTCTTTTAATTTAGAAAGCAAAATTGAATGATCCACACAGTCAAAGGCCTTAGACAGGTCACAGAAAACACCAGCAGTAGTTTCAGACCTGTCCAAAGCCCCTGTAACATCATTGATAAATTCAATCAGTGCACTGTTGGTGCTGAATGTCTTTCTAAACCCAAACTGTTTTTCATAAAACAAATCATTGCTGTTAAAATAGTTTACTAGCCGGAAATTGATAACTTTTTCAAATATCTTTGAAAAATTACTTAAAACAGATATTGGGCGGTAGTTATTTATATCGGTTCTAGCCCCTTTTTTGTATATCGGAGTAATATGAGAGTATTTCAATTTTTCCGGGAAAATACCACATTCAAAACATTTATTAATTATATCTGAGAGGGGTTCAGCAATTTTATTTGCTACTGCTTTGATGAGTGAAATGGGAACTTCATCCCAACCCACCGATGTCTTATTTTTCAAAGAAAATATTATTTTTAAAATTTCATTTTTGTTGGTTGGTTCAAAGTTGTACAGTGAACACCCCTTTATATCCACAGATATTTTCATATTTGGATGGACACCCTTTACAATAGGATTTGGCAAGTTTAAGCTATTAACAACATTTAAAAAAAAAGAATTAAAAGTTTTGGCAACAACATTTTGGTCTTCAATTAATTCATTATTAGAGACTTTTAATGAAATATGATTGCCACAACTATCCTCTTTTCTAATGCCTAATTCGTTATTTACAACTTTCCACATAGCTTTTGGTTTATTTAATGCATTATTTATATATTTGCTGTTAGACCTTTTTTTAGAACTGTTTACAACTTTACGAAATATCTTTTTATAAGACTTTACATAGTTAAGAAAAATTGGGTCTGTACTGGTTTTGGCTTGCCAATGCAACTCACGCTTTCTTTTGCTAGAAACCTTGATACCTGTTGTTACCCAATCCAATATAACAGTTTTTATCTTAGATTTCTTTTTTACAGCCTTTAGTGGGAAATAATGATTCAACTGCCCTATAAAATAACTCAAAAAATGGTTGTAACTATCATTAACATTACAATTATCCAAACATAATTGACTTTTGTCAATTTCAAAAGTTTTTACATATTCGTTCATAGCATTTTCACTAAAAGTTCTTTTATAAAAAACCTTTTTGTTGTTGTCATTTATCAATTTGTTAGGTAGATTTATAAACAGTGCATTATGGTCAGATACACAAAGACCAATATTATATTTACAGATAACCTTGAGTTTTGTTTGAGTCGCAATGTTATCAATGCAAGTGCGAGAGTTACCTGATATTCTTGTTGGTTCATTGAAGTTTAGATTAAATCCATTACATTCAATAATATCATAGAATTTTGAAATTAAGTTGTTACTTTTGAGAATATCTATATTGAAATCAGAGGCCAGTATGATAGATTTAGTTTTGTTTTCATTTTTTAATTGATTCATTAAAAGTTCTAGTTTAGTGAGGAAAAGCTTTCTTATGTTATATTCTGGAACTGTATAAATTGATACCACTAGTAAATTCATTTCCACAATTTCAACAAATGAACCTTCAAAAATGAAATCCTCATTTAATACTTCCAGGTCTGCTCTTGTTTTAAAGTTAAATTCTTTATGCACTAATATACAAGAACCTCCTCTTTTTTTATTATTTTTTCTTATAAACACATTTCCCAAATTAAAATTATCAAAGGTGTTAAAAATATTAAATGAGTCCTCATTGATCCAATGCTCATTTAGTGCAAAAATCTTAATTTTACGTCCAAACTGTGATAGAAACATATTTAAATCAGCCACTTTACCTGGATTTAAGCCTTGAATGTTCATATGCATAAACATATCATGAACTGATCTCTGAAGTTTCAATAAAGAATTCTCATTGTTAAAAGTACTTTCTACCCTACTACAAAAAATATTATTTACAATAGATGTCTGAAAACAGTGAGTTGTATTACTATTTACATTGGATCCATTTTACTGAGAACATTCTACATTTTACCTTCAGGTGGAATGATCGAAAAACCTGATCATCTGGAAAGTGTTATATTTGAATCGGGTCTAAATGTAATTTTCCTGATTTCACCTTGTCGCGAGTGACGATGAAATATGTCACCACAAATGTGAGAGATTTTCACAACGGTTCTGCGAACCCTATGTTTTAACGAGGCACTTGTCGGAAAACGACTAAAGAAAAGAAATACGCTGGCGATTTTGTGCAAGTCTATAGAGCCAGTATAACTCAACACTTCAATAATTTATCCAGACAATAATTTCTGCAAGGTACTAATGACAACATGGCAATTAAAAAAAAGACAAAGACAAGGCAAACACATTTTCTTACTTATAAAGTATGTCTGTTTGTTTCTTCAGTTCCTTCTTCTCTTCTTCATTTACAGGTTCTGCCTTGGTTTTTTTTGGGGCAGGAGGTCCATCAACAGAATCACTCGGCTTCCTAGATAAACAGAGAAAAAAGTTATATCGGTAAATAAACTAGGGATGGTCAAGTCTCAAAATTTCGGGAAATTTTCGGGAAATTTTAAATCTCGTTACATGAGACGAGATTTCTTTTTGACCGAGATTTTTATCGAGACGAGAATTAAAAAAAAAATAAATAAATAAAAAAATAAAAACGCCTGCAGAAAGTCAATGCAATACCCGCAATACAGGAGCGTGTTGTAGTTGCGTTTCCTTTGCGAAGGCGTTCTTATTTAATTAATTCTATAAATGTAAATATTACTTTAATTATTTTAATAATATTACTTTAATAACATTTGAGAAGTTTTGTTAAGTGTAAGCAGTGTGAGGAATGTTTTATTACTATAAAAAGTCAAAACAAGTAACTATTTTATAAAAATTAATATTGCTTTTATTTTATGATTTATTTTATTTTAGGATAAGTTGAACTCTATCCTAACTGATATCACTATGTTTCTTAATCGTAGGCATTTTTAATAAGTTAGGCGTGATTAATAAAAAAATGTTATGCTGATGTTTTTTAATAAAAGATTGTAAATATTCTTGCCTATTATCATTATTGTTGTATTTAAACAGTCATCTAACAATGTTACAAAATCAGGTAACAATTTTGAACGTGCATTTCCCGTTGTGTATGAGAAGGGAAATCCCGTCTCGAAATTTTATGAGAAATAAAAAATCTCGTCTCGTCTCGTCTCAAACTAAAAATTCAATCTCGTCCATCCCTAAAATAAACCAACTTACAGTGTAAAGTGCAATGGAATGAACAGTACAAATTTAATATTCAATATCTTACCAAGCAGCTTCCATCTACCAAATATGTACCATATATGTATGTACCATGTATGCAGCTTCCATATATGTAAAATGATACATGTGTAAGCATTTAGACCACAAAATTATTTAGGGAGTATTTTAATAGCATGAGTTCTCATATACATGAAAAGGGGAGCAAGCTGGTCTAGTGGTGGAGAGCGGGACTTCGGTCCCACATGTCCCAGGGTTTAAATCCCGCCAAATTACCAAAATGGATTTTATCCAAGTGATAATGCCGACACCCCTAGGTCAAGCCGGAAGTAATGTGAAAAACAATCTTGCTCTCGTGCCTAGCGTCCAACGACAAAATATATATATGAATGAAGTAACTACAAATAATTTTTTTAGTTGGAAATAAATCTTTTAGACATGGACAGAGAAAGGAACCACATATTTTAACACCTTACACCTTACAATACTACTAATTTTGAAGCAACACACTACAGTAATTGTAAATAAATCTTCTTTTGCACCACTCACGCCTTGATTGCTGGCAACACCTCCTTAAACTTGGCTTTGTCTTCATCCTTCAAAGATGTAAATCCATCGAGCTGATCGGCCGACATGAAAAAGCCCAAGTCCTGACGCAGCTTCACAAAACAATCCAGATGATGCCACAACGGGACTCCTCCGTACCTGAGATAAATTAAAACCATTACAACAATCTACGTTTAAGGAAAAATGTTTTATAATAACCGTTTTTTTTTTAGATTATATTTTTAACAACCAACCTATTTGTGTACACTATAAGATTAAAATACTTATTTTTTGTAGCTAGTCAATATCCTACATCCAATATTGTCAATGTTTCTAATTTTTCATAAGCTTTTTACTTCGAGTCGGCATAGTTGATAGAGGTTTACCCATCCCTTTAGTAGAATCCTGAGAAAAGTCATTAGCTTTTTTAAAGGCTGTTCAAAACTGGACCCAGCTGTTCCTCATTATCGGCTTTAAATAAATGACCCTGGCTAATGAAACAGCTGATCCTAGTCAGTAACATAGCTACACGGATCATGGCACATGATTCTACATTCGTCCTTCACTCATATTTGAGTTTTAATTAATTTTTTGTTGCGGCAATTCATCAATGCAAGTTTTGTATGAACTTCATTAAAGATACATGGATAATTTCTTAAGAGAATGTATGAAAGTTTGGTGAGGTTAGATAAGTCTCTGAATGTGTAGGCCTAGTCCTATTATTTCAGTCAAAGTAACTTACATCAGTCCTAATATTTAGTTAGGTGGTGCATTTTACCTTCTGCCATCGTCACTATCATAGTCCATCTTAGCTGCTCTCAATTCGCCCTATTAAACATTTAAGATTTTTAGTTACAAGCACAATATTCTAGGAGACTGACAAGTGAGAAATATAATTGATATAGCAGTACAACATAAGAGTTAGTAAGGATGTGTCGATTCTCGATACCACCAATTCTTTGACATTGGAATTGGCATCGAAAATCAATTGTGAAAGGCAATACCGATACCTGAAACGTCCGCAAAGGTCACGCGATTGAAAAATTAGGTGGCAATGATGAATTCCGTTACCGCTGAGCTATATTTCGGATTTCGTAGCGACCGTGGAAGAGGATTGACATTGTAGGAGGTCACAAAATGACCTAGAGCTTGGCATGATCAAAAATCTCAGGTTGGCTCACCTCTTGTTATAATACAATTTTATTTTGATAATTGTTAGCAAGATTTTTTTTTCCTATGATATAGGTTTAATGTGTTTGGAAGGGCATCCATGTGAATTGTTTAAAATTTGTCTCAACTAGGGTATCTTCTTTTTCTTGAGCTCACAAGGTAATTTTTACAAGTTTAAAATCAAGATCTAAACACAACAAAAGTATTTGAAGAAAGTTCATAAATAACCCTAGTGTTAACCATTTGAGGTAGAATGTGATATTGAGAGAGAAGGGTAACTTTTTGGAACATCAGTAATCAACTTAACCATTCAGTAAGAAAATCTTGTGTAATAGTGGGAAATAGTGAACTTCAAGCATCAAGGAATGGTGGATGGTGGTATTCGTTAAGCATATTAAAAACTAAGAAATTTTCAGAAGCATACAGTTGTGCTACATAAACAATCTGTTTGTTGTTATAAATACCTTCATAATGATCTCGTGACATCCGCGGCAAGTGGCTCTGCTGCTTTTTGAGATATCACATAGGAACATCTTTTTAGCAGCTCCACCTTCTGCCCCGCCTGCACGTTTCTTCCCCTTCTTCCCTTTTGTTTGTCCATTTTCAGCTGCTCCCGCTCCATTTGCAATGGCAGTAACTAAATAGAACCAAATATTAGATTGTTAAAAGTTAAGTAAGTTAACTGAAGTTATCTCAGTATTTAAACAAATCCTCATTACTATAACATCTCTTGGACGATTTTTAATAAATGTTTGGGTAATGCTGTAGACATGAGGATTTGCTGTCTCTTATTGCCGGCAACAATACGCCAAAATATTTTCATTTGGAATTGTTTAGAAAATATCGAGATCACCATAATATTTTAGGTTATCAACTACAGTAGAACCTCCATCAAATGAACACTTTCAACCAAAATAGTTTGCGAACAAGCATGATAGAACCGTGGGAAAGGAGTTTTATGGGAGACCCCTCACTAAACATAATATGTTTTTTCCAAACCAATTTGTAGAGCTTAAAAACAAACAATTTACAGGTAGTGTTTTGATGCATGTTGCACATTTAATGAAGACAATATTTTTAACTATATTTTGAACACTAAGTTAAAGGCTAGAAAGCTAAAACCATGGAGTATTTGAAATTTTAAATATTTTACACTGTAGCACCTCTATAAGATTTTTGAGAGTGAGTCATGCCGCTTCCTAATAGGTTAAGAGAACTTTACGGGACCAATAAATGCAAATGCACCAGAATAGGGAAATTATTAATACATCTGCCATCCCTTTTACTTGCTAAGAATGTCTTTACTTCAGAATTTTCTATGCATTGAAACCTTCGATGGTTCAAACATTTAAACTGTCAAGAGCAAATCTAACTCATCATCCATTTTATTTCCATAATATTTTTTTTTAAGTTTAACAACATGAGTCCTACTTTAAAAGTAGGGCCTACGTCCAAAAATGTTATTTCAAAAAATGATTACCTTTCTCACGAATTTTTTCTTGATCATCCCATTTCAGCGCCTCGAAATGTTCTATGTCGCCAACCGCTTTGGGTCGTTGCTTGGCGAAGAAGCATATCTGGTGGTACCACTTAGGGATCACTCCGTCAAATGATGGTGACTAGACAATCAAACACAGATAATAAAAATAATAATGTTTATACTTTACTTATTATCAATGCCCGTAGTAGGCTAAATGTCAAGAATTTGCCTTTAGCTCGGCGAGATGGTTCTATATGATGACACGTTGAGGAACAGCTTCCGTACCAGCGTATTTTTCTAGGCTTATTGAGGACTATCTGTACTGCAGAACTGTTCATTACAAAACGAAAGATAGATTGCGGATGATGGATGTCACTTCTCGTGTCACGTAATATTCAATTAAAATTTATGTTTGTAGCCCCTGAGCTGTTTGACATAAAGTAAAGACTAAATTACTTATGTAATCCCGTCACAGCTCAAAAAATCTTTCTCAAATTAGGACATGTTTCGGTGTTAAAACACCATCGTCAGCTTCTGGTAGATACTTGTAGTGTTGATCAGTTGTAGACATCGTTGAAGGGTAGGCTAAACACAATATGGCACGAACAATATTACAAAAAGAGACATTGAAACATTTAAAAACAGGCCTGTTCCAACCAAAGTGACCGAAAGCACAGGTAGCAAGGGAGACACTGCAGATCCGTAAAATAATAAACACTACAGTATTTCAAAAGTGCAAGCATTTTTTAAATAGTATTTTAAAGTGTTTTTCCAGGGTTTTAATTGTACAAAAACAGTCTTTAGGTACAAACCAACATCTCGTTTCAAAGTTTACAGTTAAAGTTCACTAACTTTGACAAGTCGTTGCCCTTGATTGCGTAAGCATAGACATTTTTTAAAAAGCAAACTTAGTAGAACCACTCTTTATGTACAAAATGGTGTTTGGTTCACAATTTAAATGTTAAAACTAGAATCGCTATATGATACCGCGCGAAGCGGTTTTCTGACGTTTTTCAATGGGGGTAGGGAACCCTCTTAATATCCGCATGAAGCTCAACCCACCACCCTGACATGCCTAAATAAGATCTAAGTTAGGCTACATGCAATTAGTCTCAGATCATTTCTCTTGTAAATGTCATCCTTGCTACCTTGTTTATTCAAAAGTTGTATATTTAAACAGTAATACCTTCAGTAATAGGCCTATTCATTTGCTATGAAAAGTAATGGTATACGTTATTTGGATTCAGGAGGTAAAAAAAAAAAAAAAAAAAAAAAAAAAAAAAAAAAAAACAATAAAGTAAGATATCAAAATAAAAAATTTCCTTTAGAGGCACCTGTTATTTTAGTGAATGTGCTTTACGACTGTGACTATTATAGTCACCCCGCTACTTCACGAAAATGTAAAAATTGATTGATTTGTTTTTGTTGTTGTGAGATCATCTATAATATTAAAACGAAACATTGTTTTTTTATTTCAAGATTCTGAATCAACCACTCGACGGATTTTCATGATTTTTGTGTTGAAAGACAGATAATTTTGTGAACTAGGGAATGTCGAAGCCATAATTTTAGTTTAGGGTCCCAGTTTTTTAAAAATTAAGTTTTAATTTTTTTAAAGTCTAGCAGCCGACGCTAAGATTCTAAACTAGATTTTGGCATAAAATAATTTGCTTAACATAACAGCTGTAAACATTCAGCTTTTGTGTCACAAATTCAGCATTTGGATAATAATTACATGTTGACTTATTAATACTATGTGTAATGCTATGCTCATTGTACGTCCATTTTATGGGTAAGAGGGTGACAGACTATTTAAATATTCATGGTTTAATGATAGATGTTCTAATTAATTTTTTAGAACAATCTTTAAAATTTTTAGTTTGTTTTAGTGCAATATAATTTGTTTTAACTAACAGCTGGTTGAATATAAAAGTTGTCTTTCAAACTAAAAGGTTAGTTTATTATTCTGTGATGTTGGCATTGAATATAGAAAATAAGTAAGATTCAAGATTCTATAACCACTGATGTATACAAATCAAGGCTCTGTCCCCGAGTATTCAAAGGAAAAATTATGCAAACTATTTTTCTGTTCGACTTTTTGAGGAAAGAATAGGAAAATGTGTACATGTTTTAGTTCATCTTGGCAGCTTTTTGTTTTCAGGAAATGGTTAACTGCTTGAACTTTGCTTGGAATAGAAATGGAAATATTAATATAATTTCAGTTTTTGTTGACTACTCAATCCCGTACGTAGGACGGGCCAACAGCTCGTATGTAATTATATTGAAATGATTTTTGCACTATAATATTGGAAATTTCTTCCTTATTGCAGCGGTACCCCCTTTTTCTATGAAGAAAAAAAAAAATCCCTTGATATGATTTTTTTAAACATGCCGTGTTTGGCAGTTTTGTGACCCGTACATGGTACAACCGACATTGCTCTAAATCTTCTTTCACTTTAGTGCTCAATTACAGTGATACATTTGAGAGATAACTTGAAGTGGATATAACTTATGTAACAAAATGCAAGTTTAGAATCAATCTTTCAAACGGTATACAAATTGTTCAATTTTACAATTGTTTTTGACAATTTAAGCTTAATAGGGCTATTTAGAGTTAACCAAAGCCTTAAAAAATACAACTATAATAGCCACTGCCACTACAAAAACTACCTACCGCAACTATTAAGTTATAGTCGTGCTGCCAGTTGGAAGGTTAAACCTGTTGGAGACCCACGCTTACAGACTACAGTAGCCTAACTTAGCAATCTGTGTGGGTAAATGCATTTTCCCACCTCTCCCCAAAAAATTGCCTGAGTAAATTAAATGTTAATCTAGGCCTATTAAATTTGACTACAAATTTTAAAGATCTCAGAGAGAAAGGATTTATTTATAAAAATAAACCCGTCTGCCTTATAAAATAAGGTTGCCAATGACACAGAAAACAAAGGTTGATTCATATTTCTTTTTTCTTTTCCTCATTCACTTCATTAGGTTGATTTCATATCTAATTGTTGGATCGAGAGTCATCCCATGGTTTGTTGGTCTTTCAATCAATAAAAAATCTACTCTTCTAGTGCTTCCGTCAGAAGAAAGACAATGTACTTCAACTTCTTCATGCACTTCCCATGTATTATATCTTTTTCGGAAGGTGTTTGCTATAACTTAATACTTATTTTGTGGTGCCTTGTGTTTCTTAGTTCACCAAAAGGACAGAAGCCAAGGGCATGTGCAAGGGTTTCAATTTCGCCACAGGCATGTCTTTATTACACAGTAAGAAATAGTCTTAACTTAACTTATTTCAAGCCTGTTTGAAATTCTATATTTAATGTTCATAATTCTCAATGTTTTAACTTAAAATTTAACTGTTTCTAATAGGCTCACACAAACACTGATAAGAGAGATTCAGTCAGAATACAAATATGAAAGTTAGGCCTATGCCTACCATGTATTAGAGAAACAAATCAGCCTAGCTCAATATATTGTGTGTCACCCTAATTCAACAGTTAATTATGAAGTTAGTTATTCAGCCGAGTGGTTATAGTGCTCGCCTTCAAATCTGAAGGTCGCTGCTTAAGCAGTAAACCCACTAGTCCGACACTCTCCGTCAAGACACCTTCCAACAAGTCTCCGCCACTTTCCGATGCCTTCCGCACTTTTTAAGGCAATAACCCATTGGTGCGACGAACCGACGAGAAATTAGATATTTCAGGCTTTTTGGTAATTTTTCTGGCTGCTAGAGTAGAAAAAGACGTCCATCCGTTGTACGTTGTAATCTGTCCATCCGATGGTTCTTTATTCACATAATATTTTTTAATAATAGTTGGACTAATCAACACTCAAATTCACAGAACTTGCAACATACCTATCACTGAAAACATCAGAATATGTTCTGGCAGCTTTTATAACATAGGCTACTGTCTAAAGAAAGGGATGTTCCCAAACCGCTTCGATCAAACGTTCCATTAATACTCATGTCACACACAAAGCTAGACAGTAACTAATCTAGGTATGGTGCACGCAGAGTGGAGAAATATCAGATCCGACATCCGACAACAATGCCCCAGAGAGCAATGTTGTCGGAACGTGTCGGATCGGGAGGTGTCGTGTCAGACTAGTGTGGGTCATAGTCCATTTAAGTTAAAGTCATACAAAGTAATTTTGTCGGAAGGTGTCGGAAAGTGTCGTGTCGGACCAGTGGGTTTCCTGCTTTAGATTCCAAGCGAGTTTCCACAAACTTAATCAGATGCCATTTGTCATTGGGCAATAAAGTAAATTAGCTTAGCTAGCCTAATAGATGCTAGGTCTATCCAACAAAAAGATCGACATTAGATAGTTACGAGACCATACAATACACCTAAACTAATGCCTCAGGCTAGCCTACACCTGAAAATTAAGACACAAAAGAATTCTACGTTTATCTTAATGATTAAGTTTTTGTCTACAGTTTAAGACGGAAGAACAAGACTAGTGATGGGCTTGAGCCAGTTATCCTACCTGAACAACAACAGCTAATCTCAGCGTCTCTTTGGCAATTTTTTGTTTGCATCCTTGACAAGAGCTGCGATCGCTTTTGGCATATTCAGCTCTGTAGGGTAGATGACCACTCATTTCTTGTTAAGACTAAAACAAATCTATGGGCCTCTAAAACTTCGCAGCCACCACAATGCTACAATTAAGTCTAAATTTAAGATTAGTTAATACTGAACCGGTCTGCCAAATAACCTCTCTAACTCAGTAACTCAACTGCTGTACTCTAACCTTAACTATTATTGTATTTTTGTATTTGTAGTGTAGGATGGATGGAATGAAAACACTGCTCTAACTATGTAGCCTATGTATGCAATGCAGGTTAGATTTGTTTGTTGGCGCGAGCGACTTGCAAGCTCGGCGCCGAAAAAGGGACACCAACTGACCAACTGTAAAAAATATTTTTCTACGTCTCTGAGAAAAAGCTTAGAATAATATTTGAGAATTGAACTTGTGGGCGTTCCTCTCTGAGAGAAGGCCAGTTTGCTTTTCTGAGAGAAGACCAGGGGCCCATTTCATAATAAACTACAAGTTAGAGAAACAAATCAGCCTAGCTCAATATATTGTGTGTCACCCTAATTCAACAGTTAATTATGAAGTTAGATTCAGCCGAGTGGTTATAGTGCTCGCCTTCAAATCTGAAGGTCGCTGCCTTACAAGTTAACTTGTAACTTGTTATTTCCATTAGATTTGCATTGGGCAATCAGCTGATTTACTAATAATATTAGTTTGTACTTTATTATGAAATGGGCCCCAGTTTGCTTTTCTATGGGAGCGCATCAAGGTGCCACCACGTCTACCCGCCACCAAAAAGAAGAAATTTGTGGAGGCAGGTTGACGTGGTGGCTTCTGGTCGGGGAGGCACCTAGACGTGATCGTGCACGACCTCCCGTTACAACAACATGTAATTGTACAGAAAATAATCAAACGGGTTGACGGCCAGTGTATGTGGTGGTGGGTGGACGGCATCGTACATGGAGCGTACCCACGGCCGCCTTTAACTACAGGCCGCGGCCTGGTAGAATTGGCAACGTTGCAAGTGGTGTTGTTCAGTGACATACGTCCCATAAGATAACATGGCAGACGGGTGACATCAGTTCATTAATTTGCACTTTATTGATTTAAATTTAAATTTTTAACATAAATTTATTAAAATATTGAAAATAAAACATACAGAATTGAAAACCGACACAATATGAATGGAAAAATCTATATCTGTACAGTCTCTTTCATCGTCCAGTAAACAAGCTTTCAGCTTTCGTAAATACACAAATACCATTAGCTACTTCCAAACAAAAACAGCTATTACAACACCACTTGCAACGTTGCCAGTTCGAAGGCCGCAGCCTGTAGTTAAAGGCGGCCGTGGCGTATCACGGCCACCTTTAACTCCAGGTTGCGGCCTGGTAGATTTGGCAACGTTGCAAGTGGTGTTGTCTAGCGCTAGCCGTCCCATAGGATTACATAGACAGGTGACACTCAACTCGTGTATTATTCATTTACATTTATGAACCTAAATTTTTTAAAGATTGGAAATAAAATATATAGAATTGAAAACCAAAACAATGTTTGAATTGAAAATCTATTTTTGTACATTAAATTAGTCAATACTTTTCATAGCTCAGTAAATAAGCTTTTGTATTCTTAAAAAATACACAAATTACCATTAGCCGCCTCTAAACAAAACAGCTGTTACAACCCTACTTGCGATGTTGCCACATCGAAGGCCGCGGCCTGGAGTTAAAGGTGACCGTGGCTTGACAACCCGCCACCGCAGATAGATGTGTGGTGGCTCATAGATGGGTAGGTAAGTACCTTCACGTCAACCCACCACCTTGGTTTTTTGTGGTAGTGCCTTGAAAGCAACCCATTTCTATGTTTCTCCTCTAGGATTTAGTAACTATAAAAACTAGTAAGCATAGGTTTCAATGGATGAAAGGGATTAAATAATATCAGATTATTTCAACCAAGGTTTACCTAAATTCTTCCATCTTCGTCTTTCACCCACAAAGTGGGATTGACATTGTCACTTCAAATGGTTAACTAAACTCTAAACAAAACATATATTTACGACACACTGTAACTGGCGTGGGTCCTATATAGGCGCACCCTGGGTAAATCAAGCTGACGGAGTTTTGCTGATGGACGTCATCACGAGTGATGAAGTTGGCTATGTTGGCCCAACGGGCACCAGACAGAGAAGTATTATAGCCCAAGAGGATATATTATTTCTCATTGCCATTGCATTAGTTATATTATTATTGTAATGGTTAATCTTACTTCAGTAAACGCCCACTACTGTAGTTATATTGTTATATTCTAACTTTAAACCAGAAAATTCGAATATTTTTTTTTTAAAGAGAAGAGAGGAACCCTACAACTAATTGGTTATTATGAACTTGCTTGTTGGGGTGGTTTCCCTGGCTTTGCTATCATGATTATTATCTTTTACTGTGCCGCTTAAAGGTACCTATCTTCTATTTACAATGGGAATTTTACAAAAAAAAGAGTAAAGTACAATCAGGATTCAAGAAATAATGTTTACACTAAAAAAATTTGGAATTCCAGCTCCATCTTAAAATTCCCTCGCTGACCACCATTTCTTTCTAGTTCATCTCAGACACATACTGGCTGCCCTTAAAACTGCATAAATTGTTCTTGATCATATCCAATTAATTACCAAACAGTATGTTTTTTTTTCATTTTATTATTCCATTTCCATAAACACATCTTCAATATTATTAATAGCTACATGAAACTTTGTAAACAATAAGGCTTTTTTGTTTTAAGATAAACCCCCACATATTATATACCAAAATGTTAGTCTAGGTGTAGATTTGCAGATTTGCAAACTGACCTTACATCTTTGAAATAGTCCCTTGGGCTCTGCCCCAGTGGCTTTTAAAGTTTCCATGTCATCCTTTATGAATAACATATTTGACAAGAATTTCTCTGGAGAACCAAACCACCCCCCCCCTCCCCCGCAAGGACTAGCGTCTCAGGGTCCTAGTCAGAAACCGATGAGAACCTCTTCTGCGAAGGAGTGGGGGATTGTGGGAGAGCCCCTCACCGACTTAAGAAAAATTATAAAATTAATTTTAAATTATAACAATAAACTGTCAAAACCTAAACTAACCAACCAAACTTGCTGATAATATAAAAAAGATAAAATACAAATCGAATGAAGGAATTTTATAATTTTTTAATTATAAAATTAAACTGTCATAACCTAACCAAACTTGCTGATAATATAAAAAAGATATAAGATAAAAATCTAACGAAGGTTTACTAATTAATAAAAAATAGGCCTGTTCTTAAAATAAAATTATAAATGCCTCAAGTTCTAACAAAAGATGTTGTTAAGAAGTAATCGCATTCCAAGCAAAATCTTTGATAAAAAGTTTATGTCACCGGAGGGATTTTATCTGGATACCTCATGAACATGAACACTTTTTTATCATCAAATCAGGATCCTATTCTGGCATCATCAAACCTTCAGGCTGCATTAGACGATTTGTCTCAGTGGCTACAGAATTGGAAAATTAAAGTAAATGAAACAAAATCCGTTCAAGTTACATTTACTATGTCTACAAGAACTTGTCCCCCAGTAACATTGAATAATGTCATGCTTCCACAATCCAACGAAGTTAAGTACCTTGGTATGCATCTCGACAGACGGCTTACATGGCATTCACACATTTGGAACAAACGACTTCATTTAAATTTAAAAACAAACAAACTAAATTGGCTCATTGGTCGAAATTCAAAATTATCTGTTGAAAATAAATTACTTTTATACAAAATTATATTGAAACCTATTTGGACCTACGGTATCCAACTCTGGGGAACCACTTCCAACTCAAACATAGAAATAGTTCAAAGGTTTCAATCGAAAACACTGAGAACAATTTTACAAGCACCTAGGTTTGTCACAAATAAAGTAATTCATCAAGATACGAAATTACCCTATGTTAAAGAAGAAATAAAGAAACGAAGTGAAAAATACCAAAGAAAATTAGAAACCCATCCAAATTTCCTGGCTGTTAACCTCCTCGACAATAGTGAAGCTACATATAGGCTCAAAAGAGTTAATCCAATAGACCTTCCAAATCGTCTTTAGTTAAACTTTTTAAAAGTTTTTGTATGTTAGTGCACTTGATGGAGTGTAACTTACCCATGTTAAAATGGTTATTGAATTTACTTATTATTCTCGTGTTGAATAGATTGTAAATAAATACTTGTTAAAAAAAAAAAAAAAAAATTAAGGAAACATGTGCTACAAACATTTACTTACTTGGTTGAAATCACAATTACTAGGTGGTTGAAATCACAATTACTAGGTGGTTGAAATTTAAAATTTAGGCTACTATTTGAATTTGGGTTGGCGTAAATATTACAATGGCAAAAAGCAAGAAAGCCTGGACAATCTAATTTGATATACTAATAAGAAAACTGAATTAACACTGTTCTGTATTTCTTGAGCAATCATTGAAAGAGCCGATTTTCAAACTATGGAAACGTAGGAAATTCATAGTGAAATTAAAAAAAAACACATTTTTCCATTACATTTTAATGAGAAGGCCAAAAGACAAAATTAATCAAAGTTTACCAAACACATAACATTTAACACTAAACATTTCTTCAAAATTCCCCCAAAATCACAACCATAGTTACATCAAATGTAAAAAACATCAAAAGTTTAACTTGATTTGAGTCTTGGACTGGCTATAATTAAAACTTTACATGACAGATTCCTACAAGTAATTTCCATTAATGCTACAAATCAAAAACAAAATTATTAAAATGTCAACATGTTATACAGCATCAAATAATTATCATCAGCCGTACAAAAAAATATATTTTCATAAAATTAGTGCATGGCAAGTCACACCATAAAATGTAGGCAAGTCAAAATCATACCAAACAATTTTGCCAATCTCTCACACACATATTAGCATAGCTCGATTCTAGTTGTGTGTACAGTACATCAATTCTTATAACAGGTTAATTCATTAATGTTAAAGTCCGTTCACAATATTAAGGCGGTTTGGGGGGGAAGTTCCCCACCACTGACTTTTGGCAAACCTCAGCTGTTGAGCTATTGTTTTGAAGGTAGGATCAAGTGGAGGGGATATATTTTGTGAATGAGGTATACCACTGTATACAGTACATCAATGAACAGTGGCGTAACTAGAACATGGCTTTTGGGGGGGGATGGATGAGCTCAAAGTCTGAACTCATGCGGGGGGTTTGTGGGTATGCAAGACCAATACCCCTCAGTAAAGAGGGGGTTCCGGAAAATTTGAAAAAATTAAAAATCCAAACTCGCGTTTTCAGGCATTTCAAATGTGTAATCACATTTAAAAAAACTTAAAAAAATCAACCCAATTGAGGCTGTCTCTGGCCGGTCGGATTCAGAAAGACAGAAGATAGTGTTTCTTGATTAAGAAGTACCACTATCGGTAAACACACGTGTTTGTCTTGTACTGACCGACTGCGTATTCGCAACTTACTACAGTTTTTCCAAGTTTTAGACTCCCCTCCCGACAGCCCTGACACCATACTGGATATTAATACACATACGCAACATTTTACGAAATAACATCAAAATGCATTTCAGAATGACATGGCTCGGCTCATTTAATATTTTAGAAGTCTTAACCTAACAGAAGTCAGACATCTGCTTAGTGCTTGCCGTGCATGCCTGCAGTTAAAATTAGTTTACCCATACAAATCATTTTAGGGTTCTTGGGGGGCCTCCCGGGTTCTATTCCCCTCATCCCCACCATAGTTACGCCACTGTCAATGAACAACGTCATTAGGCTGAAATAAACGTTGTTATTTGAAAACAAAATTAAATATAAAAAAGTCTTCATAGGATTTAAATAAATATGTAAAATTTACTGGGAAAGCTTTGATCTAAAAAACTTCTGTTTTATGAATTAATTTTTTTATGGTTACACATTTCAAATTCTTTAGCCAGCAGATACACTTTTAAAATCTATGACTTGCCTTTACAAAATTGTGAAAACCCTAAAACAAACAAGAAATAATACTAACTAAATAAAAATCATAAAATTATTTGTCTATTAAATGTCACCTATTCCTAAAAGTGTTTCTAAAACCAAGTGACATAATTATTAATGGGAATATAACTATTCCAATCCATCAACTGGACAAACAATAACTCTATTAGACCACATAAATACACAAAAGGGTAACGAAAGAGGTTAAAACGTAAAATAGCCAATATGTTTAGTGTTTTAATGGTTTTACTCATTTAAACATTTTTGTTACTCAATTTGACAAAAAAAGTTTTTTCCCATTTCCATATTAAGTTTAAAACAATTTGTTGGATGCATACAAAAGTACATAAACTTACAAACATTGCCTTTTGAAAGAAATAAGTACTTAAAATGATTTATTAATTATTTATTTTAAAAGTTATATACCGGTACTTAAGTTGAGCAAAATTATAAGTCTAGGCTTGATAATGTCACATTCTTTATAGGGTAACTTCTTTAGTTGGCAATATCAGTTCATGTGATGATCAACTCACATGTGTTTCGTGTTTGAACTCTAGCAAAAACTAACTGGTAACTTAAGTAATTAAATTGAGTGATGTATAAGCAGTTAGATAAAGTCAGCATTATGCGTTGTTTAGAAAAAATTAAACCTAAGCATGGAATAATTCCATACAGTTATCACATAATTATGCAAACGTGATGAATTTTTTGTTTATAAAACTAAAATATAGGATACACTTCATATTTTTCAGGAAACTCCTTAGGCAAAGGATGTCAAGATTATGACAACAGCTAAGACAATACACCTTAAATCACAGCAATAGCATATAAAACACAAATTTCACTAGACTATATAGTCTCTGGACTAACAAACCTAAACCGGTAACTTTTGGATTTTTTAATAACCACAAAATTCAACAAAGGTGCTAAAGATTTTTTTTGTTGCTTAATATATAGGCTATAAACCCCAAACACTATCCTCATATATATACGCCATACTAACCCCATATACTAAATATATGGCTAGTTTGAGTACGGTCTTCTCTACTTTTCATTTACCAGTGCCTCAGGCCATTACGTGGGACATACTAACGTTCCACCATGGTACAACCATCCTAATCTTGATTCACATTTAGTAATATTAAAAGCCAATGTAATATTTGACAGAGATAGCATACTTTTAAACAATCTATCATTTTACACATGGACCGAAAGATGCGACCAATTAAAAAAGCTAGTGATAAGTCGCCATATTTTACCACAAAATAATTTTTTGAGCAATCCCAAATTCAAGACTTAACAAGTTAAATCTTACAATGGTGCAGAAAATAAAATTGAAACTGGTCGATCAGATGGCACACGTTTATTACTAAGTGTTTTACAAAGTTTGTCAGTAACAGTATTTCATTGCAACTTGTTGTACCACATTTTCCTTAGTGATATGCAACTAAGATGCCTGTTAAAGTACCTAATTAATTAATGCTATGATAACTAACACTTCATGATATTTTTTTGTACTAAAATCAATGACTGGTTTTTTTAGGGCATCCAAATTAACAATTTGCAGTTAATAGCTAACCATTTACACCACAATTTACAGTAACCCGACCTTCTTTAGTAAACCCAAGCATCTAGTAGTCTACTAACTCATCTCCATTTTTGTAAAGCTCATGACAAATAAGCTGGCACTTGGCCTAGCGTGGGTAGTGTAGGAGGGGTGTGGGTAGAAGTAAGGAAAAGACCGGTCTGCAAACTTTCTGCCCACTCATGGGGTTGACTCCCCGTGTTTCACGTACTGAGCGCCTTCAGGAGGGTCGCCAGGACAGAGTTGACGCAACCTGCATATGATGTTTTTGAACTAGATACTAGTAGCGATTGGTCAAGTACCAGCTTAGGTGTCACGAGCTGTATATAGCCTAACCTTAATCATTGTTGATAAACATAACAAAGAAATTGAAATTCACTAATGTATTGTTTTTAAACACTACTATTAAGGGGAACTGTATTTTGTTAATGAAACTACTCAACCAAAGGATTCCTAAATTTCTCGAGTAGACTACAAAATGAAAACTGATTTATGAACATCAATAAAATCCCAAGACAGAAAAAACACATTTTTAACTCACAGTCACAGCTATCTAGAACGATGTTACAGTAAGTGACATCATAATTATTACAAGTAAGAATCTTATATACCAAAGTAACCTTCCTAAAACATGTGATTTTTTCACCAGTCACAATAGTTAGTCGGAAACTAATATCTGTTGATTGCTGATCCACTACACATTATATGTGTCACCTTCCATGATATTAGTCATTAATTTAACATCAAAAGACTTTTGAGTCCACACTCAAGTGACTACATAAGTGATACAAAGGCTTCACTTTCTATTCAACGCCTTAGGAACACAAAAAAAGTTTGTGAACGCCCGAAGATAAACTAATGAGCAACCATTCGTTTCAGCACTGAAACAGATAATATTTTTAGTCTGCCGTAGCTTGACTTAAAATAATTGCTAATAAATAAGAATTTCATAAAACCTTCATGCCGAGTTTAGGAAGTCCACAGCATCTTAGGCTGATAGTAAAGCCGCGTTTACACTGTGCAACTTGTTTAATAAACTTCTGTTGTACAACCAAATTATAGTAATTGGTTTGACCATGTTTAAAAATGCAATGAAAAATATTAAACAAGTTGTACAACAAACGTGTTGTAGGCTACAACAAAAAACTGTGTTTTACAACAAGTTGTAGCGTTCCTGACCCGTGTCGAAAAGATCAAAGGAAATTTGTGTTTTATAAACTTTTGTTGTCCCATTCAAGGTTTATGGGCTCTAGTCTATACTAGTAGTCTAGATCAGTTAGTTCGCTTCCTGCAGTAGCCTAGGCAACACGTGACGATGGTTGATAGCAGGTCAGCAATGGAGTGGTGCCTGGCTGACATGTTTCAGCTCATAGGACAGTATAGAGACAGAAACATTCTGTGGGATGCACCGTTGGATGATTATAAATGTAGAAACAAACAACATGACGCTTGGGCTGAATAGGATAATATGTTTGAAATTTCAGCCTGCAAGTGTGAAAAGTAAATGAGAAAGTTGATAAGCCAATTCAATCGGAAGTGCAAGTCGGGCAGAGGAGCGGAAGAAATACTGGAATTGCGTCCCTCAACGATGTGTTTTTCTTCTTGATTCTTTCTCCTACCAGCAAAATCAAGTAGGCCTACTCTGCACTTGTCATTCTTAAAAAAATGTAAAACTAGTCCTCAATTTATTTATTTCAACGGAATTACCAGTTTACAAAAAATACATGAGAAATTACGTACATGCAACAAGATACAGGATAAAAACATATATGGATGCGTAAGAAGCTGACATGATGATGAGATTACAATGATAATGTTTTGCAATTCCCCAGCCAACAAAAATATTTATCATCTCATTCAAAATCTTTGACATTTCACTGCCACTGTACTTAATCCTAGCCTGCAATGAAGGACGTACACAAATGCTTTGCTCTTTTCCTTCTACCACAGGCAATCCCAACACAAGCAGCAGCTGCCAAGAACAGATCCTCGTCACTTGAAGCATCAAGGTGACTGAAGGTTTTCGAGCAAGCTATTGTTAAACATGTTTGATAATTCTTTTTGGCACATACAACTTGTAGTACAATTAAAGTTGTATAAACACAAGGTCAAGTTTATAAAACAAGTTGCTTAGTGTAAACGCGGCTTAAACACAAACTATTCAGCTCACAGACTACTACCATTGTATAGTAGGCTTACTGTACTTACCGTTATGGCACTCCAGTCAGTTTCAGAGTCAGTTTCAATGTTTCTTCAACATATGCCTTTCCAGATACTCTTTTCGACAGAAGGACTTGGGACATGCAGTACATGGGTACGGTCGTTTGCTACTGTGAATCATCATGTGGGCGTTGAGGTTACCGACTTTAATGAAGGCTTTACCGCAAACACCACAAGCGTGAGGTTTTTCCCCTCGGTGGCCCAATAGGTGATTTTTCAAATCCCCGCTCTGCATAAACGTTTTCTCACACAGCGTACACTTGAACGGGCGTTCGCCAGCGTGAATCACCAAGATGTGTCTCTTTAGGCTAGCGGCCGTACTAAACAGTTTTGCGCAGGTCGCACATTTGTACGGTTTCTTCTTTGTGTGCAGCACTGAGTGAATCTTCAACCCATCGCTTGTACTGTAGCCTTTATTGCACACTGAGCATTCAAATGGCAGCCGCTGGCTGTGAGTAACAATGTGACTGATCAATCCTTGCTTGGTTGTGAAGCCTTGGTCGCAATGGTCACACTTGTATGGGCGCTCCCCGGTGTGAATGAAAGAGTGAGTCTTCAAGCTCGCCTGAGTTGACAGCTGCTTGCCGCAGACGTCGCAACGGAAAGGCCTCTTGTCCGGAGGTAAATGAGTCAAAAGGTGTGTTTTCAAAACTGCGCTGAAGCAAAATGATTTTTTACAAAGAACGCATTCAAACAACCGTCTGCCCGAATGAACCACCGAATGCTTTTGCAGTTTCAACCCAGATGTGAATGACTTGTTGCAAACGTTACATTGGTAGTTTTTTTCTCCTGTATGGATTAGAAAGTGAGAAGTCAATTCTTTGCTTTGGGTGAACTGCTTTTCGCACACAGTACATTGAAATGGCCTCTTCGTTATCTCACTCTGTTGACTAGATTCCATTTGAGACGTTCGTCAGTAGGTCTAACTTTTCAGTATATACTATTTGGCAACAATTTTTAGTTTATTTTCCTAGGTCGGTTAACATTTGATTTTTCAGCAGTTTTCATTCTTTGATTTTCTTCTCTTTGTTTGACATTATGTTGCTTTTGGTATGATCTGAAAGCAAAGTACATTGTATTAGACAGGTAACGCAAAAGACAATGAGTATATTGGATCAATAATATTAATAAGCGATTTAGTAGGCCTACTGTAATCAATAAAATAGAAACTATTATATGGCACAATAAAACAATATGAGGCAAAAATTAATATGAGGCAAAATTGTAATCTGAAGAATGAATTAAATGGGTCTTTTAATACCTCGGTAGTGAATGTCTTAATATAGCCTGCAATTTCATCCTTAAAAGCTTCAGATTGTTCAAGCTCTAAAATCAAAAGATGGTGAGTTACGCTTAGCTTTTTGTCAACAGCTACTGACTAAAATCAATGGTAACGCAAATGTCTAATGAGGCCCAATCTATATTTAAAATTGGCAAGCATGATATATCGGCAGAAACCCTCTGTGGTTTCTCAACTGATTTTATTAGTTTAGCGCTCATTGGAAAGATCTCATTGAGTATATGTCATTAAGATCTAACATGTTAAAAAGTCCCCTCGGCTCTGCCCCATTAAAGTTCCAATGTTTACCTTTTTATTTACATAGGTTCAAGCTATTTCTGTTAACAGCTGGTAATAATTGTACCTATATGTTTACGTTCTAATGAAAAGAATCTTTTTGTGATTACATAGCTAAATTAGTTTTTTTCATTTTGTTTCACTATTGCCGGCTTTTTTAATAGTCCTACACACTTCTTTAGTACCGGTACTCTTCTCTGCTTTTTAAAGACTTGCCACAGCGTCGCCGGACAAATAGGACCGGTAGGCTAGTCGTAGCAGTATTTAGCTGGATGCCTATGTAATAGGTAGTCTACTGTCCGGATTAGGTTAGGGCCTAGTTACAATTACCGTTGAAGTGACACAACCGGTTTAGGGAAATTTATTTTCTTAATGAAACTACAAATAAAGAATATTTCGATTTTTAATTTGAAATTATAGCTGGCAGGTTAGGTTTGGTTCCAATTTAGACCTACTGTGTTAGTTCTATTTGTCTTACTCCAAGTCAGCTCCATTTTTTGATAGAACGGTCTAGAAACATCAATAAATTAAGGTTTTAAGTTACCTAGATGAATCCAAAACTAAAGGTTTTATCCAAACGAAAATGGCCTACATGGCATACAGCAGGTCAAGTTATTGGTAAAAATAACAAATTTCGAGAAAGGATTTGAAATTAAATAATTCGTTTGAAAATGTTTTCATTCGGGAAAAATAAATGTGTGTAGGTATATTGACTAACTTACCTAAGTTATTTCCTGACTAAGTTAACTTAAATGTGCAAAATAGACATTTTAGATTCTCAGGACACCCATTTTATATCTTAATTCTTGAATTTGAATACGTTATCCTAAAGTTATCCTAGAATATTTTACATTGGAAAGTCAAAGGTAAAGCAAAATTTAGATTTGTTCGTTGTGGTTGAATATGTTTGTAGATCCTAAGCTTCTGTTGAGGCCCATAGGGTTGGTCTACATCGAGTTAAGTTAAAGGTACAATTAATTTAGTTGGATTATCGAGTTAAGTTTAAGGTACAATTAATTTAGTTGGATTATCGAGTTAAGTTTAAGGTACAATTAATTTAGTTGGATTATCGAGTTAAGTTAAAGGTACAATTAATTTAGTTGGATAAGGCTAAGCCTATGTATTTTATTTATTGCTACTGGCTATAATGACTAACAGGGATCTAGTTTTAAATAGGCCTAGGCTATTGAAATGATTTTGGGATATATAGATGGATGATTAAGATTATTTCTTGGACTGAATCAGCTTTAGACTAGCTTACTGGTTTATACCCTGAACGGTCCTCGTTTAACACACACTACTAACTTACTTTGCACTAAAGGGAGTTTGAAGTTGGAGATCTTTTAAAAAGTACCCAAAATCGTTTCTCAAAATAACCTGTGCATTAAACCTTGGCAATTCAACCTAAACCTTTTTTTAAAAAGGGCACAATTAATGTTTAGGAAATAACAAAATATGTCCGTACCAATGAATTCAAAAAAAGAAAGCTTACTTTACACACATTCAGCAATATTAAGGTAAAATTTCCTACCTTGATGTTTACTTTACCATCGAACATTAAGTATTAAGTAAATACAAACACCAAACACCTAGTCTAAAATGATAACAATTTCAGCTGTTTTGTTGTTTGCCAGACAGCCATAGAGCAGAGCGCTATCAGGCAGGCACTAATCAACTCATCGGTAAAAGTCCAAGTTAACAACGTCTGAAAACAAAAATGCTAACATTGACATCGGAAATGTATCAGCGATGTATATAAATAGTATATTACGTTACTAGTCCTGAAAATAAGTGTTTACCGGACGAGTGTGGTCGTTCCCGTGCGAGACGAAGTCGAGTACGGGATTACCATACGAGTCCGGTACACACATTTTGGACGAGTTACGTACGATAGTTTACGCCACACTACATTATTTTGACGAACTTCCCACGCAAGGATTTAGTCCAGAAAACAGCTGTTTGCCGCCAGCTTATTCAAATGGGGTTTCATTGCGTACTACTGTGCTGCAATGAGTTTTGCCGGACACCAATCAGCTGATTATACTGTATTTAGGTGGCAGTGAGTGGTTATAAACAAAAACATAACCTCTCTTAGAGGTTATGACTAGTGATTTTTAGTCCTTTAGTTGGTGGAAATATATAAGGATTTGTACGGATTTAGTAGTATGGCGTAAACTATCGTACGTAACTCGTCCAAAATGTGTGTACCGGACTCGTATGGTAATCCCGTACTCGACTTCGTCTCGCACGGGAACGACCACACTCGTCCGGTAAACACTTATTTTCAGGACTAGTAACGTAATATACTATTACGCCATACTACTTAATCCGTACAAATCCTTATATATTTCCACCAACTAAAGGACTAAAAATCACTAGTCATAACCTCCAAGAGAGGTTATGTTTTTGTTTATAACCACTCATTGCCACGCAAATACAAGTATAATCAGCTGATTGGTGTCCGGTAAAACTCATTGCAGAACAGTAGTACGCAATGAAACCCCATTTGAATAAGCTGGCGGCAAACAGCTGTTTTCTGGACTAAATCCTTGCGTGGAAAGTTCGTCAAAATAGTGTAGTGTGGCGTAAAACTCATTGCACGTGTTTTAATATTTTATTATTTAAAACACATTATAATTTCATGTTTGTGATCATTTTACTTGAGCCATTAAAAACCCCGATGATTAACGCTCCTTTCACACAATACAATTTTTGCCATACCCGTACAGATAATTTGTGTTTAGACGTAAAAGGTGCAGGTTTTATCGGATGACAAAAACTGATTAGTGTAAAAAGAGGTTGGTCACTGAGCTTATAATTCATAAAATTCATTATTTAGTTTGTTTAGTTTTAAAGGAGTAAGTTATCATTGGTATGGTTTTATTGAGGCAGCATTGTCTATTTTTAATTTTAGTTGTTAAGATTGACATGACATGCAATTTTTGTAATTGTTATTTTTGTTTAATAAATGATTTATAATTGAGTTATTGAATAACTGTGGGGCAGCACTCCTGTACGACTAACACACTATTGCCTTGGTTCATGTCTATTGTGACGTTGAGACACATTCATCTAGCTGCACAGTCAGAAAACCTGCATTAGTGTTGATAATGTGAAAGCAACCTATAGACTCTAGACACTCTTCTTTGTATTTACGAGAAATTGGTTACTGGACTATGACTATATTGACACCGCTTAAAATGTACAGATATATATTTTTAATTCATATTGTTTCTGTTTTAAATTCTGTATGTTTAATTTTTTCAATATTTTCATAATTTTATGTTCAAAAATTTAAATTTAAATCAATAAAGTGCTAATTAATGAGCTGATGTCACCTGTCTGCCATGTTATCTTATGGGACGTCTGTCACTTAACAACACCACTTGCGACGTTGCCAATTCTCCCAGGCCGCAACCTGTAGTTAAAGGTGGCCGTGAGACACGGCGTAAAATTGTACCAAACGAAGATACCGTACGGATTTAAAATTATTTTTTAATAGTATGAGATGTCCATGGTGCAAGGATTTCCTTCCACCATGTGAGTTGTCTATACTTACACGATTCAAAGTCAATGAGAATTGGATGAAAAATCTACCCAACCTTTTAACATCCAAAGTCGTTATTCAGCACACATGGACAAAATCGATGGGCTGTTTTCTATAGTCAATGGCTCTGTCATGTTATTGTTTTGAAATTATTTTCTATTCTAATGTCTACGTCGGTCGTCGACGTTTACAGATGGCACTGGCAGTGGCAGAGAACTTGTTGGTTGTTTTGTTTTGTTGGTTGAGTTGTTGAGTTGAGGTTGAGCCTGTCTGTCATCAGTGTCGTTCTTCTGCTGGTGGTAAACATGAAATTAAACAACAATACAGTACTGTGTTTGTGTTAGGCCTACTTACAAAACTTGTTTATCCCCTATTAAAATAATAGGTACTGTTTTTGTTGGTAAGTTATTCTTTCATCGAGCCCAGGTAAACAACCCAATATGCTCTTATTTTAATTTAGTTTCAGGTCAATAGTCTATAACCAATTCACTAATCCTTAGCCAAACTTCAACGTTAGCGAAGTTCAAAGTAAAATGATCTAATATGAAATCTCTAATTTGGTAATAATTTAACTTAGGCCTTAATACATTTCCAAAACTTAATTTGAGCTCTTTTAGTAATTTTATTCTTAACTTACTTATGTTGCCTATTTCAGTTCAACCTTACTTAAGTATATAAAATAATAGTGGTTTATTTACTTTCGTCCCAGTTCCAAAATAGTTGTATTATCTACAACCATGGTTTCGGCACTAAGTTAGTTGTGTCATGGTCATGTAGTTAGCGAGTCGAGAAATATCTTGTTGTCGTCAGTCGCTTCCGGACATCATCATATTCATATAAACACATGTACATTGTTACAATAGATTTAAATAATAGGTTCTCGTGGACTGAACACAGGCCTGTGACAAACAGTAAATTATTTATTAGTACCGTCACGTGAGCAGGCTGAAGAACACCTATGTTATGCCTGTGTTCCGTCCACGAGAACCTTTTATTTTAATCTATTGTAACAATGTACTTGTGTGTGTTTATGTCCGTGTTTGTGTGAATATGACAACGTCCAGGCGACCGACAACGACAAGATATTTCTGGACTTGCTAACGTACGCGACCATAGCGCAACTAGCGTTGAAACCATGGTTGTAGATTATAGCCTACGACTAGGCCTAACTTATTTTGGAACTGGGACAAAGTAAAGGTAAATAATTACCATAATTACCATCCTCTTGACCGTTGACCATTTCTGGATAGGTCGCGTCATTAATGATACAAATATCATAAAACTCACAAATAAAAAATACTTCAACATATAATTATTAATAATTAACTTGAGTGTCAGGCGGCATAAAAAAAAATATTAAAAAACTAACTGGGCTTTGAAGTAATCCTCCACTAGGAATAAATAAACCACTACCTATTATTTTATATTTGTCTCACCTGGGGCCCTATTTTTGAAATGGTTGACTGTTGAGTTGAGTGTCGAGTCATTCTACTTCCAACCGTTTCATATTTTTGAAACGATTGACAGTCGACTTATCCAACCAAAACTACTCACCTCCTACTGAGCTGTTGAGTGGACGGTTGACTGCACTTTCTTCTTCCTCTTTTGCTAAAAAATTGCTCTTTTTAAGTCGACACCATATTGTTATTGCTTTAATTTTTTAATTGCGATTTAGAGGTTATGTAGGCTATTTGTTGTCAATGTATTGGCACCCAATACTTTATGCGATTGTTTTCTGTAGAATAATTGCATTTTAATTTTATTTATTGTGTCAATACTAGACTATTTAATCAAGGGTTTTATCCTTGTTGGTATGTTTGAAATAGACTAGGCATACTAATTGAACTTATTATAAGATAACTAGTAGTACGCTTATTCTGCGCGTAACGGGATGAGTGAACATGAGCGCAATAATGAAAGAGTCCACCCACACCTAGCATACTTACCGGTGTCACTGGTGAACACAATAATGTTATTTGTATGGGCAAATCAACCCATGAGTCGGGGCAAATAATGGTGAGTCGGTGGCTCAGTCGGTAGCGTCACGCGAACTTCGGGCCCAAGGCAGCAATGTCGTGGGTTCGGATCCTGGTCACTGCCACTAAATTTTATCAGTACAGTTCACCTTTGTACCGTACCGGCTCACCCCTTGCTTTGCTGTAAACGATCCACGCACGGGCGCTTAGTCTATGTGGACGGGCAAATGCAAGGTTAAAAGAGGCTGCCAACCTGTTAAAAAAAACCAAATCTCAGTCAACAACAATCCTAACTTCTAGTCAATTAATTAACCAAAGTCATTGGTAATATACGTAATGTATTTCCTGTTTCCCTCTCTTCTCATAGCATTTTATTATTGCAGATACATTAATCTAACTGTCACAAAGAGTTCCCACACTCTAGACTGTTCACCTTGACTACTTCCTTCACCACTTCCTACGTCGTGGACCTGTTTCCCTCTCTTCTCATAGCATTTTATTATTGCAGATACATTAATCTAACTGTCACAAAGGGTTCCCACACTCCGGACTCCTCGCCTCGACTACTCCCTTACCACTTCCTACGTCGTGGACCTGTTTCCCTCCCTTCCCATAGCATTCTTAGAATTGCAGATGCATTTATCTAACTGCCACCAACGGTTCCCACACTCCGCACTGCTCGCCTCATGCTCGATACTGTAAATTATTCTAATTATCACAAAGGGTTTCTACACTCCGGAATGCTCGCCTCGACTACTTCCTTCACCACTTCCTACGTCGTAGACCTGTTTCCCTCCCTTCCTATAGCATTTTAGAATTTCAAATATATTAATTTAACTTTCACAAAGGGTTCCCACACTCCGGACTGTTCACCTTGACTACATCCTTCACCGCTTCCTACGTCGTGGGCCTGTTTCCCTCCCTTCCTATAGCATTTTAGAATTTCAAATAGATTAATTTAACTTTCACAAAGTGTTCCCACACTCCGGACTACTCACCTTGACTACATCCTTCACCGCTTCCTACGTCGTGGACCTGTTTCCCTCCCTTCCTATAGCATTTTAGTATTGAAGGTATATTAATCTAACTGTCACAAAGGGTTTCTACACTCCGGACTGCTCGCCTAGACTACTTCCA